TATTTTCTCTGAACTGGCATGTAAATTGATATTTTTTAAAACTAAGTCAGACTCACATACGAAGTACACATACTGTACTATCGAATGTAAATGTAATATCGAATTCGTATCGTTTGCGAGTCCGAAATGTCATTGTCAAATGAGTACTGATTTTTAGTTCTCGTTACGTACTTTGTGCCGCTGCTGTTCAAGTTTCCATACAAAATTTGACATTGACATTTCAGTTTGCAAACTATTCGAATTCGATAATGGTCCGTGCTAGGGGTACTGTTTTCTGTATACAATTTTTGAAGACTACTTATTGTTTGGGAGTCAGTACTTATGCAGTATTTATTTAGTGGCTTTATAAGACATACTATTAATTTATCTGCAATTTTCAACATGACTTTACTTTTCCTAATACAACTGTCAATAAGGTCCAATGGGTCTCATAAAAGAGGTCCAATGGACACTTTCTGTATAAACTTTTGGGGAGGTCGAATGGGACATACAAATAAGGTCCAGCGAGTACAGTTGCAGTAGGGTCTAATCTTGAAGGTCCAATGGGCACCAATAAATAGGTCCAATGGGCACCAATAAAGACGGTCCAATGGGCACATTTTGCTTTAGGGTCTAATCTGGAGGGTCCAATGAGTACTAGACCGTGTGTTTTAACACTTGATCGAGTCTTCTTGGTGCCCTTTATTTGTAGAGGTCCAATGGGCACTTACTGTATAACCTTTTAAGGAGGGCGAATGGGACAAACAAATAAGGTCCAGCGAGTACAGTTGCAGTAGGGTCTAATCTTGAAGGTCCAATGGGCACCAATAAATAGGTCCAATGGGCAAATTTTGCTTTTGGGTCGAATCTGGAGGGTCCAATGAGTACTAGGCCGTGTGTTTTACACTTGATCGAGTCTTCTGTGTGTCCTTTATTTGTTTTGTTAGTGGTTAATAGAAACTGTTTGCTCTTTACCCAGTGCCCGGAACCAATGTCATTACGGTTCACGAGATATAATAGCTCTCTGATAGACGGACAGACAGAGTGATCGGCTTCCCTTGCCTCTAATTGGGTACGGAACTCCAATACAAGCTCCGTTCTGCCAATAATGCCAAAGGATAATTTCACCATTCAATAAAACAACATCGTCGTGTATTATGGAAAATTTATTCGTGATCGAAGTAATAAAATAAAAACTCTACTAGTATCAACACACTACGTGTCCGTGAAGTAAACCTAAATGCCTCGCCGTAACGTAGCCGCAACGGGATAAGGCACAGGACCTTATCAATATACACGTTAACTACACGCGACCGTGGCGAGGACAAAACCTACCTTATAATACTACAATAGGGATGATGACTATTTTTTTTTTCTTCGTTTATCAGATAGATTATCAAAAAGTATTGGACACGTGTTTTTTCTTTTTTCACATAATATAAACATTGCAGAGATATATTGATTTGAAAAGTCGCATGACGTCACGTTTGAGTACACTTTTAAGTGAAAATTTACTAAAAAGTGACGTCACGAGCCCCTACTCCCAAACTTTGACGCGCTATAACTTTGTCATTTTTTGGTTGATTACCCAAAGAAAAAATATGTGTCCAATATTTTTTGATCATCTAACTGACGAACTAAATAGAATTTCGTTTAATGTACCCCGTCATCACCCCTATTTATATACTCAGATAAGTCAATTAACTTTAAAGCTGATGCTGTCACGGTAACAGTAGATTGAAATTCCTTAAATCAATTTCACAATTCTGAGTACGGCTGAAAAATATTTCATAGTCTTCAAAAACTAATAAGTTTTAAAGTGTGTGTAAGTTCTCTTAAAAGCTTTTATCGCTGAGTAAACTATTAAATGAATCTGAGTTAACTTCTAATACATCGAATAACCAAAACGTTTCCGTTTGCACCCCGCCATAGGTCCAAAATAAAATACGCTTTATAATAATTTGAAAAAAATACCTAGCGCCCTGTAAATTAGTAAATAAATATTTATTCTTCTTCACGATAGCGTTAGATGGCGCTTTCATTCTATGAATTACTAATTCATTCAATGATCTTGCAAAAATCATGTGACATTTTCTTAAAGTACGTAAGTGAAATTGTTTTTATATAGAGTAGAACCCGTTTAATACGATCACGCTTAATACGATTTCTCGCATAATACGCCATTTTGCGCCAGTCCCTGAAACTTGAGACATGTTTTCATACATTTCTTAACGCTTAATACGATTCGTCATCCCGTTTAATACGCCTTAGTGTCGCCGCACACGGGCCACCGACCAAAACCACAAAACGCCGCCACCGGCATATTTCTTGTGGTTTTCATACATTTTATATGGATTCGCCACACACGGTACGCCGGTGGCCGCCACACGCTACAAATCGTCGTTGCTCGCTTCTTGTGGCCCGCACCGGCCACTTAATGCGCCGATACAAAACGCCGCCACACGTCACTCGCGCGATTCCCCACCCCTCTCTCCCTTACCTTAGTCGGCCGCTGTCGCGCGCTTCAGCCACTTTAGTAGCCGCTTCTAGCTTCTCGTGGCGGCGTTTGTGGCTGTGGCGTGTGGCCCGTGTGCGGCGACACTAAATCGCCAATACGCACCACACATATAACCTCTTGCGGCAGCGGCCAGCGATTGACGTGACGACTGTCGAGCGACACATGCTAAGGAACCCCCAGGGTTGTTCTGGATATTCTTTCTTTGATGACAATGTACCACCGTACGAAATTTAAAGTTCTTTAAGATCTTATTGAGAATGTGAATATCACACAAGAAGAGGCCTAAGTGATAATGATCAAAAGAAGACGAGTCAACTTCGGTTTTGTCATACGCCCAGGCATTATCAGCAGTTAGTGATTTAAGACACTATGTAACTTCTTTGAATCAAAGCGAAGACGCACTGCAAAAGTTAAATTCGAAAATCTTGTAATTGCTAATGCCTCAAAATATTTTTGTCAAACTAAAAAATGTGATTAATTTAAATACAAACGTAATAATAATATACTACATTTTTTATAACGTACATAATTCTTTAATATTCCTACTACGCTTTCCCGCTTAAGACGCGTTTTTGGTCGAGTCTGTGAAATCGTCTTAAACGGGTTTCACTGTATTTATTTTGTAGAATACTTACAGGGCACTTAAGGTTTTCGTCTTAAAGCAAATAAATACAAAATTTTGTAAACAAAATACACTTTGCCTTAAAAAAAAACATTGTCGTTTGATTGGTACTGTGAGAAGAAAATGATCACATCATTTCCAACAACCAAATAAATACATTTGGACGGAAAAAATTAAAATAAAACCCACTAAATAATAATGACTTAAAAATAGCAGTCTACACAAAAAATAATAATTAAGAGATTCTAATACAATATAAATCATTAAGTGAACTTAAATTAGCTTAACATTACTTTGTATTTTTTTGTTTTTTCATTCAGGTTATAAGCAACAGCACACTAGGTTACAGTTAAATTATCTCAATTTTGAACTCTATTTCAATACATTACGGTCAAATCTAATGTGCTGTTGGATGTTCGTCAATTCATGAATCAACGTACGTTTCCTTCTCAAAGACATTACATTTTATATTTTCTTACTAATTCCTAAGCTGTTTTTTTAAGTAAGAAAGAGATCCGATTCCTCACTTTAGCAAAAGTTTCAGTTAAGCTGTCATCAAATGTCCAAAACAGCCGCAAATTTATAGAACACTATGCATCGTTTGATTTTGTATAAAATTTTAATTTTAGATTGCTTTTTTAGAATACGAAACAATAAAAACCTAATAATATTTCATAGAAATAGGAATTTGGCATAGATATAAGTTAATTTTATGTATAAATAAGTAGCTGTAGAAAAGCTAAAGTCTAAAAAGTATGAGATAAAAACCGAAATTCGGACAAAACAGAGGCGGCCATATGGCACATCACGGGAGAAGTACTTTAGAATTATAACTTTTGTGAGCGTTTTTAATGTAGGGGAAACCACCCAATCATTGGCACTCGTCCTATTATTGGCACTTTTATGTTTAATTCGTAAAAACAAGGAGACAATAGATTATTCAAGGTCATTACATATTAAAAATAAATACCTAGTATGGTTTCGAAATTTGAAAATTGGCAGCATTATTACTACAATCTATTGTTTCCTGTTTTTTCGAACTAAACTCAAAAGTGCCAATAATAGGAAGAGTGCCAATGATTGGGTAGTTTCCCCTATTTATCTACATTTCTACGATGCATAATTGGAGTTTATGTTTTTTAACATAAAAATTGTTTGTAGGTTACATATTACTACTTAGTAAGTAACGTCAAATCCATTGAAATGGCATGCTTCTTTGTATTATTCCAATGGTTTGCAAAACGATAGGAGCACCAGATCGACAGAACGATACTCAGTTATAGATGGGAACAGCAAGTAAGAGCAGATAATATGAAGATGTTTCTAATTGTACTTGAAGATGTGATTATTCGATTTATATTTCTTAGTTTTTACTAAATGTAATAGATATTTGTTCCGATAGCATTATTGAATTTATTCTGCGTATGTACTCTTAGTGATGTTATAGTAAGCTATCCAATGTCTTTTCTTTCAATTTTTAATTGTGATGACAATACGGAGTAACTTTTGGAAAAAAAGAGTCATTATAAAATAAAAAGCTGCAGAAGGGGGAAATGACTTTCATGTAAGCCTTATTATGATTGAACAATTGGGCACTTATGTGATGGCAATGTGATGTAATAACTATGCAGTTAATGGTGTCGATTCTGGCGTGATTCTCTAAACTTAAAACCAAATTTAACATCAGTCTCTCCCTTTCATTCTGTATAGAGAACGACAAGGATGCACTGTTGTCAAATTTAAGTTAATATATCGATACGCGTTATAATTTTATTAAATTTAATAATATTGTCAGCTAATTGATTTCACACCATAAAAAATTAAAGGCATTTTTTTGCATAAAGAGGTAATAGCTTTCGTCGTGAAGTTGCAATATTATTTTTAACTATTTAAACTACGTCGTTAATCGCTTCCAAAAAAAATATGTTTATAGGTAGAGTGTGCGGAATGAGAATGGGATTTAGATTGGGGGCGCTGTAGTGCTTTTAATTTAAAAAACCGTAAGAAATCACAACAACAAACAAATCCGTATCAATACAAAACTTTGACGTTCTACAGATTGCTGGGTTTGATTGCCAAAAAACATCTTAATGTTAGTTCCGTTTTTCGCCACGCCCATTCTCTTTCCGCACAGACTCTATAAACATAATTTTCGTTTTTATAAACATTATTTTTTAAGTAAAAATAAATCGAACAGCAAAGGATGTGAATATTTCAATGCAGTGTTTGATATCCGATTCAAAAGATGTTTAAACAAAACTTATGAAGTCGCGTTATTATCAGTCGATAATATCGGATGCTTTATTGCGACATTTCGTCATACCTCGTCGTTGTTGCGTCGTTATTAACGCAGCAATGTGTAACTTCGTAACCGTCCAAATACATAATGTACTAAAAACAGATAATTGTCGCAATCGGCAGGGTCCTGTACCCTTAGTGCGAGTTTTAAAATTACGAAATCTATGATAGTTATAGTAGATCTCTTTTAGAGATAAGCCCACCTTTGCTTACTATGTATTTGACTATATGTTTTAACTATATGATGCAATAAAGAGTATAATAAAAAATAGTTTTCGTGAGCTCGCACTCTTTCTAAGGGTACTGATTTTATTGTTTTCGCTTCAATACAAATAAACAGTGTTAAAATTCTATCATTAAATCCTTTGCGTCTTCTTAAATTTTAAGTATATTTGAATAGTTTTCACCAAATTGGACATAGAAATATAATTTACAATTACGAAAACTATCATAGTTTTTGTGAGCAGAAACTCGTACTAAGGGTACTGATTGGCCGTCTTAGTTTTAGTGATAATTTTTTGTTCATATGCTTAGTTTGTTTTTTCTATTTCTATAAGTAGGTTTTTTGTTGTTGTATATAAGATGGCCAAGAAAGGTTTTTCATTTCAATCGTTGGTGCGGTTTACATGAAGTGTGTGCAGTATTTATGTTTTATGTTTGTGTGGTTGTGTTTATATGAAGAATTCCCTCCGTTTAGTGACCCTCGGTCCAGTGGCTGCGGCTAGCGCGGCCGCATCGGGATCAGCTGCGCCTTCTGCACCCCTCTCCTCCTAAATAAATAAATAAATGTGATATGTATTTTATTTCTGAAGCATTTAACTGCTAGATGTTTAAATCCAAAGAAAATTTTACTAGAAAAAAATCTACGCGGTCCAGGCAGCAGACTGGACTCGAACCCGCGCCATTCGCTATCCGGGCGAATGCACTGACCTAATGGCTACCCTGATGGTAGCAATTATGCTACGCGGCCCTGATGGCCGTGCCAAATTGCCGCGGTAGCATAATGGTCAGTGCATTCGCCCGGACAGCGAAGGGTGCGGGTTCGGGTTCGAGAGTGGTCCGCGTAGATTCTTTAAAATTTTCTTTAAATAAATATTTCCAACACTCACACCAATACGCCTAGCCTAATGATAATGAGGAACACTAGAGTAACGGGTAGAATACACATATGACAAGTAATTTTTTATAGAAACACATATTAAACATCCATTACTGGAGAACAAATGCTTGTATTCATCACACAAACATCTGCCTCCACCGGGATTCGAACCTCGGGAGCTCTCGAGTCGGTGACATGAAACCACTCGGCTACGGAGGTCGCCAAATATAAACAGTGAAGTTTGTCTTGTGTCATTACTTAAAGTAATTCGTTTGGAAAATTAACGTCACTAGTTGGCGCCACTGTGACAAGCGGTCTTTTGTTTGAAGTTTACGGCACGAATTAATACGACGAGCATTTAAATTTATCCATCCAATGACGACATACGTGATTTGACAGATGAGTAGACCTTTCGTCTCAGTGCTGTCACCTGGCACTCGTTAAGCCAATCAGTCAATGACAACAATTTCTTCTCGTTGGGAATCAACATGACTATGTGGAAATACTATAACGTATAAGATAAATTGAGGAGCCCGATGGCGCAAGTGGTTAGCGCGTTCGGCTGCGATCGTTGAAGTTAAGCAACTTTCGTAATGGTCGGTCATTGGATGAGTGACCAAAAATTCACGGAAGGCACGTTAAGCCGTCGGTCCCGACTGCATCTGCAGTCGTTGGCACCCGCCAATCCGCACTGGGCCCGCGTGGTGAATCGTGGACCAATCTCCCTATTCCACCCATAAGGAAGGCCTGTGCCCCAGCAGTGGGGACATTAATAGGCTGGTGTTGCGATGTGATAAGATAACATACCTGCGTAAGATATTCGCCCTTATGACGCGACAGGGCTCGTACTAGGATCACTGCTACAACCACGAGTAGTAGGAATATGAACACCAAAACCGCTGCAACAAAATGTTAATAATGAACTACAAATATTGATTAATATCAAACAAAATCGCATGATAATAAATAATAAGTGATAATACAATATATATAGGCAGAAAAACGGGCGAGCTTTACAGTAGTCGCCTATGATGTGTGACATTTGAAACCTCACCTTACATTAGTAAAATAAGAAATAAAACCTACTACAAAAGGAATAAGCCATTTGAACATTATGTTCTAAAATTAAATCAAATAGCGCACGCTTCCCAAACTTCCTGTTACACACTTCCGTCACACTTCACGTAATCACTCCCACAAATTGCACGAAAGCGAGAGGAAAGATGTTACACATAAAACCACACTTGTTTTTTTTATTTCATGCTTTTTTTTAATACATTGTTGGAAGGCCAAAGAGGAAGATCTTCCTCCAAGCTGTGTGATTGTATCTCGAGGGCCATTTTGTTTTTTTTTTGATTGTGTATGCTGGTCGCAGATGACCTTTACAGCGTCACCGGGTTTGGGAACCGTTAGATTCTAATGGGACTTCAGGCCGAGAAGTAGCGAGTGCCTCTAGAGGTATTCCAGGCGGATGGCATCTCCCCACGGGGGGAGTCTCCTCTCCGTCTGGAGCCTCTAGACCACGAGCACCTGAGGGGGTCGTCTCAACTAGAGGGCGTCTCTGAGACTCGGGCCTCGGCTGGCAGGGGATTGGGTCAGTATTTTTGGTATCGCAAGCTTTGAAATAGGCTATGGTGACGGCTTACCATCGGGCAGGCCATATGCTTGTTTGCCACCGTATTAACATAAAGTTATAATTTATAGGAAAAACATTTTTTATCCGAAAATTGATAATTAAGCCTTCAGATAAGTTAATATACCTAAGCTAAAAACTGTCACAGTTAACCCTTAATATATTTTTCTCTCTCTCTTTCTCTCTCCCCCTCTCTCTCTTTCTCTCCCCCTCCCCTTAATAATAATGTGTATTTTTTTAACTCGATTGCTTTTGTATTTGCGCATCACATTTCGGTTTTATTGTATAGAATCAGTACAATGGCGCGGACACAATATAAATACAAGGATCGATTTTCATGATTGTCGCTAACCTACAGAACGTATTGTTATCACAACAGCTTTTAAGACATTAAGAAGTTCTTCTGACAATTGTTTTCTGTGAGCATTATTTGTTATGGAACAATTCATGTATCTATTCCTAATAAACATGTTCGAGTTGCTATATTATTAGCATAAGTGACGACATTGGGTACAATCTCATGTCTCCACATATATTAAATATAGAAAATAGTTTAAATAGAATTGTACTAACATAGTTTCTAAGTTTTAATGTTACTAACCCTCTAAGGACTATACGGTCTGAAATAAATGATTATTGTTATTATTATTATTATAAGAAATGTTTGTATGTACTTATTTAATACTGCACTGGCTGTATTTTATTTATATAACCACTTCAAGCTATGGGAGAATGGTTTTCGCTGGCACAAGTGTTCTTACACTTAAAAGGGGAATCCAACCTCTATTATTGTAACAAGCTTTATGTTAGTAATAAACTTTTATTTTTTCATTTTATCTCTTTTATTATTGTATTATGGATCTTTCTGACTGAGATTATTTAAGAACATTTGATTGATAAAACGGCGTGGTCATGATTTCTCCATTGTTTTTGCTTTGTAATTGTTTGCAGTGTCCAAGAGATAAATTACTTTAATTTTAAGTAAATATGTTGTGGTTAATATAGGTGGTTATGGGTAGTCAAGCTCTCTTCATAGTTTCTTCCCTAAAATATGGTTGAGCGAAGCGATGGCTGGTTCATGAGTCATGCTCGTGAACGGATGCTGCCAGCGGAGATGAGTCTGCCATAACTACTTTGTTATTTAAGATGTAAATGTCTAGTTACACCTAATATAGATAACACTAACTGTATGACACAGCAATCAAAATGCAGGTAAACAATTAATGTATATTTAATCATTATGTAATGAAAGGTGACTTCATGAATCATCTCTGAAATAATTTTTCAACTTAAGGACTCTGTAAATAATAAACAGGGAGAAAAAAACAGCCCTTACTGAGTTCCTTGTCGGTTCTTTAAAGTACAAGGTCTCCCGCCGTAGATTTACGACCGATGACGTAGCTTCTTGAGTGCTTGTAACAGCCTAAACTGAATAAATTATTTTGATTATGATTATTATGATTATGATAGTTACTGGCGAGAATGGCTTCATCGGTGCGATGCAGATGCATGTCGGCCTGCAGATCGACGGGTGGCGGGGGTCGAGTTTCGGCGGGTTCCGGGGGATGGGTCACAGGTTCTACGCCGCAGAAGTCTTCGTGCAATAACCCTACAAAAATACCATTTCTATAAGAATCTCGGTCACTACATTATGTCAATTTATTAAATTTTATTATCAAATAGTGAATAGTTTAGATTAAAACAGTGAGTATTTACTATTTTATTGCGTTAAAAATTATATGAGTGAACGTATTGAATAAATAAAATATATTTAAGTACATATATTCATAAACAGCAACATACCTCCTATACTCTTGACATTGGGCGGAGGGTTTTGTTGAAACAATAGCTTCAATGGATATATATGACCAGATCCACACAGTCAGCTTATTCTAGACTCTTATCCATATTACTTAAACTAAAGTAAGCAACACCTGCTACCGCATCATCTATCTTAGCGCATCTTCTATATAAAGATGCCATCATGCGTTGTAGTTTTTTTTTTTATAGATAGGTCCGGCAAATGACTCCACCCCACCTGATGTTAAGTGAAGGTGAAGTCCAGACGCGAAGATAGCTGATACAGCAGTTTTACCTGCCACACCAGCCATCCTCACCCTGCCGGCCTGCATGTTGCTTCTTCACGCCTCTTTTAAAGGATCCCAGGTTGTAAGAGGGAGGGAACACGTGAGCGGGCAGAGCATTCCATTTACGGATAGTGCGACAAAGAAATGGGTCACCAAATTTCTTTGTACGCGTTGGAATTGTGGCCACAGTAAGACGGTGACAACGTAGGCCAGCGCACGTGGTCCTCTGAAGGAAAGGGGAAGGTGGGATAGGAGAGAATAACTCCTCAGAATACTCGCCTTGGTACAGACGATAGAACGCGCTAGTATAAGTATTTTCATAAACAGCGACGTACCTCCTATACTCCTGACATTGAGCGGCGGGTCTTGTTGGAACAGCAGCTTCAATGGATATATATGACCAGATCCACACAGTCAGATTATTCTTGACTCTTATTTATCCATATTACTTAAACTAAAGTAAGCAACACCTGCTACCGCATCATCTATCTTAGCGCATCTCTTATATATGAAGATACCATCATGCGTTGTAGTATTAGTATTTTCATAAACAGCGACGTACCTACGAGGAGCTCGATGGCGCCAGTGGTTAGCGCGTTCGGCTGCGATCGTTGAAGTTAAGCAACTTTCGCAGTGGTCGGTCATTGGATGGGTGACCAAAAATTTACTATCTCGAGCTCCTCCGTGCTTGGGAAGGCACGTTAAGCCGTCGGTCCCGGCTGCATCTGCAGTCGTAAACACCCACCAATCCGCACTGGGCCCGCGTGGTGGGTCATGGCCCAATCTCCCTATTCCATTCATAGGGAAGGGCTGTGCCTCAGCAGTGGGGACATTAATAGGCTGATGATGATGAAACTATCTATAGTATGATTGCAAATAAAATCGACAGTATCGATACTATCGATAGTTGTTATTAACGAACTACAATGCTATCGATAGTATCATAGTATTACACTCATCCGACAGTATTGGCTTTTTCTGTGCTATCGATAGAAGGGCTGTGCCTCAGCAGTGGGGACATTAATAGGCTGATGATGATGATGAAACAGCGACGTACCTCCTATACTCCTGACATTGGGCGGCGGGTCTTGTTGGAACAGCAGCTTCAACGGATATATATCGTCGAACTCGACTCGACTGACGCATCCCACGAAGCCCTCGTTCATGGTCTCGTTGCGCCCTATGTACATGTACTGGATGTTGTTGAACTGCGCGTCCGCAGACTCCTTTATGTTGAAGTGGTATACTTGTGTCTCGTAATTGTCCACCTGGATGTTGGAATAGAATAGAAATATATATTTTTTTGCTCTCACATTAATACATAGTTCAATATGGGGCCGTTCATTAAATACGTCTCGTTAAAATCAGCTTTTTCCGACCCCCTCCCCCCCTATTGTCACGCTGTGTCACACTTTCTGTGACCCCTCTTGAAATATTCCGTCACAAAAACGGAGACCCCCCCCCCCTCCCCAAGTATGATTAATTTCAATTGATAGTACACAAATTTTAAGAATTTAAATATTTATTTAGTTTTTATAATAAAATTTAAATATATAAATATGCGCTAATGTCGAAAAATAAACATGAGTAAATATATCAAGTTACAATTTATTGTATAATAAAACTATATACGTTTGAATGTCTATATGTTTACGAAATACGAAATATATGATTTTCTATCTTGATGAAAATTGAGAAAGAAAAATAGTTGAAAGAAATACTAATTTAAAAATGTTTAATGAACGACGAACGTCACGTTGCCGTAGACCCCCCGTCCCCCCTTGTCACATCTTGTCACACTTAGCAAGACCCCTCCCCCCCCTTGTATGCGAACGTATTTTATGAACGGCCCCTATGTAGTACAATGCGATATGACAGCATGAAGAGCAAATGGATGTGGCTCAGCATAAACTGCTCCGTACCCCTAGCACGAACTAATATCGAATTCGTATCGTTTGCGAGTCCGAAATGTCATTGTCAAATATGTACTGATTTTTAGTTCTCGTTACGTACTTTGTGCCGCTGCTGTTCAAGTTTCCATACAAAATTTGACATTGATATTTCAGTTTGCAAACTATTCGAATTCGATAATGGTTCGTGCTAGGAGTACTGTTACAGAATGTCTCGGGTAGCGCTGGTCTTCAGCCACACCCACAAAAACGAGACATGCAAAAGAAATCCAACAAAAGTAGGTGGTACTCCTACGGTCAGATTGTGTGTGTGTGTGTGTGTGTGTGTATACGTGTGCGTGTGTATACGTGTGTGTGTGTGTGTGTATACGTGTGTGTGTGTGTATACGTGTGTGTGTGTGTGTATACGTGTGTGTGTGTGTGTGTGTATACGTGTGTGTGTGTGTATACGTGTGTGTGTGTGTGTATCCGTGTGTGTTTGTGTGTGTGTATACGTGTGTGTGTGTGTATACGTGGGTGTGTGGGTGTGTATACGTGTGTGCGTGTGTGTGTGCACATGTGAGCGGGTGTATACCCGTGGCTGTTTTTATGCATATGCCAAGCCCATAAACTGTGAAAGTACCTTATTTGATAATCAGAAATATTCTTTAAGGGGTATCAATTTCCAATAGCTACGGTTTATATTTTCTACAGCAATGTTAGAATAACCTTAAAATGTTTAATATGTTCCACGTGCAGCAATTTTTGCTAAATCTCAATTTAACTGCAACTAGATTAAGCCTATGTAATGCCGTGAAATTAACAATGACGTTTTGTCATTTTTCTATGTACTAATTCTAGTCTTAGTTGAATCGCGATTAGGTAATTTCCTGCAAGTGGGCCTTAATAAGGAAGTAAGTCTGTTAGAAAGCTGAACTGCTTTTAATAGATGAGTGTACAGATAAAACGGACTTTAGAAAAGAAAAAGAGTATCTATCGCAAAACTTATATGAAGAAAGGGTTCCATTCATGTTTCAATAGAACTCTGCCCACTCTTGTACCTCAAGCATAATGCATTTATGTCTAGAAAAATACGCAGAGTATATTAAAAATATATAAAAATTAATCACTGAATGTGTTGCTAAGCGCAAATCTCGAGAACAGCTGAACCGATTTCGATTATTCTTTTTGAAGTTATACTTCTTTAGGCGCGTTATAAAAAAATTATGAGAGTGAAATTTTAAGATGTGCGCGCATCTGTAACACAAAAAATTAACACCATGAAGTTGGTCGCTTTAGCGTGCCGCGCTGCCATTACCGCGTCGCCCGCCGCACCGTACGCATGCGCGGCCACTCGCGGTCCTAGCGCGGGAAACACGTACAACAAACATCGGGAAAAGTTACGAGTTTTGAATTTAGAACAGAGACTGTTTTCATATCTATATATATAAAAATGAAACCCGTTTTCCGTTGTCACGACATAACATGAAAACGGCTTGACCGATTTGGCTGTTTTTTTTTTGTAGTTTTCTAATACTCTGTACAAGGTTCTTACGGAAAAAAATATAAAGAAAATCCCAAGGGGATAAAATAAGGAATGAAAGTTTGTATGAAACTTTATCAATTTTAAACCGATCGGGCTGAGACTTTGCATGCAGGTATAAGAAGAATCATAGATGAATGTCATTGTGTATAATACAAGCCTGAGAACAAAAACTGTAGTCTACACTTCAGCTCTACACCGAAGCGAAGCGAGGGCGGGCCGCTAGTTTATAATATTTATCCACATGTTTCTAGTTTGTATATTCGGAATACGTGTTTGAGTTTCATACAAGTGCAAATCACATATGTTCTAATAAATTATATTCAGTAGCGATTTTAATTGAATATTTTGATTATTTATTTATTTTTTCAAATTAAAACCGAACTTTATTGACTGTGTCCTTTTGCAGACTTTTTATTAATTTATTGTAATTAATTATTTGCATGCAATTAAAAACTAATTTTAAACGATGCCAAAGAAGGATAACTTCTCACGCGCCTACATAAGTACACGCACCCATTTTTTTTTTTAAATATTTCTTGAAGTACGAGGATGGTTCTAACGCAGAGAAAAAATAAAAAAATTGCCTAAAAATGTCCAAAAACAACACTTTTCTATACTCCCATATAAACGATTCGTAATAATACTTAAAAGTCAATTTGAACTTTAATAACATACCATGAATTTCAAATGTTAGTGGAGAGGTTCCAAGAATTCAAAACAATTGAGCGACGTGATGTCAATAGAAGTTTGGAAAAGGCAAATATACCATTTTTCAGTTTTTGTTTTTATAATTACTTATATGAAGAGTCATTTAAATCTACACTACAGCTCTACACCGAAGCGGGCGAATGAAACGTATTATCCACTTATAGCACATAAAAAAAAGCGAGCGAACCTTACAGTAGTCGCGTATGATGCGTAACATTTGAAACCTCACCTTATATTAGTAAAAAACTAGTAATAAATAAATTTAGGAATACTCGGTTTAAAGTACCAAATATTACCTGTAAAAGCATTGTGGCGCCACTGTCTTTCCTAGAGAGTCTCACGTCGTGGTACTGGCCAAGCCCAAAGTGCTTTCCTTGGAAGATGATCTCCTGCCGCTCGAATCCGAAGTCGAATACTACACGCAAGTGACCTGAACGAAGGAATATTTGTCTATAGAGAAATTCTCAAAGCTTAACCAATAGGGTATTTGACAAGTTTTAGAAAACGATCTCACGTTATTGACTAATGTTTATGGTGTTCGGTATAAGATATTCATCATTCTGTTGTGTATTTCAGTAAAAATAACCAAATCAAAAACTCCATTTTCAAGTTGCCGCGAAAACGTTTCTCTGGACAATATGGCGTCTTACTAGTGTGTGACGTCACACGACTGATATTAAAACGTCACACGATACAATGTAATGTCACTTTAACCGGAAGTTTACTTGCGTGTGACGTCATTTTAAGCTCCGCCAATTCCAAGCGTTTTGGGTCACGTGACAATAGATAAGAAAACTATTATCTTTTTCGTTAGTTTTTAGTAAAATTATGAATATTTTTTTTTGTAAAAATAGTAAAAACCCCTGCCAGTATTCATTGTAAACACAGATGCGGCGACGGTTGACACTTTATTTTTAACACTGTCAAATACCCTATTACGAGAGAAAGAACTATACTGGTGTCGATTCTGGCGTGATTCTCTAAACTTAAAACTAAATTTAACATCAATCTCTCCTTTTCATTCCGTATAGAGAATGACAAGGATACACTGTTGTCAAATTTAAGTTTAGGTTTAGAGAATCGTGTCAGAATTGACACCACTATAATACTGTAGGTAAAAATTTAATTTACTATTATAATTGTATTTTTATGAATTTTCCCTTTTTCTGTCTCATTTGCTTATTTACTTTATCGTCGTATTTTCTCAGCTTAGCCCATTGGTTGCCTGATAGAAAATGCCTTATGGCATTGAGTCTGCCATTTGTTGCATGACAAGACTTCATTTTAATATTAAAGCAAAACAAAATTCGCGTGTCACAATCGGAAAGCGAATCTGTTAAATGTGAAAAAATACCAGTAATTTTACTGTGCCAATTGAAAGGCTCAATTTAATATTTTCTTTGGTATAATTTTTTTAATGATTTATGTACGAATAGTAGCATCTTACCAGAGTTGGAGACCATGAGGGTGAGGTATTCCCCGGAGATGTTGGAGTAGAACCCCAGTAAGAACCCTTTGGGGTTGGTGGTGGTGAATCCCACGCGGATCTTCTCGGCGATGGTGGAGCGCCATGAACCCAGGAAGTCGTACTTCACTATAGAGTTGGGGCGCAGGTTCACGCCGATTTCTGAACAAACACATTTACAACTTAGCCAATTTGTGAAAAAAGTTTGCGACGTAAGTTCATAGAAAAATCAATGACAGAATGTTGAACCATGATAATAATGATGAAAGTTTTTCCTTTCCATCGCATTTAAGCTTTGTAACATAATTAATTTTGAAGTTGTTAAAAAGTATTTTTATTATAGATTCGATTTTATTTTGGATAGATAGAAGCATCGAAATCTCCTAACATAAACCTAAGTCAACTACCCTATTATATCAATTGATTCGCAAAGATTAATACATAAAATAAACAGAAAACAACATAAAATAAATATAAACACAGTGAGGAGCTCTACGGCGCGGGTGATTAGCGCTTTCGGCTGCGATCGTTGAAGTTAAGTAAATTTCGTAGTTAGCCGGTCATTGGATGGGTGACCAAAAATCTACTATCTCGAGTTTTTCCGTGCTTCAGAAGGCACGTGAAGGAGGGTCATGACCCACCTTCACTTGCCTTCACATGATTGGGTCATGACCCAATCTCCCTATTCCATACATAGGGAAGGCCTGTGCCCCAGCAGTGGGGATATTAATAGGCTGATGATGATTACACATAAATAATACGGACTTAGTGAACAGTTTTCACTCACCATCAGCGCATATGGGCCCCTTGAACGCAGTCCATCGACAGTCGCAGGAATAAGAATCATATCCCTCCAGGCACGTGCCGTTGTTGAGACACGGCGACGAAGAACACTTGCCCACGCAGCCCTCAGATATACCGTACATGCCTAATGTAGAAATTGAAACACAATTGTATTGAAATAAAGAGTAGGCTTGAATATGCTACCCTGTGGAACTCCGAAATTGCAAGTCTGGAAATTATTTACTTGGAAGTCATTTGGTATTTTTAGATTTTGACTAAATTATAGAGATGAAAAATGCCGAATGAAAAATTTCTCTTATGATAAAATTGAAGATTGGATAAGGGTATATATAATTCGTCAATATCCATACTAATATTATAAATACGAAAGTGAGTCTGTCTATTACATTTTCTCGCTTACTAACTAACTGCTCAACCGATTTAGCCGAAATGTTGGTTTAGTGATAGTTTGATCCCGGGAATGACTAGGAATAGTTTTAATTCTCAGAAATCAACCTTAAAGGGGATGCAAAGGGGTTGAAAGTTTCTATGGGAAATTAATGAAACCATAATTTTATCTTTTGTCCACGCAGACGAAGTTGCAGAACCCACTAATGTTGGATAAATCTTTAATTTTGACTACTGTTGGTAATAAAAGAGTAATTTTTGGACATGTCAATATTTAAGACATGATATGGTCGAAGGCTTTTCGGACCATATTTTTATGCAATAAACTAGCGACCGCCCGCGACTTCGTACGCGTGGAGTTACTTAGAAATAAGGTTCACTGCTCGTTCCCCGTAGGTGACAGCGTGATAATATGTAGCCTATATGTTAACCCGACTTCTTAATAATATTCGTGCCAAATTTGAAGTAAATCCATGCAGTAGTTTTTGAGTTTATCCCGGACATACATACAAACAAACAGAGGAAAATTCTACAAACCATATTTTTGGCTTCGGCGTCGATTGTAGATCACACTTCAAGTATTCTTTTAAAAAAATATTCAATGTACAGTTTTGACTTTCCTACCATTTTATATATGTTTCTTAGGTTTTCACGCACATCACTCATTAAATAAAACTAGTTTAAACGAGATAATGCACGAAACTTTATTTATTTATTGACGTTTCGTAGCCTTTACAGGCTTCGTCGTCAGAATAAAACTTTTGTTTAATTTGTCGAGCTACCTTCGAAAGACTTTTATTGAGCGTTTGGTTATTTCATCGTTCGATTTTTAAGTTTTATTGTCTATGTATGAATTTATTATTTAATTTACTTAATAAAGTATTTTATTTAAAATTCTTGTTTGTAATTTTGCGTTTATTTATTTGACCCTAACTACCGTAAACTACCACCGGTTCCAAAATTGGGAGACCTTCCTGAGAAGAACCGGCGAAACAAACTCAAGAGAGGCTTTCTATTTCCTTCTTATGTTAAATTATGCAAACAAAAAGAACTAATAGTATCTGATGGTCTTGCAGTATGTGCTCGGGGTTGGGATTTTATCTCCTGTATAATAGGTTCCCAAGCTGGTGGTATATACCAACCATCTTCCCTATTGAAATTTGGATATTTTTTAATCTCAATAGCCTCGCGCATCATTCGAGGAACGAAACGCCGCTCAGCTGCAAGGATCTGTGGTCTATCAAATCTAATGTAGTGGTTTGGTCCCCCTAATGCATGTTCACACACTGCAGATTTATTTTCGCGCCTATGTTTCATATCTGCGATATGTCCTTTTACGCGAGTCCCTATACTCCTCTTTGTTTGACCGATGTAGGAGAGCCCACAGTCGCATTCAAGTTTGTAGACACCAGCAACTTGAAAGGGTATATTGCACTTGACTGGTCGTAGAAACTGGTTGATCTTCTTTGGCGGCTTGAAGTATGTATTGATTGAAGCACGCTTCAGAATCCTCCCAATCTTGTCAGTGACTCCTTTCATGTAAGGTAGTATAGCAGGTTGTCGGTCGACTGTGCTAGGTTTGGCGCGACTGTGACGGCGACGTGGTACATTCAGGTTATTATCCTTCAGTACTTGCTCGACATGCTGAAGTTCAGCTGCCAGGTGTTGTTCGTCACAGACACCCCGTGCTCTCCTACCATTTTATTATACACTAGCGGCCTCGCTTCGCTTCGGTGTAGAGCTGAAGTGTAGACTACAGTTTTTGTTCTCAGGCTTGTATTATACACAATGACATTAATCTATGATTCTTCTTATACCTGCATGCAAAGTCTCAGCCCGATCGGTTTAAAATTGACAAAGTTTCATAAAAACTTTCATTCCCTATTTTATCCCCTTGGGGGTAGAATTGATCAAAATCCTTTCTTAGCGGAAGCCTACGTCATAACATCTACCTGCATGCCAAATTTCAGCCCGATCCGTCCAGTGGTTTGGGCTGTGCGTTGATATATATATATATATATATATATAGATAGATATGTATATATTTCGACTTTCGATTAAGAATTTTTAAATCTCACCTCTGCTAGCTAGGGCTCGTAGTCTGACGGGGCGGCCGTTTAACAGCAGCGCGCGTATGCAGCCCACAAAACCGTCGCTGCGGTCCAAAGCAGCGCCGACTACTAAAGCAGTAGTCAGGTGAAGGGCACGGGCAGGTTCTGAGGGGGCTCGGATCTCACTCTTCAATGCCCCGTCTACTACTACGCGAGCTTCTTTCCTGCGGCAACGAAATAATGTAAAAAACTAGTAGAAAAAGTAAAGCAAGCAATTTGCGACACTTTTAACTGTCTTTATAGCCATTAAAATTTATCTCGCTTTTCAGCACTCCACCTAACAGGATATTTTACAGATAGGGACATTTTGGGACGTGTAAGAAAACTATCGGAAAAACTACAACATTGATTTGAAGATTGGCCCGCTAGCCCAAGAACCCGTCACTACGGCCTAAAGCAGCGTCGAGTACTAAAGCAGTTAGTTATGCTTGATTTGAGATTATAAAGTGGTTTAATACAAATTAGGTTCCTCATATACATAATTGTTTATTAATTAAATTCTTTTGTAATTTTTATCTTTAAGACTGTATATTGCGATACCCTGACAGGGTTCATGTTAGGTACTATAAGCATTTTGTAAACATCTATTTGAATTGAATAGTTGGGTGAAGGGCACGGGCAAGTTCTGAGGGGGCTCGAATCTCACTTTTCAATGCCCCGTCTACGACAACGCGGGCTTCTTTCCTATGATAACGAAATATTGCGAAGTGTACAGAACTACTCAAAGAAGTGCTTTAATTCAAGCAAAAGATATCAGCGATTTGGAGAGATGGAATTTTATTGATGTTATATATTAAATACACGAGTACATTAATTATTATTAGAAAGAGGTCCGCTTCCATGCTCACTAGGCTCCGCTCTAGTACCAACGGCCTCCTGAGGGTATTTAATGACCGGTGGGACACTCCTCTGCTACGACACTGGGTGAAGCTCCATATCCAAAAGTAATATTTTATGTAATTCTTTATAATTCATTATTATACTAACATATTTATAAGTAAATCAAATGTAACTAACACTATGGAACCTAGTTCTGAATTAAATAATATGAATGAATTAACGTAGTAATTTAGCGTCAATAAATCAATATTTTCAACACTCACACCAATTAGCCTAGCCGTAAAGTAAGCACTGAAAGGCTTGTGTTATGGGATGCTAAGGTACCTGATAAAATACATATTACTGATACATATATATATAAGTATATTTTGAGAAGCTCGGTGGCGCAAGTGGTTAAAGCGTTCAGCTGCGATACGTGAAAGCAACATTCGCAGTGATTGGTCATTGGATGGGTAAAGAAAAATGTACTATCTCGAGCTCCTTCATGCTTGGGAAGGCGCGTTAAACCGTTGGTCCCAGCTGTTGTCGTTAGCTCCCACCAACCCGCATTGAGTGGTGGGTCATCGCCCAATCTACCTATTCCATCTGTGCCCCGGCAGTGGGGACATGAATAGGCTGATGATGATGATAAAAATTTCATTAAATTTCAAACATGTTACAATTATAGTTACAATTGTTATTTTTCAAGCATGTAACTGTCTTGCAGCTTAAAAAGGGCTAGAAAGAATTCGACACGGCCGTCAGGACCGCGGTAGCATAATAGTTAGTGCATTCGCCCGGATAGCGAAGGGTGCGGGTTCGAGTCCCGTCTGCTGTCTGGTCCGCGTTGAATTTTTTCTAGTAATAATTTCTTTGAGGAGCTCGGTGGCGCAGGTGGTTAGCGCGTTCAGCTGTGATCGTTGAAGTTAAGCAACTTTCGCAGTGGTCAGTCATTGGATGGGTGACCAAAAGTTTACTATCTCGAGCTCCTCCGTGCTTCGGAAGGCACGTTAAGCCGTCGGTCCCGGCTGCATCTACAGTCGTTAGCACCCACCAATCCGCACTGGGCCCGCGTGGTGGGTCATGACCTAATCTCCCTATTCCATCCATAGGGAAGGCCTGTGCCCCAGCAGTGGGGACATTAATAAGCTGATGATGAATATTTTATGATTTTATTTATTTTTTAAGCATTTAACTGCTAGATGTCTAAATCTAAAGAAAAGTTTACTAGAAAAAAATCCACGCGGACCAGGCAGCGGACGGGACTCGAACCCTCATCCTTCGCTATCCTGGCGAATGCACTGACCATTATGCTACCACGGCCCTATTAGCCGCGTCGAAATTTTCCTAGCCTTAAGCTGCAAGGCAGCGCCATCTCTTCGCATTGTAGGTAACCCACAATGTGGGGATGAATATTTTGTTTACATGTTACAATTACCTGTTCCGCTCTATAGATACAGAGTGCCAGCGATCGTCTGCGAGCCTGGCGCTGGTCTCTACGGATACTCCGAGGGGGGTATCGCCCACTTGGAACTGGAACTGCAGCTGGTCCCCGCCGATTAATGACAGGCGGATGTAGTCCTGAGGACCCTGGAGCGAAAAATCGTCGAGTATTTTAAAATGTATGCTTCATTTATGGACGTACCAATGAGTGCGCGCGATCGCTTCATCTGTGTGGAAAAAAATATTTCTCGTATCTGTTTATTTGAAAAAGGTACTTAGACAGATTACAGTCGATAAATACGTTTAAGAGCTTATTTTAGTAGACTAGACAATAATCTATAAATTGTGTAGACAGCATGCTAATTATCACATCGAATTAAAAGAAAGAAAAAACGATTGGAATTAATATAATAATTATTAATAAAACGTCGAAAAATGTACGTGGACAGTGTTCTTGTGGGTCCGAAATTACTTTTTTATAACGCGCAAAATTTTACGTTATATTGCAACTGTTCGGAAATGGAAACTGGTTACATTGCAAAATTCGACTAGTTACACCGCGTTTTGTTCATATCACTCAAATGTCATTTGTAATTCAATAAACTAAATATGAGGAGCTCGATAGTACAAGTGGTTAGCGCGTTCGGCTGCGATCGTTGAAGTTAAGCAACTTTCGCAGTGGTCGGTCATTGGATGGGTGACCAAAAATTTACTATCTCGAGCTGCTTCGTACTCTGGAAGGCCCGTTAAGCCGTCGGTCCCGGCTGCATCTGCAGTCGTCAGCACCCACCAATCCGCACTGGGCCCGCGTGGATAGGTCACGGCCCAGTCTCCCTATTCTATCCATAGAGAAGGCCTGTGCCCCAGCAGTGGGGGCATTAATAGGCTGATGATGAACTACATATGGCGTAACTCATCCAAGCTTATGCTTTGTTTATTAACAAGGGGGTGTATGTTTTGTATGCTTGAGCGTTTGCTACCTTAGAGTGCAATAGCACGGCGTTCTCCTTGGTGGTGCGGAACTCGAAGTAAATATCTCCGCTGTGGCCCAGGTCGAAGGTCGGCAGCGATATGATCGCATCGGAAACGCGGAATGTCACTGCGTCGCTGAACAAGTCTGGTGAAATGTAGGATAGGGATTATGAAACTTTGGGCCTGTATGAACATAAACTGTGACCGCCTTATAACACAACGTAGACTTAATTTGTTTCCTAGGTTTTCATGCACACCACTCATTAAAATAAACAAGTTTCAACGGTATAGATGCAATTTATTTACTAGTCGCCCGCCCTCGCTTCGCTTCGGTGTAGAGCTGTAGTGTAAACTATAGTTTTTGTTCCCAGGCTTGTGCTATAAACAATGACTTTATTTATAGCACAGTGTGACCTAAACCCGCACTTTACGCACGCTTTTCCGTGACCTAAGTTGCCTATTTCTGCACGGCGTGTAAATGAATTGACCAACTTCACTCATGTAGAAAAAATAAAAGGAAACACATTTAAATGTCATTTGGAGCTTAAAAACTCACAGCAAACAAATGACAAATTAGCGATAGGTTAGGAATTTTCAGTGACAGCCAAAACAAGGAGAAACGGTTAGCTATAATTCATTCCGCGAGAATTGTATCTTTGTTTAATATATTGTTATGCCAATCAAGGAATAAACGTTCATGGATACATTGAAATTCTATTTTGTTGTAATGATATTTGATTTTTTCCTTTTGAAATATACTTTCAAAATGGTAATCTGAACCGGAATTCTTTCTTTTCAGAGTTTGACTTGCAGTCTGTATTGCAATTCTTTGTGATTGCAATACATGAATTTTACTTTCAAAACACTAATCGCATCCCTCGCTCCGCTCGGGCGCTAACTTCACGCCGTGCAGTAATAGGCAACTTAGGTCACGCGTATCGTAATGTACTATTATATAATTACACGTGTTATTGTGAGTCAACCATAAAAGATAGACATATGCTGTTGCGGGATATTTTTTAGACAATTTTATGCAGAATATTTCCGTCATACATGATTTCTATGTAACTTTAATCATTAAGGCTGCAGACGCGACGGAAGCTTAAAAAATGGAGTAACTTCTCCCGTTTTCCCAACATTTCCCTTCACTACTCTGCTTCTATTGATTGTGGCGTGTAACTGCCCAGTACCATAAATTGTGTAGACCGCATGATTAATTATCACATCGAATTAAAAGAAAGAACAAACGATTGGAAATAATATAATAATTAATAAAACGTCGAAAAATTTACGTGGACGGTGTTCTTGTGCGTCCGAAATTACCTTTTTATAACGCACAAAATTTTACGTTATATTGCAAGTGTTCGGAAATGGAAACAAAATATTACAAAATTCGACTAGTGTTTTGTTCATATCACTGAAATGTCATTTGTAATTCAATAAACTAAATATAAGGAGCTCGATAGTACAAGTGGTTAGCGCGTTCGGCTGCGATCGTTGAAGTTAAGCAACTTTCGAAGTGGTCGGTCATTGGATGGGTGACCAAAAATCTTCTAATTCGATTTCCTCCGTGCTTCGGAAGGCACGTTGAGCCGTTGGTCCCGGCTGCATCTGCAGTCGTTAGCACCCACCAATCCGCACTAGGCCCGCGTGGTGGGTCTATTGCATCCATAGCGAAGGCCTGTGCCCCAGCAGTGGGGACATTAATAGGCTGATGATGATGATAAAATTTTTATTTTTATTGCGTCCGTAAAACGCGAACCAAGTTATTACCATCTCCCTCGCACAGCAGGGGGCCAAGTGTGTATCGTCCCTCCTTCTCGTCAAGATGGCTGCCGGTGTCACCGAATCGAAGCTGTTTCACTGGTAGATATTCCTTTTCCGTGATTTCACCGCCGTCAGATTGGAAGTCTAAATAAAGGAAAGGTGCTTATAACGGTGTCAATTCTGGCATAATTCTCTAAACTAAAAAACTAAAAATCGGTCTCTCCTGTTTGTTCTATATATAGAATGACAAGGAGACACTGTTGTCAAATTTAATTTTAGGTTGAATGCCATAATCGACACCATTGTCGGTTTAATGTTTTTTATATGTTTGACTCTAGAGAAACTATTGAAGGCATTATATATACATTTTCAACTACTATGATGTAGTGCGACTGAATCATAAATAGTAGGTTTAAAGTTTGGTATGGCGACGCATCAAACGAAATTAAGATACGTGTGGAGTTTCATCGACTGAAACCTGCACCAAGTTGCGCTCTTATTTAATTTTACAAACGTTAAAAAGTTTGAATCGCACAAAAAAATAACAAAATTGTGTAGACAATAGTCATCGTAGAAGTATATAAAAGAACTCTTTATTTGTCGCTATAGGCAAAAAAGTCACAGTCATGTTATACAACAATACAATTAAAACAATTTAGAAACCGATCATAGTTTAATGAGGGCTACCGTTTTCTGTCTCACCTGATGGCGCCGCTTTTGAGTGAGGTATTTTATACAGGATGTTACAAAAATACAAATAAAGCTTGAAGGGCGTTGAAGTACATCATATAAGGAGTCTTCTCTAATTTTCTTAAAATATTTGCATGAAGTTTTAACTTTTTATAAAAACAGTTATTTTTAATGATTAATAAAAATATCGATCATTTTTAGACACATCACTAGTTCGAGGATCATTAAAAATATCTGCTTTTAAAAAAAGTTAAAATTTCATGCAAATATTTTAAGTAAATTAGAGAAGACTCCTTAAATGATGTACTTCAACGCCCTTCAAGCTTTATTTGTATTTTTGTAACCCCCTGTATATAACATAGTAACTTTTAAAGTTTAATAATACGGTCGTGAAATCAAAGTTTTCATTTCAATCAAATTGTAATACAAAAGAACCGTATCCTAAACATAAACGGCCATGTCACAGTGATACACAGTTCCGTTTTGTTCGGAAAAAAAGGATGACATAATAATTTTTCTTAGATTCGCTGTTAAATAACTAATATTCATTGCCACGGAACTCATATTTGCCATAATTAAGCGGAGTTACTACCAAATATTCACAACATTATTATGATTAGAAATAAACCCGTGTAGTCAACCCACAAACAATAAATAATAAAATAATAAATAAAAAATTTATTTTAACAATTAGTACAAAAATAATAACTTAAAAGTACAATTTTAGCTTAGGTATAACAAAACATGCGCCTGAACTAAGAAAATCCTGTGTTTCAGGCGGACATCATCTGACATTTCGGAGACCTCCCGCTACATTAGCGCTTCTAGCGGCCGATTCATACGTGATAGCCCTTATTGTGATAATGAACCAGCACATACCAGTGTGATCCGGTGCTGTATACTCGGCGTCGCAGTTGCACCACTTGGTAGGATCGACGCAGGAGCCCAGCACCCCGCAGCGACACATGCGGCTGCCGGGCGGCGCGCCGGCCCAGTAGTCCATGCGCTGCCCGGTGCGCGACACCCACCACGCGAACGGGTGGAAGCTGCCTTCGTCGCCTGCGCAACACCCCCATATCATATCAATTAATAAATCATAAATATATATATTCAACACTTTCACCAATAGGGTATTTGACAAGTTTTAGAAAACGATCTCACGTTATTGACTATTCATCATTTTCTTATATATTTCAGTAAAAGTAACGAAATCAAAAACTCCATTTTCAAATTGCCGCGAAAGCGTTTTTCTTGTCAACATGGCGTCTTACTAGTGTGACGTCACACGACTGTTATTTAAACGTCAAACGATACAATGTAATGTCGCTTTAACCGGAAGTTTACTTGCGTGTGACGTCATTTAGGCTCCGCCAATCCCAAGCGTTTTGGGTCACGTGACAATAGATAAAGAAACTATTATCTTTTTCGTGGGTTTTTAGTAAAATTATGAATATTTTTTTTGTAAAAACCCCTGCCAATATGCAGTCTAAACACAATTGCTAACGATTGGCACTTTATTTTTAATACTGTCATAATAAAATACCCTATTAGCCTAGCCCCAAAGTAAGCACTGTAAGTCTTGTGTTATGAGATACGAGGATAACGGATAGAATACATAAATAAGTATATTTATATAGAAGTACATATTAAACATTTATGACTGGAGTAAAAGTGCTCGTATTCATCACACAAACATCTTCCCCCACCGAGATACGAAGCCGGGACCTCTCGAGTCAGCGACACCATGAAACCCGGCGTATAAACCATTCGGCCGCGGAGGTCGTCGAATAAATCATCATGAATACGTGACCAACAACATTTCCTACCCTACATATAACAACACGAACTAAATAGTGACCGAAACTGACTGAAAGGTGCATTAGATGATCCACGGAGCTCCGTAAGATGATAGCGTGGCCGAAAACAATATAAGGAATAGGGATGACAACTAACTTTTGTTTCTTTGTGTATTAGGTAGATTATCAAAAAGTATTAGACACGTATTTTTTTTTTCTACATTATCAAAACATTACATAGACGTATTGATTTGAAAAGTCGCATGACCTCACGTTTTGACACAATTTTTACTTAAAAGTGACGTCATGATACCCCATTCCCAAACTTTGACGCGCTTTATCTTTGTTGTTTTTTAGTTGATTGACCGAAGAAAAAATGTGTCCATAATTTCTGATCATATAACTGACGGACTAAATAGAATTTCGTTTACTCTACCCCATCGTCACCCCTATTACTTTAACATTCAAAGTCATCTTTCATGCGTAGGATATAAGGTCTTAATTTAAATCCAAAGAGTTATGCCAGTTCGAAATGCAAGCTCGTTAAATTAGCAATATAACAGGTGCGGAGCGCGAGAACCATGCATTTGAATATCAATTATTTTCCTTTGAATCAATTTCTTAGAACAAAAATTGCTAGTCGACTCCTATAGTTATATTATTTTAACATATAGACCAAGAAGGGACAAATATATGTTGCCGTAGTAAACCATACTATGAACAACGTGAAAACTGCTATACAAACGTCAAATTGGATACCTTTTTATAGCTTGTTACGTCATACTTTAATTGGAAAAAAAAAATTATTCTTTTCTATACCGTTAATATATTTATGGGAATCTATGGTTAAACTTCATAGCATTACTTCTAGACTTTCTTCGTTCTTCTTCTGAGAACGACACATATATTATTAACAGTGCAATCATAGACGTATTGTCACGTAGTGTTCTGACAACCTACAAGTTTGAATTTTGACGCGAATAATAATAATAATAGGTTTCAGGATGTTACAGGATTAAGTACCGCCCCTTTAATATCATTGGCTAGTTTTTGCAACAGCCGCAACTTCTTTTCGAAATTTTAACACTTGAATCAAGTTTTCAAATTAATATTTGTTCAGAATGCAAACTAATAATTTTAAAAGTCGCTTCAGTTTCGCATGAAATGTGTCGAAAAAGATGGCGCGGACGCTACTTGGTCGCCGCGAACCAATGGCAATAACGTCAAATCTAAAATCAGATTTCTAGCTACGGTGATGCCAGCTCCGTGTCACGCACTTCGATATGATACGCTTGTTAAGGTAGTAAACAGACGCCTTTTTATGATTTAAAGCTTCGTTTGACAGATCTTTAAGTTTGTCCAAGAAGATTTATATTAAGGGAACGCTCAGTTATTTGTTTCTATTGATTAAATTTTGTTTCCTAAAATATTTCCTATTTTGAAGTGAAAACTTCTTTAGCGGCGTTATACACTTCTTACATACAAAAATGTTAAACTCGCGTCAGGTTAAACAAGCGGGCTGATCGCATCTGACACACAATAAAATTGGAAAGGTTGTTGACTTTCAATATATTGGACGAAATATAGTAATATTTTATTTTATAGTATTATAATAATAAGTCTCTATCGAGGACGTCCATGTGGCAGCTTGATTGCGAAGAAAATGCATTTTTTACAATAGATGTCGCTAGGTGCGCTTAAATGTGATTCATGTAAGTTGATTTCTCCACAATAGATGTCGCCAAGTGCGCTTAAACGTGATTATTGTAAGTTGATTTTTCTGAGAAACTTTTTTAATGTAATATAAAGTCATGTTTGTGTACGATAGCGCAATAAATAAATATTGTATTCTACCACATACATGATATTACTTTTATACTGATAATTAAAGCAATTCGTGCAAAATTATTCCCTTACCATTCCAAAATATCAAAAATGCACAAAGTTAATATTCAAGTTTTCACTTCTGCCGGCACTCCCGGAGTGCAACCCGTCGTTTTTTTTTTACACACATTATACACCTAGAATTTCATCGAAATCGATTCAACTTTTTAGGAAGAATTCAATAACATTCACAAAGAAATAAGAAACTTAAATGCAAAGAAATTATAGCGCGATTGCACTTGGTACTTAGCCTGAACGAGTGCCAATGGAATAGGGTATTTGACAGTATTAAAAATAAAGTGCCAATTGTTAGCATCTATGTTTAGAATGAATACTGGGAGGGGTTTTTACCAATTTTTACAAAAAAAATCATAATTTGACTAAAACCCACGAAAAAGATAAAAGTTTTCTTATCTATTGTCACGTGACCCAAAACGCTTGCGATTGGCGGAGCCTAAAATGACGTCACACGCAAATAAACTTCCGGTTAAAGTGACATTACGTTGTATCCTGTGACGTTTTAATAACAGTCGAGTGACGTCACACACTAGTAAGACGCCATATTGTCCAGAAAAACGTTTTCGCTGCAATTCGAAAATGGAGTTTTTGATTTGGTTATTTTTACTGAAATACACAAGAGAATTATAAACATTAGTCAAAAACGTGAGATCGTTTTCTAAAACTTGTCAAATACCCTATTCGGATAAACGACTAAGTGTAAATGAACGGAGTCGAGTACGCCCCTATTCGGGTAGTTTTCATTTTGGTTACTCGACACCGTCTACCCCCGTACTTTAGTGTAAATATTGCTTCGGGTGCCCGAATTCGAGAAACGTCTTTCGTGCACCCAAATACAGGCTAACGACCAAGTGTAAATAAGTCATTAGTATAGATTAGACTAGCTGACCCAGCGAACTTCGTACCGCCATAAAAATAGGAGCTGGTGGTAGAAGGGTGAAAATTCAGGGTTGTATGTATTTACTAATGCTGTATCATAAAAAAATAAAAAAAAATTATCTACAATTGAAAAAAAAATTAGGGGTGGATTACCCTTAACATTTAGGGGGATGAAAAATAGATGTTGTCCGATTGTCAGACAAATTACCCAATATGCACCCAAAATTTCATAAAAATCGGTCAAGCCGTTTCGGAGGAGTTTAACCACAAACACCGCGACACGAGAATTTTATATATTAGATATAAGTGTAACAAGACTCACTGGGCGAGTTGAGCAGCCTAGAATGCCGGCACAAGTAGTCGAGTCGTTGCGAGCAAGAATGCGATCTGTTGATCAAAGCTTCTATCTGTGGTCTCTCTGCATCGTACTGGATGTCTTGACGGAAGCTGCCCGGCTCTTGGTAACCATCCACTGTGGTGCTGGCCGAGGCAGTGTGATGAAGGGCAGTTAGCACTCGACCGTCCGCTAGAAAAGATAAGAAATACATGAAAATTTTACTAGAAAAAGTTTCACGCGAACCAGGCAGCAGACGGGACTCGAACCCACGCCCTTACATCCGCTCCGATAGCGGACTATCCGGGCGGAAGAATGACTATTATGATACCGCGGCTCTAATGACCGTGTAGAATTCTGTCTAGTGTTCTGCCTTAGGCTGCAGGGCAGAGCCATCTCTTCGTATTGTAGGTAACCCTGTATAATAATTATTACATATTTCCTAAATATAATTTCGGTGCAGAATGCCACTTTTTTTTGCCAAAAACTTTGATTATATACACGCCTAGTTAGAAGCAATGAGGAGTTCAATGGCGCAAGAAGTTAGCTTGTTGAAGCAACTTTCGTAGTGGTCCGTGATTGGATGGGTGACCAAAAATTTACTATCTCACGCTGACGCTCACGTGAAGATGTTGGTCCCGACTGCATCTGTAGCCGTTGGCACCCACCAATCAGCACTGGGCCCGCGTGGTCACGGCCCAATCTCCCTACTCCATCCATAGGGAAGGTCTGTGACCCAGCAGTGGGGACATTAATAGGCTGATGCTGATGATGAAGAAGTAAATTGAACACATTTTTTACTCAGTTTTGACTGTAGAAAGCCTTTATGAATTTCAATTTGAAAATAAACAGAGTTGCTACTTTGGCGCCGTCATCACTCGCGTTTACGTTGACGCGGTGGCCTAAAGTAGTGTGAAAATATTTACAGCGATTTTTCTATTCAGAGAAATAATTGATAACTGTTCTAAAAAAAAACATTATATACAAATGATTTATTGTTCTAGGGTACTGAAAACACCTGGGATTGGTAAATACCAAAACGACGTCACACGCTAGTAAAATTAAGGTCAAAGTAATTGTATCGTTTGACGTTTTAATGACAGTTGTGTGACGCTGGAGCGCGATACTGCTGCCACGTTCCTTAAGACACAGGCATAAGGTCTACAATGTCGCGGCACTCACACAACAGCTCGCAGGTGACGGGGAAGGCGGGTAGAGGCCCTGATCCGTCCACGTCGATGTGGAGCTCGCTGGCGCGCGATACTGCTGCCACGTTCCTTAAGACACAGGCATAAGGTCTACAATGTCGCGGCACTCACACAACAGCTCGCAGGTGACGGGGAAGGCGGGTAGAGGCCCTGATCCGTCCACGTCGATGTGGAGCTCGCTGGCGCGCGATACTGCTGCCAAGTTCCTTAAGACACAGGCATAAGGTCTAAAATGTCGCGGCACTCACACAACAGCTCGCAGGTGACGGGGAAGGCGGGTAGAGGCCCTGATCCGTCCACGTCGATGTGGAGCTCGCTGGCGCGCGATACTGCTGCCACGTTCTTGTAAGCCTGGCACGATAGCGGATGCACCGCTGCAAAAAAAAAATTTTAGGACAACCAATAAAACCAGCACTTTCCACAATTCATACACTACAATTATCGTCCCCCGTGGCCGAGTGGTTTGTACGTCGGGTTTAAAGACGTCGCCTACTCGAAGGTCCCGGGTTCTAATCCCGGTGGGGGCAGATGTTTGTGTAATGAATACGAGCATTTGTACTCTAGTCATGGATGTTTTATATGTATCTCTATATAAATTTACTTACATATTCTATCCGTTACCCTAGTATCCCATAACACAAGCCTACAGTGCTTACTTTGGGGATAGAATTGGTGTGAGTGTTGGAAATATTGATGATTAAACTACTTGACCGTCACTGAAAGCTTTATATTGAGATAGCACTTCCGTTTCCCGTCGAATTACCATCAGTTTCCGTACTTTTATTCACCTTATATCCGGTCCAGTGGCGACACCTGGCAGAAGCGCGGCCATTTTTGTTTTCCTAAGTTTTGACAGCGCCATATTAACTCATTGGCGTTCTGACTCCCGTCGAAGCAACACGTCCTCAATCTGAGCGATCGTTGTGAGATTTTAAAGGTTTTATTATTATTAAGTGATAAAACTGTAAGTAAAACTATTTTATTTTAACGGTTTTTGCCGTTCGTGTTATTCCAAATAGGTACTTTAATGTTAAATTGTGCAATACGCTTGTTTGAAAAAGTAATAATAAGCCGTGAGTAAAACTTAACGGCAATTCAAGGTGCGTTTTGTTTAAAAAATTAAAGTACCTACATTAAAGTAAATTTTGCAATACTTTACGTCTGTCTTGGTCGTTTATCATAAAAACTATTTTAAGAGTGTTTTCTCTTGGTATTCAATTAATGTTTCCGTATAAGTAAATGTGAAAGTAAATTGGTAAATGTATTACAAAATACTTAATTAAATTATTTTACAGTTTAGAGTGAAGGAATATCGGTCAATATTGACGTTTCAGCCGCCGACTGACTGGCATTATTGGCAAAAAAAGCAAGATGTGTGGATCTAGTCATTATTGTTCTTCGAACAGCTGCAGTAATTATTGGTTGAATTTGTCGTCTTCTGGTATAACGAAAGCGGCATCGCTGCCTCAAGAAAAATAAGCGAGCTTGATATTCCAGCCCTTTTATTAAAAGATTGTTCGAGGGGTAAGTGAACTATGTACAATCTTAATAAGGTATTTCTAATGTCGATGTGCCGTTTTCTGAACATGGCCAGCTATCAATATCTAAAGGCTTATGAATAAAAAGTTCTAACATTTTTACTGACCAATACACGTAATAAAAATTCTCATATGAGTCGTGTGACTAAACTAGGATAAAGGAACGCTCTGTTCGAAAGACATTCAACGTTTATTTTAAATGATATGCTGATGTAAATTAAAAATTATAAACATAGTCCAGGCTTTATCAACCTGGAAACAAACAACGAGGTAAAGAAGTATGATGATAATTTATGATATATCACGTTCCTGACATTAATTTTCTTTCAGCAATTGCATATTTCTATAATAAAAATGAATCATTGCGGGAAGGCACCTGCTCAGTTAATTTTAATAACGAAAGTGATAAGATAACAGAATCGTTTCTTAGGTCTTTTACAGCTAGCACAAAGCTAAAAAGTAAAAACTAAAGCACTGCAAGAAGTTAGTGATCTCTGTGATGAAGCACCACTTAATAAGATACCATCTATGAGGTTGTTTTTATCGTATTAAGTAAGTATTTGTCATGGATTTAAGTGATTGACATTTCATCAACCTAATGAGCAACTCGCGCAGAGGCAAGTGATATTCATAAGCTTCATCTCATGAAGCCCAAGGCGTGTCAGGACATGCCCTCCCATGGCGTACCTACACATATGAGTACCGGTGGCAAATCACCCTCGCGGGGTGCATATTATATATAATTTGTTTCCACTACGTGGAATCTTATTAAATGCCTCTAATGCCTTGCCTACATATACGAGTACCGGTGGCAAATCACCCTCGCGGGGTGAATATTATGTACAATTAGTTTCCACTACGTGGAACCTTATGAAATGCCTCTAATGCCTTGCCTACATATACGAGTACCGGTAGCAAATCACCCTCGCGGGGTGCATATTATATACAATTTGTTTCCACTACGTGAAACCTTATGAAATACCTCTAATGCCTTGCTTACATATACGAGTACCGGTAGCAAACCACCTTCGCGGCGTGCATATTACCAAAACTCTGATGACCGCCCCTCGCGGGGGCATATTATGTATAATTCGCTTCCTCCGTATGGAACTCATTATGAATAAGGACTTGCCTTCCATGGCTTGCCTACACATACAAGTATCAGTAACAAAACATCGTTGATAGAGAAATATCCTCATAAATTTTATAATCGCCCTTGTGGGGTCATATCACACATAATATATTATTTCCATTACGTGAATATCAATATATGTTCTCCTTAGAACATGTTCGCTTATGGAGTTCGTACTATTATGTAAGCACCGGTAACATACGACACTCCGAGTGGAGCAAATTATGCATAATTTAACATGTAGTCTATTCGTGATTCATAATTTATTTTTGTGACCATGGGGTCTGTAAAAGTGTAAACGATTCGAAACATTAAAAATAAGTAAATTGAAAATATAATAAATGTCGCTTGACATAATTCATTACTTCCATCGCGTGGAAATCCATACATCAACGCAACGCAACATACCCGCTCATGGCTTGCGTACACACATAAGTATCGGCTATAAACTACCCTCTTAATAGACTATAAAGATCGAACATCGAATGTTGACGTACCCCGTTGGGAAGTGCAATGTACGTGGTTTTAAGGTGTCGCATACTCCGAGGTCTTGGGTTCACCCCGGTGGGGCAAATCATTGTATGATAAAAACGAGCATCTGTGCCTAAGTTTTGGTTGTTAACAAATATGAGTTTAAAATCTAATCTAATAAATTCTAATCTATGCATCTTCATTATGCATTTCCAGGCGTTAGCCCATAACACAAGCCTTTCAATGCCCATTATAAGGCTAGGCTAATTGGTGTGAAGTGTTGACTCGATCACTACGGTTGTTCTACCGTAATATATAATACATTTCAAAAGAAAAAGGAATATCGAAACAATTAATGTTTGAAAAAATTTAGTGCAGGTAAGTTGATAAATTGGGAGCTCCATAAATAATTCTTAAATAAATTTAATGGTATCGCATGCCATTCAAAAGCTTGTTTATCTAAATCCAATATATATCAAACTCCAATCTCAAGTGCAGTACACTATAAATATGTAAAGAATTCTAAGTTTTCTGCAATTTAAAGACTATCTGCCAGATAAATAGAAGATAACATATTTTCTCTTGAAAATAACAAAAGTAAACCAAATGGGTTGCTCACTCTTTTGATCGCATAATGAGAGAAACTTGCAATATTAGAAATGTCGTGTATGTGGTGTCTGAGGTGGCCAACTTGATCATTTTGATATATAAGTGGTGCTAGTTACTGAAGAAAGATTGCACGATCTACCAAATTCTTGAAAGGTTTTGAAGATCATTGTATGCAATTATCCCCTTTATGTTATTTTAGTAAAAATTACTGAAAACTGTTCTTAATATTAAACTTACGCTTTCTAACCTTGCCACGACTGTCTGGAATAAATATACTTCAAACCCTACGCATAGTACATGCACACCTCATGTAAGCTGTGTAAATCTTATAAATAACTAAATCTTTATTTAGTATTAAGTAATACATATAAATGACTCGGATCTAAGAACTGAAAAACAAAAGAAAAATTACAATCAATTATAGATTCCAGGATGGCAAATGAATTTCATAAAATCTGGTCTGAACTTCGGAATAGCATAATTTATCACGGCAACCCAGCAACAATATAAAAACTAAACCAGAAAATTTCGTTGTAAAAACGTAAACTTCAGAAGTTGATCGGTTTCAACATTTTTGTTATTCCGTGGGGTTGTATCAACCACTCCCTACTTCTAACAATAATAAATTATGAATTCACTGCAATCGACCTTGCAATCACTTCCCGCCAATCTAATATGAAAGCTTGGGAAGTATAGTTGAAGAACACGGCACGATATGCTAGCACTACGCTTTTCAACATATTCTACAAAGAGCGACAGCTCTGTCTTAAAAACAGCTATGAGATGGCTCGGAAACGCTGGCTTGCGTGGTTGCATTGGTCTAGGAACAATAATGTTTATCGGAATAATCCCGCAAGTTGTGGACTCGGCTCTGAACTAACACGATTTTTGAGAGACTTATTTTTAACTCGTGACTTATCTTAAAATAAGTACCATTATTTTAAATAAGTAAGTAGTTTTTACATGATATACCAATGGATGATAAGTCTAATTACCTAAGCTCACCTGTCTTGGCAAACACATATATTGAAGTCGATTGTTTTTAAAGAATCAGTCCGTAACCTACTATTCTGTGTCTATAAGTTAACTTATTTCCTTTTCTTCAATAATGTACTCTTTACATCATAATGATCTGTTTCAAATACTTCGTCATATATGTTGTTCTGAACGTCATACAGTAATTATGCTGCGTATTATTTGGTTCAGCATGTGGTACACATGACTTGTTCCTACTTCAAATTATCCCGAATCATTGTATTTGTACCGACGAAGATTAGTTCAGCCTTGTTTTGGTTCAAAACAGGTGAAAGTAGTTAAAGACAATCCGATTGGTGACTTGTACCGAATAATGGTAATCGTAAGTGGGACCCTGATTTTTGGTACTTAAGTAAAAAGTACAGTCTTGTAAAATGTAAGACTCAGTATCGAACAACTTTACATCTTTTTCTCTCGTTCGTACGCCTTATTTGTGATATACAAAAATACAAATGAATGCTACACAAGGAAGCGTCCTGTCATTAACAAAACAAATATATGTAGAAGTATATATATATATATATATACTTCGCGAGTTATGCAGCTTCGTAAGCTTGAAGAAATTAAAGGCGTGATTCAAATAATATTATTTGATTCATTTTTAAGCTTACTCGTTTCTTTATACAGTTTCATATAATCTGATAAATGTTAATATTTAAATTTATCATAAATTGTCACATTGGCGTATATATCTATGTACGTGGCGATCACCAGGCGATAACAAACAGGTCTCAATATAAAGCTTTCAGTGACGGTCAAGTAGTTTAATAGCAGCATTTTACCTGAAATAAAATGCATATTAAAATACTTACCTCACTGAAAGCTTTCACTTTAAATTCTGCCTGGTGAAATAATTGAGCCAATGAGTTAATATGGCGCTGTCAAAACTTAGGAAAACAAAAATGGCCGCGCTTCTGCCAGGTGTCGCCACTGGACCGGATATAAGGTGAATAAAAGTACGGAAACTGATGGTAATTCGACGGGAAACGGAAGTGCTATCTCAATATAAAGCTTTCAGTGAGGTAAGTATTTTAATATGCATTTTATTTCAGGTAAAATGCTGCTATTTATTAATTGATATGATGTTGGGGTGTTGCGCAGGCGACGAAGGCAGCTTCCACCCGTTCGCGTGGTGGGTGTCGCGCACCGGGCAGCGCATGGATATACCAGTATGATCCAGTAAAACTATATAGATTGTCGGATTTAAAACACTGGTTGTTGCTTTTACTGCGTTGAAGTTCTTTATTCTTCTAGTTGTTTACACGATGACTGGAGCTCTACTCTCTTTCTAAATTTCGGCAACGAACGAATTTTAAACGAAATTTCGCCAGTGACTCTACTCTTTTTCATCTTCGAACACGTACATAAAGTCCGGAATCACAGACAATTATCGTGAACGAATGGAATAAGTTATGTCTGTGAGTTCTTTTTATCTACACTTGTTAGATAACGTCTTTTACTTCAAAACAATATTACTTTATGACAACATTTTTGATTACATTAAAACAACCTCTTTTGACAGTGTTAGCCGACTAATTTGTAGAGGTGATGCAATCGAATGTATGTCAACCTAACTTTGTCGTGTAACACTTTGAAGTATTGGCAAAACAATAATAAACAAAAATTTGATTTATTTATACATTTTTCATACTAAAAAATGTTCCTCACGCTAAGCAGCCCTTATTAAAAATACGCTAGTAGTAATTTTAGGTTTAATTTAAACAAAAATCCCAAAACGAAAATGAAAAGGTAACACTTTTCATTTCGCCAGTTTGAGGTTAAAATTTCGAAAAATTATCTGTCAAATTCAAGTTATAGTTCAATAGTTTTGTGAATTAGAATAGGCTTAGAGAATTTAAATGTCAAACTATTTTCGGACGAACGAATTTTCGAAATGAAATAGAAACAAAGTAAGGAACGTGCGAAATTACGATCGAAATTTCGTTTTTCATTGAAATAGAGTAGGCCTCCTGTTCCTGGCAGACTACAATTTCAAAATTATCTACCTTTTATCAAGTTCTTCCTTTTCTTCAAAACATCTCACACGTATATAAAATGAAAAAAAATACACATAATAAAAAAAAAACCTAATTTAGCTACCAATTTCTTTTTAAATAAATACAATACTTACAAGTGTGACAAACAGCGCCAGCGTAACCCGTAGCTTGGCAATCGCAGGAGAATTCAGTTGCGGTCTGAGAACATTCGCCGCCGTGCTCGCAAGGGTTTGGATTACATCTGTTAACAATAATAATAATAATCATCATCAGCCTATTAATGTCCCCACTGCTGGGGCACAGGCCTTCCCCATGGATGCAGTAGGGAGATTAGGCCATGACTCACCACACGAGCCCAGTGCAGGTTAGCGGCTGCGCTAACGACTGCAGATGCAGCCGGGACCAACGGCTTAACGTGCCTTCCGAAGCACGGAGGAACTCTAGATAGAAGATTTTTGGTCACCCATCCAATGACCGACCACTGCGAAAGTTGCTTAACTTCAACGATCGCAGTCAAATACACTAACCACCCGCGCCATCGAGGTCCTCGATAGTAATAATAATAACATTTACTCGCCATCTCAGAATACAACCAGTTGTTAAACAGATTTTACAATATTTACACCAAGTTTTTAGTAAGGTATACGATAACAACATCAAAGACTGACAGCAACCCTCCGCTTTAGTAACAAAACTGTATTGCGGCAGAATAGAATCATCGTCGAATAAACAAAATAGGGTAGATTCACATCATTACTCAATTTATAACATGGGGCCATTCGCCTAACGGGACTGCTTTGGAAAAAGCTATCGCTTCCGATTTCGTTTTGTTATTTCTAGCCGCCTGAGGTTTTAAATGCCTCGCGCTCTTTTGCTTTCTTTTGCATTGTTAATGATAATATTAAAGAAAATGAGCGTGAGGTATTTGAAAACCTTCGGCGGTCAGAAATAACAAAATGAAATCGTAAGCGATAGCGTTTTCCAAAGCAATCCCATTAGGCGAATGGCCACCAGGTCGTGATTAAATTGAGAAATACTAGTACGTTAAGTAAACAGATAAATAATATAAAGATGCTACTACACATTAATATCGAAATTAATAATTTATATAATATTAGGTCATAGAACTACAAGTAAATTTATATTATGCATAAAATATTAAATAAATATATATTACATATGAACACTCAATTGTTGCCTTTAACAAATCCTCAGTTTCTCTTCATCCTTTAACAACGACCAAGTATAATTGAGAACACAAGCCTTACAGTACCTACTTTTGGGCTAGGCTTTTTGGTGTGTGCTAGAAATATTTATTGATATATCATTTATTTCTTTTGTATGTATAAATAAGGTATTTGACATTATTAAAAATAAAGTGCCAATTGTTATCATCTGTGTTAAGAATAAATATTGGTTGGGGTTTTTAATATTTTTACAAAAAAAATATTCATAATTTTACTAAAAACCCACGAAAAAGATTATAGTTTTCTTATCTATTATTACGCGACCCAAAACGCTTGGGATTGGCAGAGCCTAAATGACGTCCCACGCAGGTAAACTTCCGGTTAAAGTGACATTACATTGTATCGTTTGACGTTTTAATAACGTCACACACTAGTAAGGCGCCATATTGTCCAGAAAAATGTTTTCGCGGCAATTTGAAAATTGAGTTTTCGATTTGGTTATTTTTACTGAAATACACAAAAGAATGATGAATATCCACTTTTTACGGACTCCATAAACATTAGTCAATAACGTGAGAGCGTTTTCTAAAACTTGTCAAATACCCTATTGCTACTGCTCAGAGTTCCTTGTCTATGATCGTTGCTCAAGAAGTATACCTGTCTATCATCTGGCATGCGTCGAACACGATCTCGTTGGGACAACAGTACTCCTCCTTCTTCCAGTCGGTTGGGAGGCGGTAGTTTCCGTCTACGGCGATCTTGCGCATGCAGCCGATGAAACCGCGGTGAGGGGCTTTATCACCTGTGTCAAATGTTCAAATAAAACATTTAGGCCTTAGGAATTTCAACAATGTTTTTAATTTGGAGATCATAGAGTGATTATGTATATCGACAATGTCACTATATTTGTTTAGAGTATAGCACAATCTCGCAACGGAGGAGTTGGAACCAAGTATAAAGTGGTGTTATAGGTAATAGTATTAATAAATCAATACATATTAACAAACATTTACATTTATTCTACATTTCATGAAAAAATGTAACAGACCATTACTTAATCAACCATAGAGCGAATGACTTGAAAACCATTTGCTCATATTTTAAAACGACAGTAAATAATGTCATTGTCAATGTCATACCATAAAAACGTGTCCTATTTCCAACAAAAGCATAATAAGGACCATGGTTCATGTTCCTTGCGTCCAACGCGTTCCCGCAAAGGATGCGAAACGTCAATCTAACATATAAAATTCTCGTGTCGCGGTGTTTCGTGGTTAAACTCCTCCGAAACGGCTCGACCGATTTTCGTGAAATTTTTTGTGTATATTGGGTAGGTCTGAGAAATACATACAACCCTAAATTTTCACCCTTCTACCACCAACCCCTATTTTTTATGGCGGTACGAAGTTCGCTGGGACAGCTAGTAAATAAATAAAATCAGTGCATATATACCGTTGAAACTTGTTTTATTTAATGAGTGGTGTGCGTGAAAACCTAAGAAACAAATATATTGTAGTTGTTCCGAACACCTTTGATAGATGGCGCTGTACTCTGTTATATCGCATTATCCACATTTGTATTCAAAGAAAGCCTGATCGTGTCTCTATGGCAAATCTATATCCAACCATGTCTCTTTTACGATGTACAAATATTCTTTAATTGCTTTTTTAATCAGATAAATTATTCATGATCGAAGTAAACAACAAATAGTATACAAAGTTCTTTAATGAAATATTAATTAAAATCATTAGAATTGCTTCAGTTGGGTAAATGAATCGATGTCTGTATGGTCCTTCGAGCCGGATAATCAATATCGTTTACATTTGATACATAGAGATTAACAATTGTTTTGCATGCAATCAGATATGTACGGAATTGAAGTACACAATATAGATGTAACTTACCGGCGATATAGTAAGTTGTCCCAGTAAGTATCCTCAGCTTCCTAGTGGTCCGCACTGGTCTCATATCCACGGATAGGACGAGGCTATCCGTGGCGATGGTCAGCATCATGGAATGCCAGCGGCCGTCGTTGAATTTTTCCGCGTAGTTATCCAGTTTGACTAGAGGAGAGCCTTGCGTGTCTAATTCGACTTTAATTTTACCTTCCTCGAGGAACACCTGGAGACAATTCATAGTGTGTTGAAGATACATGCAAGATTTGAATTTGCCCTAAAATTAGCGCTCGGTCTATTAAAGTGGATATAGATAGACTGAGGAGGAGGAGAAATGAGAAGCTCGATGGCGCAGGTGGTTAGCGCGTTCGGCTGCGATGGTTGAAGTTAAGCAACTTTCGCAGTGGTCGGTCATTGGATGGGTGACCAAAAACATCTATCTCGAGTTCCTCCGTGCTTCGGAAGGCACGTTAAGCCGTTGGTTCCGGCTGCATCTGCAGTCGTTAGCACCCACCAATCCGCACTGGGCCCGCGTGGTGGGTTATGGCCCAATCTCCCTATTCCATCCACAGGGAAGGCCTGTGCCCCAGCAGTGGGGACATTAATAAGCTGATGATGGTGATGATGAGATAAAGACTCTCAGTCTAATTTAAGACTTAAGACCAAAATAGAAAATGATAAGATTGTGGGTGAATGTGACGAAGAAATATGTTAATACGAATAAAACATTATTACGACGATAGGATATGAAATTAAAATATTTTTTTTAACTGAAGAAAATATTTTGTAGAAAAGCAGATTCGACTCGGCTCAGGGGAGCTAATTGCTTCCACTCGCAAACTCCAGGTGCAACAAATATCAAATTTGTAATAAGTTACATACATTTTATATAAAAATTGAAACGTCATGGTAAAAAGTTGCACTCAGAGCGTAGGTTTAGCTTGTCATGGGACAAACGACCAAAGCGTCATCTGTAATGAGCTCTGCTATTTCTTCCCCGTTGTCCAGGTCTAACACAGTAAAGAGGAGCTCGATGGCGCGGGTGATTATCGCGTTCGGCTGAGATCGTTGAAGTTAAGCAACTTTCGCAGTGGTCGGTCATTGGATGGGTGACCAAAAATCTTCTATCTCGAGTTCCTCCGTGCTTCAGAAGGCACGTTAAGCCATTGGTCCCGGCTGCATCTAACAATCCGCACTGGGCCCGCGTGGTGGGTCAAGACCCAATCTCCCTATTCCATCCATAGGGAAGGCCTGAGCCCCAGCAGTGGGGACATTAATAGGCTGATGATGATGATAAAAGACTTCTCACCTTAATATGTCCTTCGGTCTTAAACTTGTGGTACACTAGTAGCCCATGGTTCTCGTACGTCCTGAATTCCAGGGAGATATTGAGAGTGTTACCGCCGGAGTAACCGCGTAATTTGGCGTATGAGCCTTCCTTCAGGAACGTTACCGGGGCAATTATCGGTTCCTGGCAGAAGAAAAAGTAATAAACTTATTATCACAATCTTAAAACCCTTGCTTACTGCCTTACACACGGGAAGGGTTGTTGCATATGCAAAATTTAAGGGGCGTGAAGAAGCATTCTTACGGGCCGGCAAGGTGAGGATAGTGGTTTGGCAGTTGATAACTGGTTTGGACTTTATCACCTCTAACATCAGGTGAGGTAGTAATTTGCCTACCTGGCTACATAAAAAAAAAATAAAAAACGCAGTTATGTACAAATTCACATGCACTATTTTAAGTTCATAAATAAATATAAATCGATTTTTGTTTAATATTTAGTTAATCATATAAATAGAATTTTGAGAACGAAACTAAAACAGTTTTTAATGTTACTTAATACCATTTAAAGCACGTGCCACTCTGGCTCCGCCCACTTTCTTTAGATGTCGTTATGTACTGGAATCCGCATCCGTAATAGCTCAACATCAATTGATGCAGATACGAATAAAGTTATCTGAATTAATACATTCCGCATTTGCGAATGTGATAATCCGTAAAACCCCTGCTCAAGAGCATTCATTTATGTAAACATAATGTCCAACGAAAATTTTTAAACAAAAAATAAAACCGACTTCAGAATCGAAATTGGAACTAAAAAGTAAAAAATAATTTCTGGTTCATGATTTGGAAGTCGGGCGGGTCAAAAATTTTTTATTTCGTCCATTTTAGTGAAAATTATATCGTCCAAGTAAACAATAACACAATTGACGGAGAAATAGGTGAACATGCATAAAAAACATCGTGCGTGCCTTTGAAATTTGAAGGTTTCCCCCGGATCCCACCATCAGATCCTGACTTGGTTCCAATGGGACCACATCGGAAGTGCACTCTTTTCGAATAAAAAAAAGAATTTTGGAAATCGGTCCACAATTGACGGAGAAATCGGTGTACATACATAAAAAAAAACATACAGTCGAACTAAGTGCCACCGCACACGGGCCACACGCCACAGCCGCAAACGCCGCCACGAGAAGCTAGAAGCGGCTACTAAAGTGGCTGAAGCCCGCGACAGCGGCCGACTAAGGTAAGGGAGAGAAAGGTAGGGAATCGCGCGAGTGACGCGGCGTTTTGTATCGGCGCATTAAGTGGCCGGTGCGGGCCACAAGAAGCGAGCAACGACGATTTGTAGCGTGTGGCGGCCACCGGCGTACCGTGTGTGGCGAGTCCATATAAAGTGTATGAAAACTACAAGAAATACGCCGGTGGCGGCGTTTTATGGTTGTGGTGTGTGGCGACAAACAGAACCTCAATTTTTGAAGTCGGTCAAAAATCATATAACCGCATCTCACTCACGGGACAAGAGTACAGCGTATTGATCTTCTGGTACTTGAAGGGCTCCCCGGAGTCGTACCCCTGCTTGAGCTCGTGGATGATATTGGTGGCGTTGAGGTAAAGGTTCTCCACGCAGCCGGTGAAGTTCTGGTTGACCACCAGACCCTCTTGGAAGTTGGGCACTCCGCCGATGTACATCTAATGAGGAATAAAGCAACTATAAGATAATAATATTTAAAAACTTTATTTCATCTCCAATAGGGATGATGACTATTTTCTTTTCTTCGTTTATCAGGTAAATTATCAAAAAGCATTGGACACGTATTTTTTCTTTATTCACATAATATAAACATTGCAGAGATATATTGATTTGAAAAGTCGCATGACGTTACGTTTTGGTACACTTTTAAGTGAAAATCCACTAAAAAGTGATGTCACGAGCCCCTACTCCCAAACTTTGACGCGCTATAACTTTGTCATTTTTTGGTTGATTGCCCAAAGAAAAAATACGTGTTTATTATTTTTTGATCATGTAACTGACTGACTTAATTGAATTTCGTTTACTGTACCCCGTCATCACCCCTATTGTGAGAGACCAGTGACCAAACTAAGATGGTGGCTGTCTCAGTGCACCAGCCTATTCCCGCTATAAGAAAGTGTTACATAACCAAAAAAAATGGAGAACATAGATAAATTTTAGTTTTACATTGATATGATTTTGTATGATAGGGTATATGGTAGTGCTTGTTGTGAGTGTATGTGGGTGTGAATTTGTGAATGTGATGTTTGTGTGCGTGTGTGCGTTTGTATTGTGTGTGTGTGTGTGGAGGGAGCGTGTGTGACTTTGCTAGTAAATCTCAAACCTAAACTTAAATTTGACAACAGCATCTCCTTGTCAATCTCTATACGGAATGAAAAAGACAGACTAATGTTAAATTGAGTTTTAAGTTCAGAGAATCATGCTTGGAATCGACACAACTATTTTAATTACTTGAGTAGTATTGAGGTTGAGCCTGGAGAACTCCCCCTTATCGCGGTTTTGTACCACTCTATAGACAGAGACAGCGCTACCTGTGCGAGAGAGACAAAACACCCACAAACTCACCGCCCTATTGAGGTTGAGCCTGGAGAACTTCCCCTTGACGCGGTTTTGAACCACTCTATAGACAGAGACAGCGCTGCCTGTGCGATAGAGACAAAACATCCACAAACTCACCGCCCTATTGAGGTTGAGCCTGGAGAACTTCCCCTTGACGCAGTTTTGAACCACTCTATAGACAGAGACAGCGCTACCTGTGTGAGAGAGACTAAACACCCACAAACTCACCGCCCTATTGAGGTTGAGCCTGGAGAACTCCCCCTTATCGCGGTTTTGTACCACTCTATAGACAGAGACAGCGCTACCTATGCGAGAGAGACAAAACACCCACAAATTCACCGCCCTATTGAGGTTGAGCCTGGAGAACTCCACCTTATCGCGGTTTTGAACCATCTATAGACAGAGACATCACTAACTGTGCGAGAGAGACAAAACACCCACAAACTCACCACCCTATTGAGGTTGAGCCTGGAGAACTCCACCTTATCGCGGTTTTGAACCATCTATAGACAGAGACATCGCTAACTGTGCGAAAGAGACAAAACACCCACAAACTCACCGCCCTATTGAGGTTGAGCCTGGAGAACTCCCCCTTGACACGATCTTGGACCACTCTATAGACAGAGTCAGCGCTACCTGTGTGAGAGAGACAAAACATCCACAACTCACCGCCCTATTGAGGTTGAGCCTGGAGAACTCCCCCTTGACACGATCTTGGACCACTCTATAGACAGAGACAGCGCTACCTGTGTGAGAGAGACAAAACACCCACAAACTCACCGCCCTATTGAGGTTGAGCCTGGAGAACTCCCCCTTGACACGATCTTGGACCACTCTATAGACAGAGACAGCGCTACCTGTGCGAGAGAGACAAAACACCCACAAACTCACCGCCCTATTGAGGTTGAGCCTGGAGAACTCCCCCTTGACACGATCTTGGACCACTCTATAGACAGAGACAGCGCTACCTGTGTGAGAGAGACAAAACACCCACAAACTCACCACCCTATTGAGGTTGAGCCTGGAGAACTCCCCCTTGACTCGATCTTGGACCACTCTATAGACAGACAGCGCTACCTGTGTGAGAGAGACAAAACACCCACAAACTCACCACCCTATTGAGGTTGAGCCTGGAGAACTCCCCCTTGACTCGATCTTGGACCACTCTATAGACAGACAGCGCTACCTGTGCGAGAGAGACAAAACACCCACAAACTCACCGCCCTATTGAGGTTGAGCCTGGAGAACTCCCCCTTGACTCGATCTTGAACCACTCTATAGACAGACAGCGCTACCTGTGCGAGAGAGACAAAACACCCACAAACTCACCGCCCTATTGAGGTTGAGCCTGGAGAACTCCCCCTTGACTCGATCTTGGACCACTCTATAGACAGACAGCGCTACCTGTGTGAGAGAGACAAAACACCCACAAACTCACCACCCTATTGAGGTTAAGCCTGGAGAACTCCCCCTTGACACGATCTTGGACCACTCTATAGACAGAGACAGCGCTACCTGTGTGAGAGAGACAAAACACCCACAAACTCACCACCCTATTGAGATTGAGCCTGGAGAACTCCCCCTTGACTCGATCTTGGACCACTCTATAGACAGAGACAGCGCTACCTGTGCGAGAGAGACAAAACACCCACAAACTCACCGCCCTATTAAGATTGAGCCTGGAAAACTCCCCCTTGACTCGATCTTGGACCACTCTATAGACAGAGACAGCGCTACCTGTGCGAGAGAGACAAAACATCCACAAACTCACCGCCCTATTGAGGTTGAGCCTGGAGAATTCCCCTTTGACTCGATCTTCGACCACTCTATAGACAGAGACAGCGCTACCTGTGTGAGAGAGACAAAACACCCACAACTCACCGCCCTATTGAGGTTGAGCCTGGAGAACTCCCCCTTGACTCGATCTTGGACCACCACTCTGTCCACAGAGAACAGCAGCTCGCGACGGTTCCTTGAAATGGCAACGTCATGCCAAATGTTGTCATCTAGAAGACTGCCCACTGACATCGACGTGGGTGTGCCGGAACCTGGGGGAGGGCAGAAGAAGTATGAGTGACGAAGCGAACGTGCGGCCAATAGTTCATACATTTATGGACTCTAGAAAAAGAGAAAACGATGTTGATCACACTTTAAACATGGAGTATGAACTTGTGTGAAATTAGGATTTGCTTTTTTTAATTATTATTTTCTTATATTTTTTATTTTTTAAGCTTGTAACTGCTCCGTCAGAGCCGCATAATGGTCAGTGCTTTCGTCCGGATAGCGAAGGGTGCGAGTTCGAGTCCCGTCTGCTGCTTGGTCCGCGTGGAATTTTTTCTTGTAATATTTTCTATTATCTTCTTGTTATCCTTTGAAAAGGTTCTCTAATAAAAATATGTAATAAAGCTATGCAACGGTTAGTTTTTCTGACATAGAACAAACAAATACCACTGTGAATGGCGGTTCATGTCGCCACTGTGTCCGCGGTAATAACTCTACCAATTTGGCACTTTTGAATTTAGTTCGAAAAAACAATTAAACAAAAGTATTACAAATGTATTTGGTGTTATAATAAAGTGTTAATCTATCTATCTATCTAAACAGTAGATTACTCAAGCTCGGTACATAATAAAAAGAACAACCTAATATGGCTAAAAATTTTAAACTTGCCATCACTATTCCGATTATCTATTGATTCCTTGTTTTTTCGAACTAAACTCAAAAGTGCCCATAATAGGGTATTTGGCAAGTTTAAGAAAACGATATCACGTAATTGACTAATGTTTATTAGGAGGAGTCCTTAAATGGTGGATATTTTTAATTCTGTGGTGTAATTCAGTAAAAAAACCTAAATTAAAAAATCATTTTTCAAGTACCCGCGAAAACGTTTCTCTGGACATTACGACGTCTCACTAGTGTGTGACGTCACACGACTGTAATTAAAACCTCAAACGATACAATGTAATGTCACTTTGGCCGGAAGTTTACTAGTGTGTGACGTCATATTATAATCTTGGCCAATCCCAGGCGTTTTCGGTAACCATGATGCATGAAAATCGTTTCTATTTAACGATTTTATGGAAAAGTTATTAACTATTTGTTCTTCCAGAATAGTAAAAACGTTGCAAATATTCATATTGTATACAGATGGCAATAATTGATACATTATTTTTCATACGACGACCTCCGTGGATGAGTGGTTTGTACGCCGGGTTTCATGGTGTCGCCGACTCGAGAGGTCCCGGGTTCGAGTCCCGGTGCAGGCAGATGTTTGTGTGATGAATACGTGCATTTGTACTCCAGTCATGGATGTTTAATATGTTTTTCTAAATAAATATACTTAAAAATTATTATGTACAGTATATGTATTCTATCCGTTACCCTGGCATCCCATAACACAAGCCTTATAGTGCTTACTTTGGGGCTAGGCTAATTGGTGTGAGTGTTGGAAATATTTATTATTATTATACTGTCAAATAGCTTATTGAAAGAGTGCTAATGATAAAGTGGTTTCCCCTATGTTGTCCTGCCCAGGCAGCCCTATCTGTAAAATCATTCGTTAAGCGCCACTCACCGAGGTCCAAGTTGAGGACGAGCCTGTTATCCCGCAGCTGTAAGGCGAGGTAGTCCCCCTGTGTACCGCGCGAGTATAACATAACCCCTGACGCAGTGCTAGTCTTGAAACGGAAACGAATGGTCTCCCGGGACGCCGATATGGGGTCCCGGAGGAGGTCCACCTTCACTAGTGACGTACCGTTGAAGTATAACGTGTCGGCCACTGAGGGATAAAACGAACAACGAATGACTAATATCCTCTTGTGCTTGATCCATAATGTTCTGTCAATGGATTATGTAGTTGCAAACATCATGAAATGAAATGAAAAATATTTATTGGCCATCTTGTATTTGCCTCTGTTTCTTATAGAAACAGAGGCAAAACAAAAAATATAAAAAAGAAACTTAACCTAAGAACAAAAATTAATCACTATGTATATAGATTTAAGACGGCCAATCAGGACCCTGCCTCAGCTTATGCTGATACAATGAGAAAATATTCTCTCTCAGCGCTGGTATTCTGGCAGGGCCTGTTTGAGGACGTGTTAGGGTACGGCCAGAGTGCACTCAGATTCAGACTCAGAAAACAAGCGCGAGAAATATACAGTGTAGTTTAAGCAGGTTGAATGCTGCCACTATGGCCACCCTGCTTTAACTACAATGTTTATTTCTCGCGCTTGTTTTCTGAGTCTGAATCTGAATCTGAGTGCACTCTGGCCGTACCCTTAGGCGCTATAAAGCAAACAAAATAACAGGTATATTTGGTGTCGATTCTGGCGTGACTCTCCGAACCTTATGGATTTTTTAATTTAATTATGGATTTTCTTTAATAATTTTCATCATTACTCTTAGATTAAAACAAAAAGGGAAGTAACAGTACGCTCATACTAGCATCAAATAAAATATGTTCAGACTCAACTACATAAGTAGCTCTCACAAACGCACACTTCTGTATATAAACATTCAATCGAACGAGCGAGACAGAATTGTACGCTTCCGAGTCCGTACGGCTGAGCTGTATTGTTGTCCTTTTCTTGATAACAAAATTGCGATAACGTAAATAAGATTCACGTCAAACCGTGATTTTTGATAAAAAATGTTGTTACAGTTTTACGAATGATAAGTGTTGCCGAGGCATCTGTTATATGATTTTGAACTATTTGTGTTCTTAATATAAGCATCGAAGGCATTGTTTTATCTTAGAACACAGAATATACGCAATATTGTTATATTGAGTGCAAATGCAGCGTGTTTGAAAGCGAATTGTGGTCATGCACCACAATTTAAGCGGATCACTTTTGAGCCGCGAGTGCCATATCTTCCCTTTTTGTTTTAATCTAAGTCATTACTATATTAATGTACCTACGAGGCTAAGAACAACAATCAATATGCACATTTTTTTTATAGATAGGTCCGACAAATGACTCCACCCCACCTGATGTTAAGTGATGGTGAAGTCCAGACGTGAAGATAGCTGGTACAGCAGTTCTACCTGCCACACCAGCCATCCTCACCCTGCCGGCCTGCATGTTGCTTCTTCACGCCTTTTTTTAAAGGATCCCAGGTTGTAAGAAGGAGGGAACACGTGAGCAGGCAGAGCATTCCATTTACGGATAGTGCGACAAAGAAATGAGTCACCAAATTTCACATATGTTATATTTTCGATTTGATTCGTAAAAAAGCTGCTAGAATATTATGTTAATATCCACGTACCATAGTCGCAACCGTAGACCTCCACCCTCATGGAGATTTTATCCCGCCACCTCATGGGGTTCACCCTAATGTATTGAGCTATAATAGGCACTTCGAATTCGTTCTTATGTACAGTGTTTCCATCTTGATTCCCTTCGAACATCTACAAGAAACCAACAAATGATCGATAAATATAACAAGTACAATGAATAGAACATGTCTGCATTGCATGCCTAGCCATTAGAAACATATCCTATCTACTATATAAAAATAAGTCGGGTTTTCCTTCCTGACGCTATAACTCCAGAACGCACGAACCGATTTCCACGGTTTTGCTTTCGTTGGAAAGGTCTCGGGCTCCGTGAGGTTTATAGCAAAGAAAATTCAGGAAAAATTAAAAAAAAAATCTTTTAATCACCAAACGAAATGTTACATAAAACGAAGCCATCTGGTGGCAAAACGGAGTTCGCCGGGTTTGCTAGTTTAGTTATAATTTTGATTTTTTAAGCATGTAACTGCTTGATGTTTAAATCTAAAGAAAATATTACTAGAAAAAAATGCATTTATTGGAAAAAAAAAACCCTAAAATTGTTTTTTTTTTCTAGTGTTATTTTCTTTAGAAATAAAAATTATAACTATAATTTATATTTCTTCTTTCCAATGTTTAATACTTGTAATGGTATTCATTTGACATTGTGGGTTAGAAAGGCTAGAAAGAATCAGGGCTACGGTAGCATAAAGGTCAGCGCATTCGCCCGGATAGCGAAGAGTGCGGGTTCGAGTTCCGTCTGCTACCTGGTCCGTGTAGATTATTTTTTGTATTACTTGTCTTTATATCCTATTTAATTTCTAAAACTAATGTAGATTTATATAACCCCGTACTTCGTACGTCGACGTTTCGGACGTCTTCGGACGTCAAAAGCGCTAAACTTTCGTAACGCCCTAGATTACAATCAATTCCAACGTTACCATTAAATAATCAAATAGAGCGTCAAAGGAAACATAACTCGAGCTATAAAAACGCCCATGAACAGACATAGAAAAAATAATAAGATCTATTCGAGGCATTATAAATAACACCGGGGAAAAAACAGTAGACGTCCTGTAACCATTAAAATAAGGCAATGGGTTGATTTCAGAATACTCCTCTGGGATGAGTAAGGAAATGGGATGAGATGTCATAGGATGAATACGGAAAACCCCCATATATAATAGAACAATAGGGGCTACAGTAAACTTACACACCTCATTTCTATTTTTTGGTCACAGTTACAGTTCGCTAGTGAGTACCTGTTTTTATTTAATTCAGTAAGTCCCGTTTTTTGAAGCGCATAATGTAAAGCGCGTATGCCGCCAAAACGACTGAATACGTGCAGAAAAATCGCCCTCAGTATCTTTAGGAACGTTCGCTATAGTACTGCACATTTTTTATAAAATACCTCTCATTTTTCTCAGTTGCTTGTAGCAGCCTAAAGAAAGGACAAATTATTTAGTCTTTTCATTTATTTGATACAACTCATGTCACTGATTTACAAAACTGTCATATATCCCTAAATAGGCTTTTACTATCGTCGTTTATCATATCGACAATTCCTCAACCTAGGCTTAAAAAAAGCGATTCAGAATCAATTTTGTTTACACTAGTAAATCTATTATTAGGCATACACATACCAAAAGATCCGATTTGTTTACTACCAACGAGAAGGTCATAAAAGGAGGCTAAGTGCTATAATCAATGTTGTATAACATTGTGTTTGATTGATGATTAGTGAACTATTAGATGATTTATGATGAGGAGCTCGATGGCGCAGGTGGTTAGCGCGTTCGGCTGCGATGATTGAAGTTAAACAACTTTCGCAGTGGTCGGTTGGATGGGTGACCAAAAACATCTATCTCGAGTTCCTCCGTGCTTCGGAAGGCACGTTAAGCCGTTGGTCCTGGCTGCATCTGCAGTCGTTAGCAGCCGCCAATCCGCACTGGGCCCGCGTGGTGGGTCATGGCCCAATCTCCCTATTCCATCCATAGGGAAGGCCTGTGCCCCAGCAGTGGGGACATTAATAGGCTGATGATGATGATGAGATGATTTATTATACTTTTTATTGCACACGAATATTATAATATACAAAACATAAATATGTGAGTATAGGAGGGCTTATCTTTAAGAGAGATCTCTTCTATCTAACCAGGGCTAAGTGAGAGAAAAAACGTAAGCGGGTGTAAAGATATGCTCCAAGTACATACTTACAAATTATATTCCTATCTAAGACTACATACATAAATATATATTCATATGTATATACACAAATACTTACAATAAATACATACATACATACTTAAATATATATACATTATAAAATAATAAATACACATTACATGAAATTATGTTAAGATAAAACAAAGAGTGGAATAAATACACAACAAAGAGTGTGAATTTATTTCCAGAGGGTGCTCTTTGACCTTTACTTTAAAGAAGACAATGGAAGGGCAGTCTTGAATACTGGAGGGAAGTCTGTTCCAGAGTAAAGCAGCACGAACAGAAATGGAATGGAAAAAGAAGGCACGGCATTCCTAAACCTTGTTAAACCAGTTTTTTATATAGTCATAATTTTTATATTATTTGCATTTGTAATGGAAAGTGACTTTATAAGTTACCTCATATTGAAGTCATTTTTCAATTTTGAAGTAAAAAACAGCCCTTGCTGAGTTTCTTGCCGGTTCTTCTCAGTACAAGGTCTCCCGCCGTAGATTCGCGAACCGATGGCATAGCTTTTCGACATTCACAAGTGCTTGTAACAGCCTAGACTGAATAAACGATATTCATTTTGATTTTTTTTTGAAGTTGGTATTACTCTATTAGTAAAATCAATATTATCAATCAATCAAAATCATTTATTCAATTTAGGCTGTAACAAGCTCTCATGAATGTATAGAAGGTACGATATCGGTTCTACTCAGAAGAACCGGCAAGAAACTCAGCACGGGCTGTATTTTTCTTCCAGTATAAAGTTGCCGCAGAGAGTACAAGAAGAAGAAAGAAGAAGAAGAACCTCAGTCTAATAATAAAGTTTTTAAAGTAAAACTTTTATTACTTCGCGCAAATTTTATTGTTCATCTTTAGCACGTCGCATTACATCTTTTATTGTAATTAAAAAATTCAGACCTTATCAACAAGCATCGGTGGTTTAGTGGTAGAAAGCTAGCCAGTTACGCGGGCGAGTCGAGTTCGTTTCCTTACTGATGAAGAACTTTACTCGCCAGTTACGCGGCCGAGCCGAGTTCGTTCACTTACTGATGAAGCACTTTACTCGCCAGTTACGCGGGCGAGCCGAGTTCGTTCCCTTACTGATGAAGCACTTTACTCGCCAGTTATGCGGGCGAGCCGAGTTTGTTTCCTTACTGATGAAGAACTTTACTCGCCAGTTACGCGGCCGAGCCGAGTTCGTTCACTGACTGATGAAGCACTTTACTCGCCAGTTACGCGGGCGAGCCGAGTTTGTTTCCTTACTGATGAAGAACTTCCTCGCAAGTTACGCGGGCGAGCCGAGTTTATTTCCTTACTGATGAAGAACTTTACTCGCCAGTTACGCGGGCGAACCTAGTTTATTTCCTTACTGATGAAGAACTTTACTCGCCAGTTACGCGGGCGAACCGAGTTTATTTCCTTACTGATGAAGAACTTTACTCGCCAGTTACGCGGGCGAACCGAGTTTATTTCCTTACTGATGAAGAACTTTACTCGCCAGTTACGCGGGCGAACCGAGTTTATTTCCTTACTGATGAAGAACTTTATTCGCCCGTTACGTGAGCGAGCCGAGTTCGTTCCCTTACTGATGAAGAACTTCACTCGCAAGTTACGCGGGTGAGCTGAGTTCGTTTCCTTACTGACGAAGAACTTTTTTAAATTAATCATTTCAAAAGTTTCACTTTCATAGTGGTTTTATAAAACTGGTGTTAAGGCACAATAATAGCATCATTAACACAATCTGCATTTTTTATGTGATTCAGGTATCTTTTATATTTACAAAAATAAAATAACGTAAGGTTAAAAAGCTATCTTATCCTACCTTTTTTGTTTGTTCAATTTGGTTTTTTCTACATTTAATACCTACCTCTACACGACACCTACGACGATGTTTTTAACTACAAACCTGAGCATCCCCACCAGATGTGGTGATGATCCTCCAACTCTCTCCATCATCGGAGTACTGCAGCATATATTCGGAGACGTACTCGTCGGTCGCATACCGCCCCCTAGTGGCGACCCCGCGCACCTCCTTGCGGTCACCTAGGTTCAGCGTTAGGTGCTGATAGTACGAGCTCTCTTGCGACGTCCATGCTGAGGTACCTTCACCGTGGTTAGTGTTAGTTAGTGCTGTACAGTTGGATGAGCCATCGACTGTAATATGAGGCTCTGATACCTTGACATTTACTAATATTATAAAGAGGAAAGATTTGTATGTTTGCAATGAATAAAATCAAAAAATACTATATTAATTAAAAAAATTCTTTCACCATTAGAATGCTACATTATTCCTGAGTAGTATAGCATAATAATATGCTATATTTTACTTTGTTAAAACAAAGTTCACCTGAGTAAAGTCGGGGATTATTGGTAGTTCTTAGATATTTAGGGCGCATAGCAACATCACGCAATATTTATGCGTGAGCATCGATAAAACGACGCACTCACAAACTACGACTTACGTAACACTAGAAGCGCGTATCTGTATAGAATATATTCGTGGATTCAGATGTCCTCATACTACAGTAGGATAAAATAGTATAGCTTTTCTCAAGTGCATTAATGTTAAATTATTTAGTTTAAAGTAGTTTTTTACATATTTAAAGGAATGTTAATATAAAATTAAGAAAGTAAATGTTAATTTAAGAATTTTTATTAGGCAAGGCACTGTTTTATCAAAAAAATTAGATCACACCACTTAGTGGTTAATTACTTACAAATTATCGACATCGATACACATCTTAAAATGGACAACCCCAACTGTTTTTCCAAATAATCTACAAGAAAACTACTTAAACCATAATACCAAAGAACTACTAATCTACTAAGCTTAAAGCCACCCTTACAATTGGAGCATGCAAGTTAAAACCATGCCTTGTAACATGTTATTAGATAACAGGATTATGGGGATCTTGTGAATACCTTAATCTCCCCACCGGCTGCTTTGTACTGAACATAATCAAGGCCGTTCGAGCCATAACTAATGTGGTACTCTTGAACGAACTCTTGAGAATGCGCGCGGCCTTGCGTTGATATCCTAGTAATGTTCTTCACGCTGCCTAGATCTATCACCAGCTGTTGATCGAAGTCGTTTTCTGATGCCGTCCACGCGTTCAAACCTTGTCATTGTGGAAATGAACATTCAAGGCATTGCCATTGCAAAGCATCCATGTTAGTAATAATGGTATGTTAGTATTCATGTAAATTAAGTGTCATTTTTATTTATACTATTTATTAATTTAAATACCCTTAGAACAACATATCATTGACGTAAAACCCGAACCCTAAAACATTTAAGTCTCTAAAGATATGATATTTAATATAATTCTTTTACACCATTTCTTTATATAATTTGAACACTTATTTCTAAAAAAATATTAAAACAATTTCACTTTCTTTTTAATAAAATCATTGCTGAACTTTGAGTCACTGTCATAAATTGGAGTAGCTTCTTTAATTAAATCTTCGAATACCAAAAACTTGTAAGGTTCAGGGGAGATGTCTGTTGCCTCCTTGCTCTTAATAGAAACAGCCACACAGTGTTTATCATCTAATAAAACCTCTTCAAATAACCATTCGTTTTTCAGATTTCCTCTTTCATATAAAACAGTATCGGTCACAAATTGACCAGCTTCCAGTTTCAATGTTTTCATGACAAAACTTATTTCTTGCAATGGAACTGTTATTCCAAAGCCAGTGTTTTTGACATAACTCTCTTTCAAACACCAGTTTCTGTAGAAGCAAGCAACCTGCTGTTGCTCAGTTGGAAAACTTTTAATTATATCCCATTCTTGTCTCGAAAATTGCCTAGACATCAAACGAAAAAATTCTGAAATGTTTTTATTTGAAGGTGGTTCAATTTTCATGACATCAACACCTATATTTTGTTTTGTGTTGCCAGCTAGCACAACATAATCACCTTGATGTGAAAGATTAAAACTCAAAGGGATATCCCCAGTACCTAAGAGATATGGCTTTCCATGACTGTCCCTGCCAAATTTTATTTCTTTATATGGTATTTTAGTACTCATGTGCACAAATTTCCTCATCATTAGGCGTCCAATCAGTGATGATTTAGCATCATCTATAAAAACAAACCGTGAAATTCTTTCCTTTTCTTCAGGTTGTATGAGGCTTGAAGCCTTTAAAATATCACATTCCTTCGGTTTCCAAGTGCTAACATTGAATGCCCATCGTGCATTATAAGTATTCTGCATTTTGATCAATGTCACTATATTTGGAGTGGCTATAATATTCTTTTTCCAAATTCTAGAATATGGTCCAAAAATAATATTCTTATTGTGGACCTGTTGATGAATTAATCCTATTTATTTCTTCAAGTATTCTCATTAAAAATAATTTTGTTTCATCAGTAAAAGAAATCCAATGGCAAAAAAAACTAGCAAACAAAAACATTTACCTAATACATGCAAAATAATAATAACAAATAAAAAAAAAACAAAAAAGAATTGAATCTCTATCAAAATGTCCTATTTTAGAATCTTTAGCCATTACAATTTATTTCGTTAGTTTTGTAAACTTTTAAAAACATAATTCTAGATTTCTTTTGATTAAAAGTTTTGTTAAAAACAAATAAGACATTGAGATAGAAATATTGAAGACTACATTTCAATCATTTATACTTCAATATACCAATACTCAACTTACCATACAATTTAGCATTTTCGGGCCCTCTGTCTCTCAAACTTGAAGTTGCTGTTAGTTTAGAATTTGCTACTAAAGGTTCGTTGCATTCATAATCATAGTAATACCTCACAGTTTCTGTAATAAAGAATGATAATTTACAGTAATTCCTTTAAATTAAGTGATTTATTTTATCCCTTATAAAATATAACAAAGCTCCATAACCTTAATTAAACAGGTACAGGATATCCAAATAACCAAAATAAAATTTTATCTTAATCTGAACCTGAAAAATGGCTCATATAATTTCAAATAGCTGTGCAGTCTAAAACTGAAAACCCTTTAAACTGAACAGAACCATCAATGCGGGTATGGGCATTTATTATTGGTCTAGACCAGGGACGAGCAAAATATGGGCTGAAACCTGGCACCTTTACTGGCTGCTGAAATGCAGGGTGAAGGGTAGTTACTGAGCTATATTTTGATTAAATTATATATGGGAGTGAGGGGAGACAATATTTGCCTATCCCTGGGCTAGACAATGCACTCCTACGTATATAAGGAATCAGATGTTAAAAAAGCTAAGGTGAATAATGGCATACACAATAAACGGTTGTCTACATAAGAGGAATTCTTTGTTGTAGGTATCAATATGTCATTCATACAGTATTAAGGTAAACATAAAGTTATGGTTCTAACTTTTAGAAACAATTCATTCCATAGTTGAAACAGAATTCTAAACTTTTTTTCTAAATCAAGTCAGTACCTACAAATATTTGCGAGGTTTTTGAGGTATTGATGGATATATATCAAATAAACTGTAAAACTTGCGATTTATTAGGAAAGACGTGATTTAAAAATATAAAGTTACCTGATTGTGTATTACAAAAGTAACGTTCAACTAACCTGCGTATGTTTTTGTGACAGTGCAGCAAATCAACACAACCAAATAATACACAAAATCACTCATCATAATTTCATACTTAGCAAATAATCGAAATTATATTAACTTAAAACGTTTTATGAATCAGAAAACAAATTGTTTGATCATTACGTTAGCGTTGTCACACACCGCACCAATCATCAACATCAATCAAGCCGAATAAAGCCGGACAACACCCTAGTAACAAGAGTGCTTTCATTGCCAGATTAGCCGGCAGGAAAAAGTAACTTTATTTTTCTAGCATTTTGATTGGCTCTTTGTACTATTGTCTATTGTCAAAATTTTATTATCCAATAAAAACGCAGAACAGTTTTTTGCATATTTTGACATTCAACAACTTTCAACAATAAAAACACACTCTTACACATTCTTTCAAAAACCATAAATATATATAAATATTTTTAATTTGATATAAGCTAACATTATTTTTCATAGAAGGTAAATTAAATGCGAAGAACACACACAAGTATTTTTCTGCTTCATAAATACCTAGGATAATTTTAAACACAAAACTTAAACTATTTGAAAGTATTGAACAAAGACAATTAGATGCTTGCGCATCTCTAAGCCATCAGCGACACCACTTTGGGGAGTTAATGCGATTCAACTAAGAATAGGACCGACTGGGCGCCATATTGTGATATCATAGCTGTCATTTCAAACCAAATAGGTAGAGTGAGCATAAAAAAGTTTATATTTAATAAAACTTATTTACTAAGATTGAGAAAAAAACCCACCGATTTTTAAAAATATTTATTTATTCAGACTGTCAGAAAAAACATTAATCAGAATCTAGCTCTTCTATTCCGCTCATCTCTGCATTACCGTCGAAGTAGTTATGAATAATCATGCACTATTACTAGGTCACATACGAACATGCATCCTTCATGTAAACGAAAGTTTGAAATCGAGTTTCTGAACGCAACTTAAATTGACGATTTAGGTTATCAACAATTCATGGCCAAAGCTCAATAAGTGAAAAAAAATATATCAACCTATATTAATTATAATATTTGTTATTGTTTGTTTACAAATGTTTGGTTTTTATTCTTGAATTAGCGGAGTGCTAAAAAAGGCTTTCAAGTTTTTTGTTGCAAACCGTACTTTTCAAGCGACGTTTGACAAATAGAGATCATTGGCTATCCTATTCATATTTGAATCGCATTAAAGATATACCGATAGTATTCTTCGGGTATTCGAGTGTTCCATTCGCTACATCGTTATTGGTGTCGATTCTGACTTGATTCTCTAGACTTAAAACTAAATTGGACATCAGTGGTACCAATTCTGGACTGATTCTCTAAACTTAAAACTAAATTTAACATCAGTCTCTCCTTTTCATTCTGTATAAAGAATGACAAGGATATACTGCTGTCAAATTTAAGTTTAGGTTTAGAGAATCATGCTAGAATCGACACCAGTATCTTCTTTTCACATTGTATAGAGAACGACAAGGATAGACTGTTGTCAAAGAACAATGCCCACTGCCCATACATTCGAAAACCTGTCACTTCGGTTTTTTCTTTATGGATGTATATTGACTGTTGAGGTTGTTAACTAATTATTACAATCTTCTGAAATAATGTTGCTAATTTGGTTTGATTTGCCAATGAGGAATAGAAGTTATAACGAAAACTAATTCTGAGGTTATTCAACTGCTGAAGATGTCATTTACTTACTCTGTGGTTACGAGATTGATTATAGATTATCTAATGCCGGAACTTCACTTGGCTATTTGTAAACTTGACAGCAATCTGTCCTTATCATGTTTTAAGGAAAGAAAAGGACAGACCGAAGTCAAGTTTACATGAATAGCCAAGTGAAGTGCCAGCATAAGATTATTCATTTGTGTGCTGTCACAGCTGTGGTGTCTTAGCCCAGCTAGGTATTTATTTCAATTCGCTTGTTTTGTTTGATTGAAGCTTGATCTGAGGATTGAAGAAAAAAGGATTAATATCATTACATGTATCATGCTGAGGTGTCATCCTTATAATATTGTCTTTGGAATTAAACAAGTTTTTTTTTTATATTTAATCAATAATTCAGTTTCAATTATTTTATTGAAATAGTAGGTACTTAATGTCTTAGTTTCTGCAAGCGACTGAATAAATGATAATCTTGACCTTTACCTAATTATATCTATAGACATCTAAGACATTTAACTATGTATTATTTAAATCTCTGGTAGACAAGTATATAAGTAGGTAATAATCTAAAATAAAATTACAATACCTTCCATTAATTGAGATGATTGGTACTATGAGCAGCTGTCATTATTGCTGACATTTTTTCGGAACGAATTTCCTTCTCATGTAGTCAGCCGAAGAGATGATGGAGTCCTAACTATTTCGGTCATGTTTCACTAAGAAAATGGCCAGTCTTTGTTAAGAACGGAAAGAAACTTTAAATTAAAGCCATGCCTTTTAAGTATTACATTACCATTTAAATACGGTATTTACCGCATGGCTGGCAACATTGGAAAAGAGAGTGCGAATCTACATTTAAGCTGCGTTCATAATTATGTCATTTTACTTTGATACAATACTCTTCCCTAATGGATGCGTTCGTGTGATAGCAAAAAATGTACCTACATAATGGTTATTTTCAAAAAATATTTTTGAAAAAACTGGATTGTAGTTTTTGTTGATATTTTGATTTCGTAATAAGCGAATAATTACCTTTTTTTTGAGGTATGTCACATAATTATACATGCAAAATTTTTTTACAGATTTGACAGGTCACAAATGGGCATCCTTCTTTGGAGAATCATGGCAGAATCGACACCATTGTTTGTTCATTTCTTGCATGCATGACATCCTTATTATTATGGCGGCACTTCACTTAGTCAAGTGAAGTGTGTTTGCTGTTTGAAAACTTGACAGCAGTCTGTCCTTTTCATTCTTTAAAAAGCATGATATGATCCACAGACATATAACTAGTAGCAGACGGAACATTCAGTTTTAAACAGCGTGGCAAATACACACACATTGAAACTCACCAAAGCATGGGCCGCATTTAGTATAGTAGAATAATGGATTTCATTATTGTTTCATTAAATACCTATCCGAATAGATAGATCCTAATGTGACGTCCATGCTAATAATATTATAAACGTAAATTGCGAATTTAGCCAGGCGAAATCGCTGAACCGATAATGATGAAATTGAGCACGGAGATAGAAAGGACATAGGTACAATTAGGAAAATTGAAATAAAAATTTAAGGCATAGTTTTTATTTATTTATTTTGAAATAATACAAGATTTTTAAAAAAATTCTCTGAGATACATTTGTTTCTTTACATTGATGTTTACATCTAAGATCAAAATAAAATTTGACAACAACTTTAATAAGCAAGTGGACATGGTTTATGTCATGATCTGATTGTTCGAGTCAAATATTGAATAATCGACATAATCACATATGAATTTAATCTAACTATTAAAAATCATTACTTTAGTTTATTTTAAACAAAAAACACTTAAAAAACTAAGTTGGTTGCCAATCCTGACGTTTCATATATTTTAACCATGCATTCCAAGTACTTTCATCCTTTGAAAACCTAGAACAAAATTGTTTATGTGGTTATTTGGGTTATATACCTACCGATGCCAATGTTCCAAGAAATATGAATAGCTAGTCTATAATAGGTACCTATCTATTTACGTTCTCGATTGCATTCACATTCAAAATACAATGCAATGAAAACAAAATTAATGCCGAGAAACTTTTTGTCTTTCATACCGAGTCCGTCCTCTGTTATGGCAACAGTACTTCAGTTGTCAGAATTGGAATTTCCTATCATGATTTATCCTGATTACTTCTATTTCTTTACTTTTAGGATATTAGTTTTCACCGGTAGTATCTTAGATAATTAATCCTACGTAAAAAATGTTACATGTTACGATAATATTTAAATAAACTTCGAAAAGACTCAAAGACTTTTCAGTACACAACAAAGACACATAAAAACTTACTGATGAAAGGTAATCCTGGTGTTCTATTGTAGGTAGCACTTTCACATCGATACGCACTGTACTTCACCATAGTAATTGAATAATCTCGTTTTGTAATATAGTTTCATCAAAGCTATATTCTTAATAAACACCGAAAAGTCGCATGTCCGATAAGTCATGTATAAAATGGCGGCGAGGAATAAAAATGACACGCGTTGACATTTGTTGATGTGTGAGTCAGTATTGCAATAGATGGAAGAATGAGATGCCACTATCGAGTTGTAGCTGAGTACAAAAAGGATAAAAGATCATGCTTTGATTCATAAATATAACTAGGTTTTATGTTCCGTCTGCTATAGTATTATATGTCTGTGGATATGATCAGACTGTTGTCAAGTCTAGCAAATACTTTTAGCCCGGTGAAGTGCCGGCATTAGAGAAAGATTTGCAATTGTGGATTAGACATGGGCGTTTTTGGTTTTGAACGCAAACGGATATTTATCGGATTTCAGATTTCAAAATCGATTTTAAAATCCGTTTTTAGATATCCGATTTCAGATGTGCCGAACTAAGCCAATTCACTAGTTTGTGATATGATTTGGTTTTATTAGCTAACGACAATCACAAACAATTAATTGTACGAAGCAAGGATACTCGTAGATTTGCGCGATTTTCCTTTATGCTTTAAATCTAGGCTTAGGCAAGAGTATATATTCTGTGGCTTAGGACTAGCAGAAAAGTTATCTTTACCGTTAAGAGTAAAACTTTTGCGGCGCATTTAAAAATCGGCTTATGTTAAATGATTTCTTTTTACATATTTTTTTAGTAATTTTTGACGTGACAACGTCTTAAATTAGGTTGCGGCTGGGAGTCACTTATGAAAAAGTGTAACGCTCGGTAACGTTACGATGAGTCTCTCGTGTTAAGTTTAAGTTTACATGTACAATGTTTTAGTAAACAAAATATATTTCTATAGTTAAAAACCACACCAGGCTGGTGCACCACGCGCAGGTAATGTGTGACCCACGCGTGCCCCACCTGCGGGGCATGCTTCACCTACCACGCCGCGCTATACAACCACACCAGGCTGGTGCACCACGCGCAGGTAATGTGTGACCCACGCGTGCCCCACCTGCGGGGCATGCTTCACCTACCACGCCGCGCTATACAACCACACCAGGCTGGTGCACCACGCGCAGGTAATGTGTGACCCACGCGTGCCCCACCTGCGGGGCATGCTTCACCTACCACGCCGCGCTATACGACCACACCAGGCTGGTGCACCACGCGCAGGTAATGTGTGACCCACGCGTGCCCCACCTGCGGGGCATGCTTCACCTACCACGCCGCGCTATACAACCACACCAGGCTGGTGCACCACGCGCAGGTAATGTGTGACCCACGCGTGCCCCACCTGCGGGGCATGCTTCACCTACCACGCCGCGCTATACGACCACACCAGGCTGGTGCACCACGCGCAGGTAATGTGTGACCCACGCGTGCCCCACCTGCGGGGCATGCTTCACCTACCACGCCGCGCTATACAACCACACCAGGCTGGTGCACCACGCGCAGGTAATGTGTGACCCACACGTGCCCCACCTGCGGGGCATGCTTCACCTACCACGCCGCGCTATACGACCACACCAGGCTGGTGCACCACGCGCAGGTAATGTGTGACCCACGCGTGCCCCACCTGCGGGGCATGCTTCACCTACCACGCCGCGCTATACAACCACACCAGGCTGGTGCACCACGCGCAGGTAATGTGTGACCCACGCGTGCCCCACCTGCGGGGCATGCTTCACCTACCACGCCGCGCTATACAACCACACCAGGCTGGTGCACCACGCGCAGGTAATGTGTGACCCACGCGTGCCCCACCTGCGGGGCATGCTTCACCTACCACGCCGCGCTATACAATTACACCAGGCTGGTGCACCACGCGCAGGTAATGTGTGACCCACGCGTGCCCCACCTGCGGGGCATGCTTCACCTACCACACCGCGCTATACAACCACACCAGGCTGGTGCACCACGCGCAGGTAATGTGTGACCCACGCGTGCCCCACCTGCGGGGCATGCTTCACCTACCACGCCGCGCTATACGACCACACCAGGCTGGTGCACCACGCGCAGGTAATGTGTGACCCACGCGTGCCCCACCTGCGGGGCATGCTTCACCTACCACGCCGCGCTATACAACCACACCAGGCTGGTGCACCACGCGCAGGTAATGTGTGACCCACGCGTGCCCCACCTGCCGGGCATGCTTCACCTACCACGCCGCGCTATACGACCACACCAGGCTGGTGCTCCACGCGCAGGTAATGTGTGACCCACGCGTGCAAGTAAATTCTTATTCTTATTTTCATTCAATTCCTTGTTCCTATTGTGCAATTTAATTATATTCATATCAATAAATATTCTACCGAGAAAAAGACGTTGTCACGTAAAATCTTCGCCCGTAAAACCGACTTTACAGGCAACCATTTTTTTGGTTTTTCTGTTTGTTTTTATTATTTTTCAAACCATTTACAAAATCAAACCTAATTACTTCAGGTTAGCGTTCAAAAAAATGTCAGTTGCTCGACTTTTGATGTTTTTAGACATCTTTTTTCAGTAATAAATAATCCCGCCTTAGAGAAGAACAATAGATTTCCGTAAACAGCAAACTGAAATCGGACTTCCGAGCACGAAATCTGACTTCCGAAAACGAAAGCACGAATTTCGAATCCGATTTACATTTGGATACTTGTGGTGGTATTAGATCGCTCGCGATCGTTTTGGTTCGGTTAGATTTCTGAAATCGGATTTTCTTGTTGAGAAATCGTTTGGTATCGATTTGTGTTTGAAATCGGATTTTGGATTCGTTTTGATATATCGGACGCATGCCTATTGTGGATTGATTGATTTTGTTAAAGAAATTTTAATATTTTGTAGAAACGTGGTTTTGTTCTTTTAATTAAACTATTTATTTTAGCTAACTAACAAATTTGGTGCATTCTTGTGATGTGTTTTTTTTTATTTTATAAATCCATGCCGGTTTCTATAAACATTTATATCCCGTTAACCATCATCGAAATATTGTAATTTGCCACGTTCTGTTGGAATAAAAATGTTTTTAAATGTTTATTGAGCTGTAATTAAGAAGAATATTACCAATAATGTAAGTTTTTTCAAGTTGTGATGAATCATCAAAAGGTTTTAATACCAAGTCTGATGTGATGACATCAGAAATTGTGACCTATTGTATTCATATCTAACTAGATTCCAATATCCTTACATAGAAACTATTGTGAGGTTTAGAAATTAAATACTTACAGAACTAACAATCTTTTAGCCATTCAGTGAATAAGAATAGCTTTCTTTTTGTTTTTTTTAACTGTGTTTTATTAAATTATATCAAAAGGGGAATGATGAAAGATGATATTCTCAACATAATAATTTCTGATCAACACCACTCATTATTCAAGTAATAGCTCACATGAATAAAGGCTGTAATGAATAATTGCAGTGGTGATTGTAGCAACTTTTATTCTCTAATAATTTAAATAAACCTTAAAAAAAACAAAGACAAATGTATTGTTCCAATTCCCCAATCCAATTAAAAGGGAACATATACTTAAAATTAAGTTGCAGATTATGAACTGTTAGATAGCAAGTTCTTAGTAATAGGAAATCAACATGTAAGCTATCAAAATGTTAAAACAAGTTTCAATGGGTTACAAGCACTGATTTTATTTATTTATTTGCGTTTTATGTATTTACGTTTCGCAACATTTGCAATGAAACATATTAATTTCAATAAAAAAAAAACATTATTCTGACAATGCATTACTGCAAAGGATGTGAAACACCAATAAATATATAAAATCAGTGCATCTAACCCTTTGAAAATTGTTTTATTTAATGGGTGATGTCCATGAAAACCTAAGAAACAAATATACCAAAATGTTCTTATAAAGAAAATATTTGCATGAGGCTCATATCCTTGTTTGTTTTCTCCTCCTGTTGCAATTTTCAGATAGAAACAACAGATAGCTTGAATTTAATTGGTACCTTCAGTAACTTGATATATTTTAAGTTATTAATGTTAAGTCTAAAACAAACTTATTTTAAGATTTTATGAATCGTTGAATATGTAATATTATTAATGTGAGATATTTGGCATGTCTATAGATAAGACATTAAATTAAAAAACATTTTGGATAGAAAATCAAAATTAAACACAATGAACATTAAAAAGTGCACCCAACCTTAGGGAAAAACATAATTCTGTTATTATTCTAGTTGATCCTTAAAAAGTATGAAATTAATATGTTTTACATTTAATAGGTATCCTGTGATGGTTGACTTTTCTTCAATTTGGTCTTTTCATGTGAATCAAATCTTCTTCTCACTTGGCACAAATATAATTACTGTATTGTTAAAATTTAGATTCAATCATGTCAAGCATGTCAGATCGTAAAGCAGAGTTGGAACGGAAGAAGGCGAAACTCCAGGCTCTCCGTGAGGAAAAAGACAGAAGGAGAAGGGAAAAAGAACAAAAAGATGCAGAGGAAGCACTGGTGACTATTTACTGATACTTATAATAAACAATATTGTAATCTACTATATGAATTTCAATATCATGTATATTTATGTATTTCACAAAAATTTTCACTTGGTCGAAGCTGTAAAAGTTATTCACATAATTGATTAACTGATGTAAAATCAATAGTGACGTGCGGTGTTTTGACTTGATAAATTATTTATTCTAGCAAAGGGCTTCGGCTGCATCCAGCTTGGATAATCGGCGCGACCTAGATGAGATGTTGTCATCGTTAGGTGTGGCTCCAGTGAAGGATGTACTGTCATCTCTTTCGTCCATGACTTCACTTACACCACCTCAGACAGCCTCTCCAGATGCCAGCCTGCCACATACTGACAAATCTAGTTTACCTTCACAAGGGTTGGTATTTGATTTTATTTTCCATTATTGGTCCTAGTTTGACATGCATGTTTTGTACTGCATTATGCCAGACTTAAGCAATAAAAACAAATATCAGTTTTGTTAAAGTCTATTTTATTTATAAAAAATATAATAATGCTAAATATAGTTTAATTTGTAAATGTATTCTCATTTAAGTAATGATTAAGTATACTTAATATACCTGATTCATAAAAATGAGTTAGTGGATTCCTCTTCAATACTAAAAATCTTCCATTAGCTACACATGCATGTTAGAAGCTTATAGTAGAATATGTAGGTGAAGAATAAACACCAGAGTCAGTATTCTATATTACAGTGGTCCCAAGAAACCTCCTCAACTACAAGTGGTGTCAGTGCAGTCCACAGATATCCCACCCAAGGAGAATGTCACATATGCCAAGCAGACGCAGACTACCACCTCTGGGGTCACTGAACTGAGAGATGGTAAGTTTTCGCTAATATTGTGTTAAGATCACTATGAGAAATAACAGTATACTTTTTATAATTTTCTAAAGTTGTTATGTCCTGGCCATAATAAGATATTCTTAAAATACTATCAACAAAGTATATAAGGGAAAAAGAAAGATATTTTTTATAATGCATGGCCCCATGTGTTGTCTGAAATTATGAATATACTATTCAAAGTTTTAAGAAATTTATCTCAATTATAATATCGTTAAAAAAATTTGAATGAATCTCTCATTGTAAAAAGATTTATTTAAGAAAAATAAATTACTTATGTACTACAAATGAAAAAAAAAAATATTGACTATAAAATTATCTTTTTTAGCTTTGTACAGAATATATATAGTGTCAATTTTTAATTATTATAGATATTTATGAATATAATTATAACTAAAACTTCATTTGTGTCTAACACCAAAGGAGAAATATTTAACTTGTTTGTCATTTGAATCATGCAAATTCTCGAAATTATAAATTAATTACTGATTAATACTTTGCATCTTTTACTGAAATCCATAATACAGGGTGATGCTTTCTAATGATCTGTATTGCTTTTACACCTGTTGTCTATTGTCCATTATTATTGTATATTTATGTATGTTTATTATTTTCCAGCCTCAATTTTGGACAGTTCCCTTGAATATTGTACGTTTTGGTTTTTGTTTTACAAATGATTTGAGAATTTGCATTTGTAACTGTGAAGTTTTAATATTTTATTAATCTATTAACTGTGATGTCCGGGTGCTGGTTCTAACTATGTCATTTGCAAATCTACATGTGATTTATTTATTAGACTAAGGCCCGTATTATAGAAAGATTCTCAGTGATTGATCTAGTCTTGAGCATAGTTAGAAAGGGATGTCGCTTTAAATAGTACATAGCGATATCCCTTTCTAACTGTACTCAAGTTAAGATCAACACTTAGTTGTCATTCTGTAATACGGGCTTTAACGTTTATAGATGATCTATTTGCACAGTATGACCATTGTAGCAATTAAAATATAAATCAGAGTCATTTCATGCAACATCTGTGTTGTTGCCGCATTTTATTTCACAGACTAATGTAAATACATTATGATTAGTTACTTGCGTTTAGAATTTAGTTAAACTTGTTTGCAAATGATAATAACACATTATAACCAACGACATCTGTAGTTATTGTGACAGTATTTACTTTTAATTAATATTTTCTTTTTGATTTGCTCCCAAATTTCTTCTTTAAATTCTTTGACAGTTGTGTTTTTAATTTTTCTAAGAAAGTAAATGTCCTTTTTGATCGTAGAAAAATTTATCATGTCACCATCTTTTTTAACAATCATATTCGGGCCATAGCTAAATGTCGCATTTTTTATTATGTACATCAGCTTTTAACTAAACGCTGTTTTATCATCTGCGTTCTGTTCACCCCTCCCTCATGGTTTACGAATTAAAATAACTCAAAAGTAAATACTGTTTGAGATTTTGGTGCAATGTTTGTGTTTGTGCTACCATAAAAAAAGGCTGCTCTTCCAATGCATCACCGCTTGCAGGATACATGGAGGACTGGTGGCGGCCGCGGAAAGGTAATACCAAGATCATTAACATTACTTAATTGTTGTATCATATACTACTAACGCAAACATAGTATTCATATTAAATGCTATTGGCTAATCCAAACAGTAGATGTTGTTTTTGTTCGCTAGATCGTTTGCTACTTAGGGCAAAAATTTTTTTTTTAGATATGGTATAAAAAAAACATAATAATCCTGATATGTCTCGTTTTCTTTTGCTGTACTAAACAGAGCCTATAAAGCTGTTTATATGTATACTTACACCAATATAAACATCTTGGAAAGCCAATGATGGTTTGAAATTCAGAGACAAACTAAGTTGGTCCTTCGAGCCAACTTACAAAAGTGTAATTTTTATATCATTTAATTAGTATAATTGTTCTAACAACACATAGTCATTGCCTGTATGTAACAGAGCCGACTGTATGTAACAATAAAAAAATGCTAGATAATCATGTAAAACTTAATCAATGCCGAATAATAATGTAACTTTAATTTTATATACGCATGTGATTCATACACCTTCGACACCCAGGTTCCAAGACTTCCAAGAAACAGCAATTGCATGTGAACTTGAAACTATATTTGTTATAGTGGATAATTGTCTAACTTAAACACTTATTAACAGCAAAGTTCCAAATGTCCAAGCCAGACCAGTTTCTACCATTTTGAAAATTCAAGTTCGGCCTTGTTCAGTTTGGTAATCTGATAATTTTTGAATACATACATAATATCTATGATGAATACTCTGTTTGTGTTTAATAAAGAAAAATATTAAACGTCATATTTTATGAATATGCTGAGCAATAACAAATAAGCATTAATGTGGTAAATATACAGGCTGTTCCAAAACTTTACCACGGAAAGTATTTTAAATACTATAGATAGAATATTTTGTTGAATGAAGATTTCATTTATATCTTAATACAATAAGAAATGCAAAGAATTTCAAATAATTTCTGTCTTAACCGGAAAATGAACCTTGAGCCTTTCAATCGGTGCAGTAGAATTACAGGTTCTTTCAGTTAATGGGTTTGATTACCTGTTCTGACAGGCGATTTTTAATATTTATTTTGAGTACTTTAAATGCAGTTTTTTCTGTTTTTAAAACAAAAAGTGTCAACAAAAATTTCTATGTACAGTATTTAAGGAGATATCCCCTCCATGTGGCTAAGTTTTAGGACAGTATGTTTTTTAAATATAAACTGAATTACAAAGAGTCTATTCTATTCTATACTATACATGCCGTCTTTCTAACTAGAGTCATCGAGCTGGTGTATTCATAAAAAATATGCATGCGATTACTGAGCTTTATTCACAAACTGAAACTTGGTTTATTAACATAAATGAATTGTCAAAGATTTAATTATATACCTTTTATAAATGAGGATCCGTAACGATTTTAGTTGAGAATGCAGATTAATAGAGCTAAGCATTCATAAAATACAGTAGTTAAAATTTTGTTTTAAGACAAATATTGACGAAGTTATGACCAAATTACTAAACGAATTTTCGACTGGCCGCGTGGTGTGACGTCACAGAGCTCTAGTGCTCGGGCGCGAGCGTGCGTAGAGACGCTACTGAAGTGCGACCGGAGTGAACCGATCGAGCTCTGTGACGTCACACGTTTCGGTCGCCGGTGAATATTGGCTACCATAAATTTATATTGTTTTAAACTTTCATGGTCACTAACATTATAGATATTAACGGGATTGTTACCATGTCCCTTGTTTTTTATGAGTCTCCGATATTTCGGCACTGTTGCAAGCGCCATGATCACGGAGTAACTGAAGTAATTGCGGGTAGATGTTATTGGCAGACATATCGGTCTACCCTCTGACGTCGTCTTTTACCATAAAATTAGTTATAAAATCGCAACGAATGAACCGATTTCGATGATTCAAAAAGTGTATTAATTAAAAAGTTTATTAGATCATGATATTGTTGATTTTGAATTGATTTGCTGACCTAGTAACGATCCTCATTGATATAAATTTTGATGTTCTTTTACTTTACCATATATTTCTGGTTGAAAAAATAACAAGAAACAAAGTTTGTTAATAAAGGTCGTATAATAATCCACATTAATTGAAGTAGGGGAAACCACCCAATCATTGGCACTCGTCCTATTATTGGCACTTTTGAGTTTAATTCGGAAAAACAAGGAGACAATAGATTATTCAAGGTCGTTACATATTAAAAAGAAAAACCTAGTATGGTTTCGAAATTTGAAAATTGGCAGCATTATTCCTACAATCTATCGTTTCCTGTTTTTTTCAAACTAAACTCAAAAATGCCAATAATAGGAAGAGTGCCAATGATTGGGTAGTTTCCCCTATATATTTTTTTTTTGATCACTAAAGATTGGGGACATTATTTTGTCTGCGCATGTCTCATCAAAGCATATCTGCAAAAAAAAAATATATTCGCATGGGCTCATGAGAATCGAATTAACAAGCTGTGTCAATGTTAATACCATTTTTTAATTATATATAATATTTTCTATAAAAAAACAATGTTTATGTAAATATACCTAATAAAAAATCTGGGGTTTACACTTTGTATAAATTATGTACATGAGTCACAATAATGTTTTTTACTGACGGACTTTTTTTATTTTTTGTCCTGTTCTAGCGCACGCAACCGACTACTACGGTAAGTCATTATTTCGCCCGGATGCTTTAACTTCGTTCTTGTAACGTTTACCTCTCATCTGGGGGCCAATCGCCTAACGGAAATGCTTTGGAAAACGCTAACGCTTACGATTTTATTTTGTTATTTCTAGCCGCCTGAGGTATTCAAATGCCTCGCGCTCTTTCTTTTTCTTTTGCATTGGTAATAACAATATTAAAAAAAATGAGCGTGAGGTATTCGAAAACCTCAGGCGGCTAGAAATAACAATATAAAATCGTAAGCGTTAGCGTTTCCCAAAGCATTTCCGTTAGGCGATTGGCCCCCTGGTTTATTAACTCGGTGTCGGTCTGTAATATATCCTCATGTCGGTGTAGACCTGTATATATAGAACCATCCTCTGTTTCACGCTTCTAGTGATTTCTAACTAACATGGCCTAGGTGCGTTAGTGGCAGATAACTTGATAAATCGCTCTCATTTAGAAGTTACACATAGCGTTCAGTTATTAGTTTTGGTATATTGAATTAGTTTATCGAATGTTTTTCCTTTATCAAGGAATCTGGAATAGGTGATTTTAAAACGGGGATTCAGTGACATTCGGGTTTAACAAGCATTTTGTAATAATATAGAAGATTAATGTGGCCTTCCAGAGTTCTCCACGAGGTTACCGTTAAGGACCTTCGTATGGCCGCAACTTATCATAGGGATAAGATTTATTATTAAAACATTAAATATCGTAATATATTGTGTACCTATATCTCTTATGGTGGTAGTATGGGGATCGCCATATCATTTCACGCTGACTTACCCTTCCAATTCTACTAACAAACACTGCACAGGACTTAACACTTGGTTTCGGTGCTCGCAGGACCTACTATTCAGGACCGCGTTTAACAATTATGATTTCGCTCTTTTCAGTTTCTTGAGAAACAACAATAGGGATGATGACGGGGTACAGTAAACGAAATTCTATTTAGTCCGTCAGTTAGATGATCAAAAAATAATGGACACGTATTTTTTGTTTGGGCAATCAACCAAAAAATGACAAAATTATAGCGCGACAAAGTTTGGGAGTAGGGGCTCGTGACGTCACTTTTGTGTGAATTTTCACTTATAAACACTCAAACGTGACGTCATGCGACTTTTCAAATCAATATATCTCTGCAATGTTTATATTGTGTGAAAAAAGAAAAAATACGTGTCCAATACTTTTTGATAATCTATCTGATAAACGAAGAAAAAAAAAAATAGTCATCATCCCTATTGTCTCGTTGCTTGCCATTGGCCAGAAAGGTGAAAGTTTTATTTAAATATCCGAGCGGAATCATAATATATTTTCGAATAAAATGTCTTTTGGTCTAAAAGTCTTGCGGTCACGAGCGCCGAACCACGTCAGGTTTTGCTGTACATTATAAAAGCACTGTGGATATGCTAATCTATGTATAGTCTGAATATATTTTTTTTAATATATAATGGTCAAAAGATACTGACATTGTTTTTTGTTTTTCCTCCCTTTTTCAAGATGAGTACAATCTAAACCCGGGTTTAGAGTGGGAGGACGAGTTCACAGGTAGGTTTCAAATCCGAAACATATAAACAATCATTATTGAACTAAATTGCCCTTGTAGAGCCTGTGCCGCTGTCACTTCGCATGCTATGTATTGTTACTTACCTATTCTTCATAATATATGTAACGCTGTTTTATGAGTATAATAGCTAACAACAACATTTAACTCTATAGCACATAAAGTATATACTACCTACATACATTGTGGACTGTAAACAGGTTTGATGGTAACTAATAAATGGGGCATTCCACGTGAAGCGGACAGGTAAAAAAACTCGATGTTTCCGATTTCAGTAATATTTGAGTATGTTCTACTTATACTTATTATTGATACGCGTACCAAATATTTTTGTGATATAATGACTAGTTAAAGAGTAATGGGACTGTGAAGTTTTCGACAACCGGTTGGCATGCAGTACTTCAAAGCCGATTATGGACTCATAAAATTATATATTAAAATAACTAAACCAGTGGATTTCCTACTTTATTTACTGGGCTTTTTAACTGTGTTTTTGGAAAAGAAAAAAATATCTTTTTTTCGGAAAAAAAATCCAATTTAAGTTTTTTTCCTTGATTTTCATCAAGTTAGACCATTTACTTTTTTTTTATTTTTTTTTATATAAATTGCTAATATTGTATAGAACATTGGTGCCAACTTTCATAATGGGCGTGAAAGTGGATTAGGAGCTAGACTGAAAATACTGCCGAAGGGTGGCGTCCAGCGCCGCGCCTGTTGACCGCCGCTAGTACGCGATTAGTCATCAAACTGTATATCAAATAAAATCACTTTTGACGGAATGTTTTGTAGATTTTTAATAAACCAATACATAGAAAAAATTCCACGCGGACCAGGCGGCAGACGGGACTCGAACCCGCACCCTTCGCAATCCGGGCGAATGCACTGAACAATTATGCTACCGCGGCTCTCACGGACCGCGTCAAAATTCCTCTAGCCATTCTTAAGCAGCAAGGCAGCGCCATCTCTTCGCATTATAGGTAATCCAAAATGTTATATTAGGGGCCGTTCATAAAATACGTCACGCTAAAATCAGCTTTTTCCGACCCCCTCCCCCCCTATTGTCACGCTGTGTCACACTTTCTGTGACCCTCTTGAAATATTCCGTCACAAAAACGGAGACCCCCCCCCCCTCCCCAAGTATGATTAATTTTAATATTTAAGATTAATTCTTAATAAGAATGGCTAGAGGAATTTCGACGCGGTCCGTGAGGGTCACGGTAGCATAATTAGTCAGTGCATTCGCCCGGATTGCGAAGGGTGCGGGTTCGAGTCCCGTCTGCTGCCTGGTCCGCGTGGATTTTTTTCTAATTATATTTTCTTTAGATTTAAACATCAAGCAGTTACATGCTTTAAAGAAATAAAAATTATAACTATAATTGCTATTTCTTCTGTCAAATGTTTAATACTTGTAAAAGTATTCATTTGACATTGTGGGTTACCTATAATGCGAAGAGATGGCGCTGCCTTGCAGCTTAAGAATGGCTAGAGGAATTTCGACGCGGTCCGTGAGGGCCGCAGTAGCATAATTGGTCAGTGCATTCGCCCGGATTGCGAAGGGTGCGGGTTCGAGACCCGTCTGCTGCTTGGTCCGCGTGGATTTTTTTCTATGTATTGGTTTTATTAAAAATCTACAAAACATTCCGTCAAAAGTGATTTTATTTGATTGAAAGTTTAGATGACTAATCGCGCACAAGCGGCGGTCAACAGGCGCGGCGCTGGACGCCACCCTTCGGCAGTATTTTCAGTCTAGCTCCTAATCCAATTTCACGCCCATTATAAAAGTTGGCACCAATGTTCTACACAATATTAGCAATTTATATAAAAAAAATAAAAAAAAACTAAATGGTCTAACTTAGTGAAAATCAAGGAAAAAAACTTAAATTGGATCTTTTTTACGAAAAAAAATTTATTTTTTCTTTTCCAAAAACACAGTTAAAAAGCCCTGTAAATAAAGTAGGAAATCCAGTGGTTTACTTATTTTAATATATAATTTTATGAGTCCATAATCGGCTTTGAAGTACTGCATGCCAACCGGTTGTCGAAAACTTCAAAGTCCCATTACTCTTTAACTAGTCATTATATCACAAAAATATTTGGTACGCGTATCAATAATAAGTATAAGTAGAACATACTCAAATATTACTGAAATCGGAAACATCGAGTTTTTTTACCTGTCCGCTTCGCGTGGAATGCCCCAAATAATACATTGTACTAAACATTCAACCTGTGTATAGTCCCTTACCAACCGTAGCTCTGACAAGTTCGATTTAATTATTTGATCCCTGTCATTTTGAGTTAGCTGCTTAATTTTAGCTGGAACATTTAAATGATCTTGTCAGCCGCCAAATATTTATATCCATTTAGAAAGTTGTTCAGCAATATACATAATGCATGTGACAGAAGATGTTTTTCATGTATGTTTGCATGAAATTAAATCATCATTTTATTTCTAGTCAGTGAATATAATATTTTCATTATTTACAATGATTATAATTTATATATTTTGTGAGACTTTTATCTCTCTAGTGGAGAGCTCGGGAAGATTTTGTTGATTTTGTCTTATTTTAAAGCTTTCTGTCACTTTCTATTTAATGCTTGATTAATTATTAATTTATAATTGTGTGAGCTAGTCGCATTTTAAATTAATATAGTAGACTAGTAAAACATTTAATTTTAAGGTAATATTTTAAATTTGATCATTTATTGCTGTTATTAAAATACATTTTATTCTACTTAATGCTGTTAATAGTCATTTTAAATGATAAAATGGTGTATATTTTTCGTGGTTTAAAGCGTCTGTCTTTTCATTTATTACTTTAAATGTATTTGATGCTACAACTGCGAATTAAATGAGTTTTGAGGCCATAGTTACAGTAATAATTAAGCTTTTTCTTTCATCAAACGCTGCTTACAATAGACGGTATGAAATTACACGTGGTATGAAGGTTTACCTTTGAATGCATGCATTTGAAAAAATAGCTTAAAAACATATCATTGATTTGGTGTGTTATTTCAGTTCGATAATGGTGTCGATTCTGACATGATTCTCTAAACCTAAACTTAAATTTGACAACAGGTTATCCTTGTCGTTCTTTATACACAGTGAAAAGGAGAACCCTATGTTAAATTTAGTTTTAAGTTTAGAGAATCATGCCAGAATCGACATCAATATTAAATGTTGTTATAGCATGTCCTATTATTTTAATGGTATTCGAGGCTTCTGATTGCTTAATTAAATTTTTTTTGTAGTTGTCGTTATATACAAAGGTATAGGCATTTTCTCGAGAAAATTTAAAGAATATAACAGGAATCGATCTAGAATTAAAGAAGAATAAAAAACTATTGAAAACGTATAGGAAGACCAGAAATATTTTCTGCATACCATTTAGTATTTATTGTTAAAGTATTTTATTAAAAGAAAACAAATTGTGGTGAGTACTTTGTAGGTAGACCTTTAGATTAGTATTCTAATTCCTTATTTATTACTGTAACTATTAGTCTCATGAGCTACACATAAGAACACCATATACTTGTCAGTTTGCTTCTCAGAAAGAGTTGTAATCTGTAATGATCATAGCTTTATCTACGTAATTAAAACAAAATTTTACTAATTATCTTCTTAATAATATATTCCAAAGGAACTCCAATGTACTCTCAGAGGTGGGCGATAATAGTTGCGACACAGTTTTTATAACTAATGCAATTATTATCGTACACATTTATTGTATTCACTGTTTTTGTTCCAATAAAATATATTTCATTTCATTTATTAAACATGATTAGTTAAAACTATAATTATTGTTGATAGATTGATCGGCAACTCGACCATAATGATCATTTTTTCTGTCTGTCTGTAGAAAATAATTCTATCCTATTAAGGCACAAGAGCTTGAATGAAATTGAAATTTTTACGTGTACGTTGCGACGTTACTTTAGTGTGAATCGACCCTTATAACAAGTATCAGTACAGATTATAACACTTTTCACGAGTGTGTCAGTCTAATGAGTTAGATATCGCGCTTCCATTGTGCTAATATTTTCCTGTCATCATAGTCTAAAACGATCATAATAAGGCACCTAGTACTCATATGAACGACACGTAGCAACATCATTTGGAATATATATGAGCAGTTTAACATGCAGTTTATATTTAAAAGAATAAAAAATACGTTCTTTTCTAGATGTAATTCTATCTATCAGCAAGTACTATTTATATGTTTTAAATTTAACTTGCATATTAATAGCTGCTCATATACAAATAAAGCTAACGTTTAACTTTCATTAAACGACATTAAGTCACATGTAGTTGACAGTAGTGATGCAATTTGTCGTTTACATTACACACAATTACTGTTTCATGAAGTTATCGCATATTTTTGGATGATATGCGTGCTTTTAAATGTCTATTTGTTAGTGTATAGACTCGATGGAGTAGACGCGCAATAATTTGCTTAAAAATAGCCTTGAGTCAAGAATAAATTATTTTTAATTTTTATACTTTTGTATTTTACAAAATTACAAATAATTTCATGAAACACGAACATAACGAACGCACGACCGATTTACTCGAGCTCCGAGCGATATAGGTTCAAGTTAAAACATCAAGCGACAATCGTCCTTTATCTAAAAGCAAATAGAGTCGCGTCGCAAATCAGTCGTGCATAGAACGGGCTCGGCGCCGGCGCCGGTGGCAAGGGCCATTCTTATTCACCGTCCAGTGCTTACATTCGACGGCGACGGCGCTCGGCAAGGCGACGAGGAGGAAGCCGCGTTCCACGGGAAACTGCCGCCGGGGATCCTGCCTCATGGACTGCCTACTGTCAAGGAAGTGCAGCCAGCAGTCACTGCAGTCCCGGAAGACAAGAAGGAAGAGGAAAAGGAGAAGAAAGGTCAGTCATTCACTATTAAACACACTCTAACTAACAGATAAGCAACATCTAGCTTAAGCAGCAGTTCAAGAACAAGAAACCAGCAGCCCTTAGGATAACAAGTAGAAGAAATGTCCTTAACAAAAGGTCAGTAGTTTAACAATAGTCATGCCTCAATCTGTGTGACTTGTTTCGTTCGGTTTTCTGCCACTTGTAATGAGATACAGTCCGCTTGCAAGGAAAATATGCATGGAAAGCTTTCGCCGGGGATTCTGCCTCATGGACTGCCTACTGTCAAGGAAGTGCAACCAGCAGTCACTGCAGTCCCGGAAGACAAGAAGGAAGAGGAACAGGAGAAGAAAGGTCAGCCATTTACCAATAGGCAATGCTTAATCTGCGTGACTTCTTTGCCGATCAGCATTCTGCCTCATGGACTGCCGTCAGTCAAGGAGGTTCAACCAGCAATCATTTCAGCCTCGCATCACAAGAGGATAGAGGTAAAGGAGAAGAAAAGTCAGTAATTTACCAATAGGCAATGCTTAGTCTGCGTGGAGGAGCTCGATGGCGCAGGTGGTTAGCGCGTTCGGCTGCGATCGTTGTAGTTAAGCAACTTTCGCAGTGGTCGGTCATTGGATGGGTGACCAAAAATTTCTATCTCGAGTTCCTCCGTGCTTCGGAAGGCACGTTAAGCCGTTGGTCCCGGTTGCATCTGCAGCCGTTAGCACCCGCCCGCGTGGTGGGTCATGGCCCAATCTCCCTATTCCATCCGTAGGGAAGGCCTGTGCCCCAGCAGTGGGGACATAAAGAGGCTGATTATGATGAATCTGCGTGACTTATCTACCGTTCAGCATTCTGCCACATGGGCTTTCGACAGTCAAGGAGGTGTTATAGCTTATAGCTGCCCTACAACACAAGAAGGAGGTGAACAAACAAAAGAAAGGTCAGTCACTTACCAATAAACAGGCTTTCCTACCGTAGCGAAGTTTTGGCCAGCAGTCCTTCAAGATATCAAGGAGAAAGGTTTTCAAGAAAAGTCATCGATCTTCCCAATAGTTAAACAGTCTGCGTGACGTAGTCTGCCTTCACCGCCGCTCCGCAAGACAAGAGAGAAGAATATTCTATTCTTCTAAATAGAATATTCTTCTCTTAGAAGGATAAAGAGAAGAAAGGTGAGTAATTTACCTATTACTTTTATATAACAAGCTTTCTTACTTGGCAGTAAAATGCATCCAGCAGTTCCTCAGGGTAAGAAGAAAAAAGGGCCTTCAGAAAGATTAGTAGTTCACAAACACCTATGCCTCAATACCGGCGGTGGGAAGTGGTGACAGAGTTTGAATTTGCAAGCGCATAGAAGCTGCCCGCTGTCACTGTTTCACTATAAAACAAGATGGCGTAAGAAAGTGGAATAAAGATCAATGATTTAGTAATTTATTTATTAAGGACAGCCAAAAAACAAACACCAAATAAAAATACAAACTGTGAAGGAAATAAAGAAAACAATTCTTAGTGCTGCCTTACTTAAAGGCTGCCACTGCATGTGTAAAAACTTACTTACGAAGTAGACTTACGGGCTTCAATGAAATAGGGATGATGACTAATTTTATTTTTCTTCGTTTATCAGGTAGATTATCAAAAAGTATTGGACACCTATTTTTTCTTTTTTCACATAATATAAACATTGCAGAGATATATTGATTTGAAAAGTCGCATGACGTCACGTTTGAGTACACTTTTAAGCGAATATTCACTAAAAAGTGATGTCACGAGCCCCTACTCTCAAACTTTGACGCGCTATAACTTTATCATTTTTTGGTTGATTGCCCAAAGAAAGAATATGTGTCCATTTTTTTTTTATCATCTAACTGACGGACTAAATAGAATTTCGTTTACTGTACCCCGTCATCACCCCTATTGCATCAGTTTCTTTACTGCCAGCTAGAGCTTGTACGCTTGTCTTTGTCTCCTTATACGTTTTCAAACGTGCGTGTTATGTCCGCGCAGTCCGCGAGCTGAGCGCGGACGAGAAGCAGACGATCCTGCTGTCGGCGGAGTTCCAGCGGTTCATGTCGCGCGCCGGCCGCGTCATCGAGCGCGCGCTGGCCGAGGCCGTCGACATCTACACCGACTACACCGGCGCCGGCGACGCCGAGAACGCGCTGTGAGTCATGACATATTATACGAGAAGCAGACGATCCTGCTGTCGGCGGAGTTCCAGCGGTTCATGTCGCGCGCCGGCCGCGTCATCGAGCGCGCGCTGGCCGAGGCCGTCGACATCTACACCGACTACACCGGCGCCGGCGACGCCGAGAACGCGCTGTGAGTCATGACATATTATACGAGAAGCAGACGATCCTGCTGTCGGCGGAGTTCCAGCGGTTCATGTCGCGCGCCGGCCGCGTCATCGAGCGCGCGCTGGCCGAGGCCGTCGACATCTACACCGACTACACCGGCGCCGGCGACGCCGAGAACGCGCTGTGAGTCATGACATATTATACGAGAAGCAGACGATCCTGCTGTCGGCGGAGTTCCAGCGGTTCATGTCGCGCGCCGGCCGCGTCATCGAGCGCGCGCTGGCCGAGGCCGTCGACATCTACACCGACTACACCGGCGCCGGCGACGCCGAGAACGCGCTGTGAGTCATGACATATTATACGAGAAGCAGACGATCCTGCTGTCGGCGGAGTTCCAGCGGTTCATGTCGCGCGCCGGCCGCGTCATCGAGCGCGCGCTGGCCGAGGCCGTCGACATCTACACCGACTACACCGGCGCCGGCGACGCCGAGAACGCGCTGTGAGTCATGACATATTATACGAGAAGCAGACGATCCTGCTGTCGGCGGAGTTCCAGCGGTTCATGTCGCGCGCCGGCCGCGTCATCGAGCGCGCGCTGGCCGAGGCCGTCGACATCTACACCGACTACACCGGCGCCGGCGACGCCGAGAACGCGCTGTGAGTCATGACATATTATACGAGAAGCAGACGATCCTGCTGTCGGCGGAGTTCCAGCGGTTCATGTCGCGCGCCGGCCGCGTCATCGAGCGCGCGCTGGCCGAGGCCGTCGACATCTACACCGACTACACCGGCGCCGGCGACGCCGAGAACGCGCTGTGAGTCATGACATATTATACGAGAAGCAGACGATCCTGCTGTCGGCGGAGTTCCAGCGGTTCATGTCGCGCGCCGGCCGCGTCATCGAGCGCGCGCTGGCCGAGGCCGTCGACATCTACACCGACTACACCGGCGCCGGCGACGCCGAGAACGCGCTGTGAGTCATGACATATTATACGAGAAGCAGACGATCCTGCTGTCGGCGGAGTTCCAGCGGTTCATGTCGCGCGCCGGCCGCGTCATCGAGCGCGCGCTGGCCGAGGCCGTCGACATCTACACCGACTACACCGGCGCCGGCGACGCCGAGAACGCGCTGTGAGTCATGACATATTATACGAGAAGCAGACGATCCTGCTGTCGGCGGAGTTCCAGCGGTTCATGTCGCGCGCCGGCCGCGTCATCGAGCGCGCGCTGGCCGAGGCCGTCGACATCTACACCGACTACACCGGCGCCGGCGACGCCGAGAACGCGCTGTGAGTCATGACATATTATACGAGAAGCAGACGATCCTGCTGTCGGCGGAGTTCCAGCGGTTCATGTCGCGCGCCGGCCGCGTCATCGAGCGCGCGCTGGCCGAGGCCGTCGACATCTACACCGACTACACCGGCGCCGGCGACGCCGAGAACGCGCTGTGAGTCATGACATATTATACGAGAAGCAGACGATCCTGCTGTCGGCGGAGTTCCAGCGGTTCATGTCGCGCGCCGGCCGCGTCATCGAGCGCGCGCTGGCCGAGGCCGTCGACATCTACACCGACTACACCGGCGCCGGCGACGCCGAGAACGCGCTGTGAGTCATGACATATTATACGAGAAGCAGACGATCCTGCTGTCGGCGGAGTTCCAGCGGTTCATGTCGCGCGCCGGCCGCGTCATCGAGCGCGCGCTGGCCGAGGCCGTCGACATCTACACCGACTACACCGGCGCCGGCGACGCCGAGAACGCGCTGTGAGTCATGACATATTATACGAGAAGCAGACGATCCTGCTGTCGGCGGAGTTCCAGCGGTTCATGTCGCGCGCCGGCCGCGTCATCGAGCGCGCGCTGGCCGAGGCCGTCGACATCTACACCGACTACACCGGCGCCGGCGACGCCGAGAACGCGCTGTGAGTCATGACATATTATAATTTTTGTTCACAATCAAAAATCATTTATTCAGTCTAGGCTGAGGGGCTCGATGGCGCAAGTGGTTAGCGCATTCGGCTGCGTTAAGCAACTTTCGCAGTGGTCGGTCATTGGATGGGTGACCAAAAATTACTATCTCCTGCTCCTCCGTGCTTCGGAAGGCACGTTAAGCCGTTGGTCCCTTCTGCATCTGCAGTCGTTAGCCCCCACCAATCCGCACTGGGCCCGCGTGGTGGGTCATGGCCAAATATCCCTATTCCATCCATAGGGAAGATCTGTGCCCCAGCAGTGGGGACATTAATAGGCTGATGATGATGATGATAATGAATGTATCATGCTGGATAGGTAAGTCTTTATCACATGCGTACGTTTAAATCTGAAGGAAAAATAACAAGAAGAAAAAATTACAGGCGTATGTATCAGGGTTATGAGGAGCATCATCACTATAATGGTTTTGTTGGATACCGTTAAAATGGTGATGTTCCTCAGAATCCTGATAGAGTCTGCTTAAGAAGTTCAAGAAACCCAAGCCTGAAGACATCTTCCACTGCCAGTCGCCAGTTATGAGTGCCACTTTCTCTAGGTTATACGCACTTGCGAAGGTCAGGAAGCTACGCAAAACTACGGCGGGAGATCTTACTGAGAAGAAAGTTCAAAGTTTTTGAAAAGAATTGTTATCATGAATTTTTTCAGGTTTTCAAGCCAATACTTTAGCTTTTAGAGGGGGGAGGGGGGGAGGGCTACTCGAACAAAAATTAGCACTAAAGTTAAATATTTCGCAAACGGATCCCTGAATCGAAAAGTGTTTATAGAAACCCCTAAGTAATTTTAAAGGACCTATACAACGATACCCCACACGATGGGGTAAACGATGAAAAAAATTGTTCCTAGGTTTTACATGTAGGGGAACCAAAAAAATATATATTTTTTTTTAATTTTATTCTATTTTTTTTTGTCGCCATGATTGATCTACATATTTCCACAAAATTACAGCTGTCTAGTGCTAACATTCTCAAAGTAAAACCGGGAACGGACAGACAGATGGACATGACGAAACTATAAAGGTTCCTTGTTAGGACTACGGAACCCTAAAAAGCTTGGGATTTTTCTCTGAAGCATTTTTCTTGTTAACTGTGTTCCGATGAAATGAGAATTCGTCCTTTTGCGAATTCGACCAAGTGCAAACAAATCATGCGTTGTCATAGCTGGGCCCCTTCTGACAGTACTATATTTATTAACTACTAGTATTTTATTTGTTCTTTCAACACTGGTAAAGTTTTTAATTTTTAGAAACTTTTAATCTTAAAATTTCGATTTTAAAAAGGAGGTGATTTTGACGTGGTCGTTTTAAAATCATTTGTAAAATAAAACAACGGCTTATGGCTGCGATCAACGAATGAATGAGTTTTATTGAAACAAAAGTGACCCTACAGATTAGTTATTATAAGTATCACAAGATGGCGCTAGTAGTATCTAAATTTTGATATTTACAACAATTAGGTTGATGAAAATCTTTTGATATTTTTTGTTCAATTTCGAAATTTCCACTGCAGTTTTGAACCAACAATAAAGTCCCAAGCAATATCCAAGAGTTAAGCATAAATAAATTCAAAGATAGTATAAAAAAGAACTTATTAAAAAAGCTTATTACAAAGTGTCTGATTATATTACAGACAAAAATACTTGGGTTTGAACTGTTCCAATCATTCAACAGGTTTTCTATATTAAATAAATCATGATTATTTAATATATATGTATTGACGTTGTAACAACATAATGATTTGTAAATGTTGTTACATTATTCTTTTAATGTTGTGGAGTTTTTTTCGCTCGTTTTTCTCCATAGCTAAAAAATATGTCCAATAACGAGTGGTAGGGAACAAAATGTTTGGACGATTCAAAAGTGTTGTACTATACATCCAATTTGAATAAAGATATATTGATTTCTGATTTCACCGAGATCGAACGCTCCGAAAGAAACTTTTCATCTCTCTCCAGTAATAACGTGTTGGAAATCGCAGGGATGACAAATCGGACGCTCGCCTTTCTCTCGTCCGTACATTCTACGACGAGCGCTGGTCGCGAGGTCGCTGCGTCACCTGCCTGGACTGGAGCACGGCGCATCCCGAGCTGATGCTGGCCTCCTACCACAACAGCGACGATGCTCCTCACGACCCCGACGGAGTCTGTCTAGTGTGGAACACCAAGTTCAAGAAGCCCACGCCTGAAGACATCTTCCACTGCCAGTCGCCAGTTATGAGTGCCACATTCGCTAGGTGAGTCTTTATAGCAGGTGAGTGTATCATGAGGAGCTCGATGGCGCAACTGGTGAGCGCGTTCGGATGCGATCGTTGAAGTTGAGCAACTTTCGCAGTGGTCGCTCGTTGGATGGGTGACCAAAAATTTACTATCTCGAGCTCCTCCGTGCTTCGGAAGGCACGTTAAGCCGTTGGTCCCGGCTGCATCTGCAGTCGTTAGCACCCACCCGGCCCGATCTCCCTATTCCATCCATAGTGAAGGCCTGTGCCCCAGCAGGGACATTAATAGGCTGATGATGATGATGGTGATGATGATGAATGTATCATGCTGGATAGGTAAGTCTTTATCACAGGCGTAAAATTAAAAATTTAAATCTAAAGGAAAAATTACAAGAAGAAAAAATTACAGGCGTATGTGTCAGGGTTATGAGGAGCATCATCACTATAATGGTTTTGTTGGATACCGTTAAAATGGTGATGTTCCCCAGAATCCTGATAGAGTCTGCTTAAGAAGTTCAAGAAACCCAAGCCTGAAGACATCTTCCACTGCCAGTCGCCAGTTATGAGTGCCACTTTCTCTAGGTAAGTGTCCTTATATCCCATCATAAAGAGTGATTTCTACCATGACAGTGATGATTCCCCCCATAGTCCTGATGAAGTCTGCTCAGTGTGGAACTTCAAGTTGAAGAACTTACGCCTGAAGACATGTTCCCCCGCCAGTCGCCTGTTATGAGTGCTACCGATCATATCATAACAGGAAGTATATAGTATGAAGCACCCGGAGTTGAAGCTGGATGTTTAAGAAACCCACATATTGACGATAACCAATCGCATGTGTCGTACGCATAAGCGTCATATTTGCCTGGTGAAATTCATCATATCTTACCAGAACAAATGATAAATATCAAGAATGGAAAACCAAGTTTAAGAAGCCTAATCTTGAGAATATCTTCTACGGCCAGTCAACTATCATGAACGTTACATTTATTAGAAAACGTCTATGAATACGCTATTGTTAAATAGTTAGTATTTACTAGGGAACTTAGGAAAGCTCTGAAAGCAAAGTATCATAAAAATATATTAAAAGACGATACAGACCCGAAGAAGACCTGGGGACATTCGCCTAACGGAAATGCTTTGGAAAACGCTAACGCTTACGATTTCAATTTGTTATTTCTAGCCGCCTGAGGTTTTGAAATGCCTTGCGCTCTTTTTTTTCTTTTGCATTGGTAATAACAATATTAAAGAAAATGAGCCTGAGGTATTTGAAAACCTTCGACGGTCAGAATTAACTATATTAATCGAAAGCGTTAGCGTTTTCCAGAGTTAGGCGAATGGCCCCCTGTACCATGTTTAAATATCCCACCTTCCCCTTTCCTTCAGAGGACCACGCGCGCTTTCCTACATTACATTGCGGGTACTCGGGCAGTGAAAATAAATGATTATTCGTAATCGAACAAAATTATATTGCACTCCTTATAATCTAACAATTGCAGTGTAGGTTAATTGCAAAAAAATAACAATCCGACTGGTTTGAGGTGGGTGGTCCGAAGTCCCAGGCGTCCTGGCCCAAGTCTCGAGCAAAAGTGGTCGCATGACATTAAGTATTAGCATCGTCTCGATCGTACCCCACTACCTCAACCCCATCCGGAGAAACGGCATTGCATATGTCTTAAGTTCGTCAATAGATGGCGTTGCTTTAAACGAATATCTATACTATAAAAATTAATCGCTGAATGTGTTGCTAAGCTCAAATCCCGAGAACAGCTGAACCGATTTCGATAATTCTTTTTTTAGAATATTCCTTGAAGTACGAGGATGGTTCTTACGTGGAGAAATATTAAAAAAATTGCCCGAAAAAGTCCGAAAACAACACTTTTCTATACTCCCATACAAACGATTCGTAATAATACTTAAAAGTCAATTTGAACTTTAATACCATACCATGAATTTCAAATGTTAGTGGAGAGGTTCTAGGAAGGCAAAACAATTGAGTGACGTGATGTCAATAGAAGTTTGGAAAAGGCACCATTTTCATTTTTTTTTTAATTATATGAAGAGTCATTTTAGTCCACAATACAGCTCTACACCGAAGCGAAGCGAGGGCGGGCCACTAGTAATTTAATAATTATAATCGTAAATCGGATTCAATTGTATGTTAAAAGATTAAACAAAAATATTTTCTTACAGTAACACTACTACATATCTTAGTTTCGAGGATGAAATGATGAAGGAATCATCAGGTGGGTAAGAGTAATTCGCCTACCTACCTATAATAAAAATCTCCACTTTATTTCGATAGGTTCCACCCCAACTTGATCCTGGGCGGCACGTACTCCGGCCAGATTGTGCTGTGGGACAACCGTGTACAAAAACGGACGCCTGTACAGAGAACGCCGCTTTCATCGCTGGCGCATACGGTTCGTCAATCCATCCTTTTTACCCGACTGCGTAATAAAAGAGCGCGAAGCGCGTCGCGCAGACAGGGTATAGTGTTTAACAGTCTATATATGTATGTTTGTTCCTTTGTGGCACACTAGAGACCAAACGCCTGGACCGATTTTGATGATTCATACTTAAATCTATTCGTCTCAATCATGGGAGTGCTACTAAAGATATGATAATAATCAAAATTCAAAATGGACAAAATTAGGCGAGTAAATTTAAAAAATCAAAAAACCCGACTGCTTAAATATTCCTTCAAATAAAAACTGAAAAGAAAAAAACAAGTCCAGTAGTCTATAATTCTGTTAAGTAAGGAACAAAGCTACTTTAATAGTCGGGACCCATTATTGAAAAAAATTGATCCATCCTTGAATATCTAATGAGTCCCGACTGTTAAAGTAGCATTGTTCCTTAATTAACAGAATTATAGACTACTGGACTTGTTTTTTTCTTTTCAGTTTATTGTTTATTGTGAATTCCGCAATAACATGACATAATCTCTAAACTCTAATAAAAATAAAAGAAAATCTAGTTTTAATTACTTATAACATCAGCATTTTAGCTTAATTTTTCGATTGAATGGTTTGTTACTCAATCTGACCTATACTAGATTAGATACGCTACCGTAACGCCCGTTGCGTTACGGCCTCTTTGCTTGTGTAAACTCTTTGTTCATGTAATGCCTACGGCTGGCAGGTATATTAAAAAGTATATGTTTTATTGTAAAGATTTGAATATGGGAATCTTTTGTCTCTTATCGAAGATTCCAGCAGATAGAATAGGGGTGATGACGGGGTACAGTAAACGAAATTCTATTTAGTCCGTCAGTTAGATGATCAAAAAATAATGTACACGTATTTTTTCTTTGGACAATCAACCAAAAAATGACAAAGTTATAGCACGTCAAAGTTTGGGAGTAGGGGCTCGTGACGTCACTTTTTAGTGAATTTTCACTTAAAAGTGTACCGAAACGTGATGTCATGCGACTTTTCAAATCAATATATCTCTGCAATGTTTATAAAGAAAAAATACGTGTCCAATACTTTTTGATAATCTACCTGATAAACGAAGAAAAAAAAATAGTCATCATTCCTATTCAGGCACAAAAACGTTCGGTCGACTATTAATTAAAGATAATATGTATTTCTGAGTCCGAATAAATCTAGTAAAAAGTCTTAATCGATTATTTATTAATTAAAGCTGCGCTCCCAGGCCTATCCCTTCAGGATAGAGCACATGGTGGAGGCGCCGGGTTGTTTTACCACTTGCGAATGGCAAACGAATTTCTGCAAATTTCTAGATCATCTATTCTTGTTAGTGTCAAGGATTCGGATAGGAGAATTGATTCTTATCTGACCACTAAAGAAAATCTATATCAAGCTATAAAGGCTCTTAAATTGATTGATGTTCTTTATGTTGTGTTCTTTATATATATATACACACACATATATGTGTATATATTTTTAAACACACCAATTAGCCTAGCCCCAAAGTAAGCACTGTAAGGCTTGTGTTATGGGAAACTAGGGTAACGGATAGAATACATACACAGTAATTATATAAGTATATTTATATAGAAATACATATTAAACATCCATGACTGGAGTACAAATGCTCGTATTCATCACACAAAACATCTGCCCCCACCGGGATTCGAACCCGGGACCTCTCGAGTCGGTCTCTCGACACCATGAAACCCGCCTACAAACCACTCGACCACGGAGGTCGTCAAAGTAAATATTCTTTATGTTGTGTCCCGGCAAGTTCTAAAGCACGAACACGAGCTTTTCCTTTATAAATGTCGCCAGATATTAGTGTTTATGCTTCTGGACGTCTGCATTTAGAACCTGGGGGTAATTACCCCTCCGGGGGTAAATCAGCCATACTTCGGGGGTAATAAAGAACCTTATTATATGGTCAAATTTAAATAATAAGAAAATACTAAATAGAACATGCGCTCCTTCTTGCTAGCGAGCCCGCGGGGTGCTGAGTGTGGGAAGCCGGGCGAGATTTTCTCCTGATGATGACATTATTAGAGACGAAGATGTAGCGGCCAAATTGATATTTCTTGGACTGATGATAACATTTTAAAATCGGGGTAAAATCTGTTTTCCTAGTAGGTGCAGGGATAGCAGTATTGGGAAGGTTAGGAAACACTGATTTAGAATGTATTCCAGTGGTCAGTCCGTCAGTAAACGAATGTTTTGCCTCCAGCACCCCGTATACTGCCTATCGGTAGTAGGCAGTCAGAACGCCCACAACCTAATCTCCGTGTCTACCGACGGGCGCCTCTGTTCCTGGTCTTTGGACATGCTATCAGCTCCACAAGAGACCCTGGACTTGCAGCATCGCCAGTCCAAACCCGTGGCCGTCACCGCCATGGGATTCCCACATGGGGACGTCAATAACTTCGTGCTGGGAAGCGAGGATGGAGACGTTTATACTGGTGAGAAAGTTTAAAATATACTAGAAAAGAAAGAGGAAAATTGCTGATACGTGAAAAAAAGAAAGTCATTATTTTTTCATAACATAGTCAAGTAGTTTTTCATTATTGCGTTTTTGAAAGCATTTGTATGATAAAGCTACCCCGTGAAGCCCAGGGACCTAACTCACATACATTTCTTTGATTCATTTTGAAGTACTAATTTCTTATGGGAGGGGGATGGGGGGAAACCGCTTCGTTACGTAACGCGTTACGGTGCCAATCTGGCTTCCCATTGCCGCAGAGATAGACGCCATAGCCAGACCCTCCCCACTCCCTCGCCCATTAATCCCCATTATCACCCACCAATCCGAGGGGGATGGGGGGAAACCGCTTCGTTACGTAACGCGTTACAGTGCCAATCTGGCCACCCATTGCCGCAGAGATAGACGCCATAGCCAGACCCTCCCCACTCTCTCGCCCATCAATCCCCATTATCACCGACCAATCCCCTATTACCACCCATCAATCCCCACTATCACCCTCCAATCCCTTATTATAACCCACCAATGCCCTTATCACCCTCCAATCCCCGTTTTCATCCTTCAATCTCCTTTTTCACCTACCTATCTCGTGTGCTCATTTAGTTTAACACCTCTCTGGTGTAGATCCTCCTCTCTCACTCTAACCCGCGGCGGCACTTAGATTAGTTTTAAGTTATCACTTTTTTCATATTATGTCTAGAGACGTATACGCTTTTTAAATATATTTTAATGTCTGTATATCTCTCGAGGAGCTCGATGGCGCAAGTGGTTAGCGCGTTCGGCTGCGATCGTTAAAGTTACGCAACTTCAGCAGTGGTCGGTCATTGGATGGGTGACCAAAAATTTACTATCCTGACCTCCTCCGTGCTTTGGAAGGCACATTAAGCCCTTGGTCCCGGCTGCATCTGCAGTCGTCAGCACCCAGCAAGACGCGTGGTGGGTCATGGCCCAATCTTCCTATTCCATCCATAGGGAAGGCCTGTGCCCAAGGGCGGATCCAGCTTTGGCGCCAGGGGGGGTCATATAGCCAGCTTTGGCGCCAGGGGGGGTCATATAGTCGTGGTATATTAAATATTGAAAGTACTTAAACAAAATCCCCCTGGGTTTGGTCCATCTATACCCAGCCCAGGGGTCATGACACCCATGACCCCCCCTCCCTGGATCCGCCCTTGCCTGTGCCCCAGCAGTGTGGACATCAATAGGCTGATGATGATGATATTTCAGGTTGTTTATACGGGCAACGAGCGGGTATAGCAGAATGCGTGGAAGCTCACGCCGGGCCCGTGACTGCATTATCCTGTCACAGCGCCCCGGGGAATGCTTCCTTATCGCATCTGTACTTGACAGCCTCCGTCGACTGGAGCGTCAAACTGTGGAGCCTCAAGGTAATCATTATATATGTATATATGGACTTCACCATCACTTAACATCAGGTGGGGCGGTATCATTTGTCGGACCTATCTTTAAAAAAAACAGCCTCTGTTTTGTCAAAAAATTATCCAATGTAATTATTAAAAAAAATGTGGTACGAATTTCTTGTCTCTAATAGTTCCCGTGTCTTTTGTGTACCTTCCAAAAACAACACATAAGGCTTTTTGTCTCGAAAAACGTAAAATAGCGAGGTGTAGCCGCGACAAGAGAGCGTGCCCGACGAAATGCAAGTCGGGCAATCGTCTGACTTTAGTATTGCCAAATTAGAAGCGTGTATGACGTATTTATAACTTTAAAACATCATAGGTTAATACTTTTTATGTCAGTGAGTTCGGATCGTTACGTTCTCTTAAATATGGTTGAGCGAAGCGATCGCTGGGTCATGCGTTATGCTCGTGAGCGGATGCTGCCAGCGGAGATGAGTCTGCCCTAACTTCCTTGATATTGAAGATGTTAATGTATAGTTAAACTTAACATAAGTAACACTATTTGTATTTATACTGTATGACACAGCAATGAAAATGCAGATAAACAATTAATGTATACAGTAGATCCGCGGTAATCTAGACCCCGTCTAAACCGGCGCCCCCTGTGATCCGACACGCTTATCACTGTTTTATTGCACATAAAATCAATGAGGGCTATCGCGTATGAATCCGCCGCTAGAGGCGCTAGTGTAGCGTGAGGTCTCCGAAATGTCAAATGTTATTGCTTGTTGGTTGTCTACGCGGGTTTATTTCTTATTAAAATAATGTTGTGAATAATTGGTAACAATTCGGCTTAATTATGGCAAATATGAGTTATGTGGCAATGAATGTCAGTTATTAAAAATTTGAGCTTAGAAAAATGATTATGTTCCCATTTTTTCCGAATAAAACGGAACTGGGCGTCACTGTGGCATGGCCATATTATGTTTAGGATATGGTTCTTTTGTGTTAAAATACGATCTAAATGTAACCTTTACCTTTGTACCTTTTATTAATAAACTTTAAAATTTACAATTAAGGACCTCACTCAATAGTGGCGCCATCTGGTGAGACAAAAAACGGTAGCCCTCATTGAATAGATTTATAATTTGTCGGACTACAAGGTACTCTTATTCCAAAAATTCCGGACTATAGAGGGTGGTCTTAGACAGTATTCTGTACTCCGGCAAATTCGATAATCCGACATCAACATGCAAAACGTTTATTGGATTACCGCGGGTCTACTGTATTTAATAATTATGTAATGAAAGGTCACTTCATGAATCATCTCTGAAGACATTTTTCAGCTTGACGACTCTGTAACTAATAAAATAGGGAGAAAATAACAGCCCATACTGAGTTTCTTGCCGGTTCTTCTCAGTACAAGGTCTCCCGCCGTAGATTTACGAACCGATGGCGTAGCTTCTAGACATTCATAAGTGCTTGTAACAGTCTAAACTGAATAAATGATTTTGATTATGATAAAGGTACAAGTCCGAACTGAACCGCAGATCACAGGCCGCAGCTGCAGACTGCAGGCGACACTACTAGTTTCTATGAATCTCTATGAATTAGGGTATTTGACAAGTTTCAGAAAACGATCTCACGTTATTGACTAATATTTATGGAGTCCGTAAAAAGTGGATATTCGTCATTCTGTTGTGTATTTCAGTTTTTTTACCAAATCAAAAACTCCATTTTCACGTTGCCGCGAGTGTGTGACGTCACACGATTGTTATTAAAACGTCAAACGATACAATGTAATGTCACTTTAACCGGAAGTTTACTTGCGTGTGACGTCATTTTAGGCTCCGCCAATCCCAAGCGTTTTGGGTCACGTGACAATAGATAAGAAAACTATTATCTTTTTCGTGGGTTTTTAGTAAAATTATTAATATTTTTTTTGTAAAAATAGTAAAAACCCCTGCCAATATTCATTCCAAACACAGATGCTAACAATTGGCACTTTATTTTTAATACTGTCAAATACCCTATTGATTCGGAGCGCGGTGACATGCCGCGCCTGCACAATGCATATAATGCACGGTCAGCCGCAGTGTCGCCTGTGGTTGTCGCCTGCGGTTGTCGCCTGCGGTTGTCGCCTGCAGCCCATTGCGGAATTATTTTGTTATTATTAGTATTTTGTAAAAACTTAAGCCTAAACTGAAAATGAAAAATGAAAATATATTTATTGGAACTAATTAAGGTTACATGTATAATTAGGTTCGTTAATAGCTATATTAGTTTCTAGAACTGTGTTACAGCTATTAGCGCCCACCTCCAGATACAGAGACGTGTGTTCCATAATACATAAATAAAAATTACAGTTCATATCTTACCATTTACTTAAGAGAAAATTATGTATGTGTGTGTGTGTTTGTATATATGTGTGTGTGTGTGTGTGAGTCTGTATATGCGTGTGTATCTGTATGTGCATGTGTGTATGTTTATGAGAGTGAGAGTGTCCGGTTGTACTAAAATGATAGTTACATGTGATTTCACATGTATGTATATGTATATTGTACCTTAATGATTATTATGATTTTGTATACAGGAGAACAAGCCGCTATACTCGTTCGAGGACAGCGGCGATTACGTATCGGACGTGCGTTGGTCGCCCGCGCACCCGGCGCTGTTCGCGGCCGTCGACGCGGCCGGACGACTCGACCTGTGGAACCTGAACCGGGACACGGAGGTGACTATATATATATACAGGGTGTGACAAAAGTCCGAAATAAAATTTGTAGGTATATATTCCGAAATAAAAAATTGTAGGTATCTGAGCGGGGCGCAGGGGCGCCTGGGGGAGAGAGGGGGGTCTGTTTAGGTAGTAGTAATCGTACGCATTTATAGGGTTGTCATAGGCAGGTGTAAAACGATATTTTTATTAATTTAATTAGAAAATAAAAGTGGTCCGAAAGGCGTCAAACTTTCGTAGGTAATTCTATACAAGGAACACAACCAAACCCTAAAGTTTTATTTCGGACTTTTGTCACACCCTGTATATGTATGCCACGATATTATGCTATATTATGCTCGATATTAAAGCCAGTTTTGTCCCCAGGTGCCCGTAGCGTCGATACAAGCAGAAGGCGGGGTCGCCTTCAACCGCGTATCTTGGACTCCGGGGGGCACCCACATCACTGCCGGCGATGATTGCGGCAAGATATGGGTCTACGAGCTGGCAGAGGTGAGCCAATGTGACCCTTATTGTGTGCATATAGGGCTGAATGTAATACGTCACCGTCGGCGACGACTGCGGCAAGATATGGGTCTACGAGCTGGCAGAGGTGAGCCAATGTGACCCTTATTGGGTGCATATAGGGCTGAATGTAATACGTCACCGCCGGCGACGACTGCGGCAAGATATGGGTCTACGAGCTGGCAGAGGTGAGCCAATGTGACCCTTATTGTGTGCATATAGGGCTGAATGTAATACGTCACCGTCGGCGACGACTGCGGCAAGATATGGGTCTACGAGCTGGCAGAGGTGAGCCAATGTGACCCTTATTGTGTGCATATAGGGCTGAATGTAATACGTCACCGTCGGCGACGACTGCGGCAAGATATGGGTCTACGAGCTGGCAGAGGTGAGCCAATGTGACCCTTATTGTGTGCATATAGGGCTGAATGTAATACGTCACCGTCGGCGACGACTGCGGCAAGATATGGGTCTACGAGCTGGCAGAGGTGAGCCAATGTGACCCTTATTGGGTGCGTATAGGGCTGAATGTAATACGTCACCGTCGGCGACGACTGCGGCAAGATATGGGTCTACGAGCTGGCCATGGAGCACCCCCACTAGAGTCCGCATACAAGGGCAAGCGCTTACGCCAAGCTTAAGTAGTATATTACGTATGCGTGAGACACGCCCACAGACGTCGCTATACATAACATCGTTTCATTCCGAAGCCGACCGTTAGCAGAAGTGCTTCTCTCGTTTTTGCGTTAAAAAACTAGAAAAAATGCCGTACTGTGCAATTAAATTATGTGGAAAGTGGAGTAAAACTTCCAGTCTTCAAAAAGATGGTATTACTTTTCACCGGTAAGTTTAAATGCATTACAAAAAGACAAAAATACTCTTATATGAAATTGCTTTTAATTGTATTTATTTTTTGGTGAACGCGTTGATGTCTTTTAACACTATCCCTTTCTCGCATGCGCTACATCATCTATGCTATTCCGCTCTCACACCGGCACGTGTATTGCTAGTGACTTGACGCAGCTCATGTCTGTACCCGTAAGTTTATCGATAAGTTTGTCAGCTACGGAAATAGAAAAAATAAATAAAAACTATTTATTTCATCGTATACAATAACAGATATCATGAGTATACAACCAACAGTTTTTAATCATATCGTACTAAAATTTTAAACCCGAAAATTTGTATGGATGTTTGTTACTATTACACGATTAAACCGATTTGTATGAAATTAAGTGCGCATACTTTATGACCTAGATAAAGACATGGAATTAACGATATTAAATACCCTAGATAGACCACGAGCGCTCAAAATGTGTCCCAATCAAGAAGTGCTTAAACTTTATTCAAGCACTTCTTGGTTTACAGTCACGCGCGGACCGATGAAAAGTCAAAATGCCGCAGAGCTCCGTAAAACTGCGAAAAAAATACTAATAGTACGTAAAGTGTTGTTTTTTCGACAGGTATCTAATTAATGTTTTTATAATTTGGTACATAGTCATCTTTATGTAATACAATAAGTTATTTATATAATTTGAGCCAAATAAACGTTTTTATTATTATTATAAATTTAACGCATTTGAAGCAAATTTTATTGTAATACTTACTATAAACTGATTTAATATAACATATTTGTGATACTCAAAAGCATGGTCGGTTATACGTCGCCCTATAGCCGTCTTTTTTCTTCGCGGTCTGTACCTGCTATAATAGCTAACAGCACATTCAGAATTGAGCGCGAAAAGTTAAAAAAAATAAGGTCTATTTTCTTTCGCATATAACAATAAGTCGTAAAATTTTAGGAACTTGAATTTTGAACTGCCATAAATCTTTGATGCATGCGTTTTAATTAAGAGCTTATGCCGTATGCATTAAAGGTGACTTTTTTTTAAATAATGCATTACATTGATTTTGACCACGCGATCATCTTACGGACCTCTGTGAATCGTCAAATGTACCTTTTGGTCACGTTTCGGCCACGATTTTGTACATGTTGTCGTATCTAGGGTATAAAATATCGTTGTATAGAATACTTTTTATAACGGAAAAATGTCAGGTTTCTTTAGGATTTTCAAAAAACTAAAGTTAACGTGGATGAAGTCGCGGGTGGTAGCTAGCATAAAATTTGATAAGTATTTACCAAGTTCCTTCAAAATCAATAATTTGGTTATACTTAGGTTATTTTGCGTGTGCTAAGTCAAGAGCCACGGACGTCACCGTATTAATGTTAAATTCATTAAGTCTGTATGCATGCATGTGCCTTTCACGAGAACAGCAACGAGCAAAATCTTTAAAGAGATATTTAAGGTGATATCTTACAGACTGATGCGAGAATCAAAATACAGTAACATTACGTGTTTTATTTATTTCATAGGTTTCCAAAATGTGCCAAGATGAAGGAACTTTGGATAAGTGCAACTAAACGTAAAGATTTGACACCAACTGTAAACAGTTACATATGTTCTCGTCACTTTACCACTGACAGTCACTCCCGCAAACAAAACGAACCTGTACCGAGCCGATGAGTAAGGCGCCTTAAGTTTTAAAAGTTGTCATAAACAGCATATTATTGTCTATCTAGATATTTTTTTACGTGTTTTTTGTGTTGCTTATATTTTATTTAGTATGTAATTACTAGTCGCGTCATGTAATTAGAACGCTGGAAGAAAGTGGAGAGAGTATGTTTGCGCATAGCTACACTAGCGCACCAAAGTACTAGGCCTCTGTACAATGGAGATCCGGCACTTTTCATAGAAAAAATGCTAAACTTGTATACAGTTGAATTTGGTCTCAAAATGAAGCCAAAATTATTTGCTACATAAAACTAATTTTGCCTTATTTTTAGTGAATCGTGGAAAGAAGTTATATAATGATTAATATTTTTTGATATGGAAACCCTAAATCTTCAAGGGACAGAATTTTACTTAAAATATTACTCAAGTGACTGTAAATACCATGATTCCTTTGCTTTTTCTAAATAAAAAACCAAATGTCAATTTGACAATCCTAAAATACAAACAAAAAAATCATTCGCTCCCGCGTACTGTGATTGTAAATGTTCTCTGCTGTGATTGCCTTTTTATCCGTTATTTCTCTTGACGACCCGGCTACATATAGAGGTTATATTGACAAACCTACGTATTTGACATTGACAGCTAGCTGCTGATGACAAATATTGCCAGACTACGTTACCCAATTATGAAAGACAGATAAAAAAATTAAAAAAATATACAACTTTGGCACATAATGCCGGGTGTTCTTTATTTATCGATATAAAATATCGATATTTTCTAAAATCGATCTTACCCTCATCACTTCGCTGCACTGAGTATATCATCTGACCTTGACGTGTCCAATCACAACGCGGCTGATCTCCCTGCACGCCACCGACTTTGGCGATTTTGATTTCAAACAAAATTTGCGTGATGCGGACTCTAGTGGGGGTACTCCGTGGAGCTGGCAGAGGTGAGCCAATGTGACCCTTATTGGGTGCATATAGGGCTGAATGTAATACGTCACCGCCGGCGACGACTGCGGCAAGATATGGGTCTACGAGCTGGCAGAGGTGAGCCAAAGTGACCCTTATTGTGTGCATATAGGGCTGAATGTAATACGTATATTATTTATTTTATATGTTTCTCTTCAAAAAATATGTGTCTATTATTTTTTGATATTCTAACTGACTGTCCCTTATTAGGTCACATAATATATATAAATGACGACCTCCGTGGCCGAGTGATTTGTACGCCGGGTTTCAAGGTGTCGCCTACTCGAGAGGTCCCAGGTTCGAATCACTGTGGGGGCAGATGTTTGTGTGATGAATATGAGCATTTAAACTCCAGTCATGGATGTTAATATGAATTTCTATAGAAATATACTTATATATGTATCAGTATATGTATTCTATCCGTTACCCTAGCCTCCCATAACACAAGCTTACAGTGCTTACTTTGGGGCTAGGCTAATTGACGCTGTCAGCGCAAAAGTGGCCTAACCCTCAATTACTCATATTCTGATTAAGCGGCTAAGGTCACTTATGAAGTTAAGGATGTGAGAAAAAAATCAATTAAAAAAAACATTTGCAACGCCATCTATTGATGCCTGATGAAACAAGAGATAGGCCGATTTTGAAATAAATTTAAACACATTTTTATTTAATTATAGAAGATGATCAGAATATGAGGGTTAGGCCACTTTTGCGCTGACAGCCTCAATTGGTGTGGGTGTTGGAAATATTTATCTATACTAATATTATAAAGCTGCAGAGTTTGTTTGTTTGAACGCGCTAATCTCTGGAACTACTGGTCCGATTTGAATGATTCTTTCAATGTTGGGTCCAGTCGATTTATCGAAGAAGGCTATAGGCTATATTATTATTTTTCAAAATTAGGGATCTGTAATAAAATTGCTATTTTGTAACACAAGGTGTAAATTTATAATATCGCATGTTTGTATACCTCCAGCACATGGCTCAGCCTCGCCACGACGAATGGACTAAACTGGTGTACACATTGCAAGAGTTGCGCCACAACCAGGCCGACGACGACTGCGATCGCCTCACCGGCCCGCCCTCACTAGCCAGCCTGTCATCGCTGGGCAATCCGCTAAGGTGACAACAATTGAGGCCATGAGAACCATAGTGGCCTAACTATTTTTTTACAATATTGAGTTTATGATTTTTTCCAGTTCAAATTGATCATTTTGATAGAACCAGAGTGATCTTAAAGTAATACAACGAATATTCACTAGATGGCAGCCTAATTACTGTTACGGTTGTCTGTGATCTAAATTTTAGGTGCCGTACTGGCCTAAGTAACATAGGCCACTATGGTTAAAAAATTAGTTAGGCCATGGCCTCATTTCTACTTTAAATTACTAAGCGAATATCATTATTAGCCTATTAATGTCCGCACTGCTGGGGCACATTTCTTACCTATGGATGGAATAGGGAGATTGGGCCGTGACCCACCACGCGGGCCCAGTGCATATTGGCAGGTGCTAACGACTGCAGATGCAGCCTGGACTAACGGCTTAACATGCCTTCTGACCGCCCAAAATTTTCAAATAATTATAATCAAATTATTAATATTGTTATTACCAAAGCAAAAGAAAAAAAAAACCGTTAGGTATTTAAAAACCTACGGCGGTCAGAAATAACGAAGTGAAATTCGAAGCGATAGTAATCGCGTTGGGCGATTGGCCCCCAGTCATGTTGAATTATTGACTAATCGACACTATCCTCTATGATGATATAATATATGGTAACACCAAGTTTTTAAAGCTCAGTGTTACCATATTTAGTGATTTACCTTCTACTTTATTTTCATTGATCACACAGGGATGTATTGATCATTGGTCCTTGTCGGTCATTGGTGCCACCTTAAATTTTTGTAAAACATCATAATATCTGAGCTGAATGTATAAGTGTTTGTTATTAAGTACAATGATCAAAATGAAAATTAATTTATTCAGTCGATCGAGGCTGTTACAAGCACTTGTGACGGTCGAGAAGCTGATCATCTCACAAACAGATAAAATAATTAAGAAAATGTCGATAATGTAATTGTTATATTTTCTTACAGGTAAACACAAAATGCTAATAAAGTGAAGATCTGCAATACGAATTTGAATATGAGATGTTGCTGTACCATTACATTGAGAAGAGATCGTACTCAATAGGTGAAAAGTTATTGTTATAGAAAGTTACAAAGATTGAAGAATGTATAATTGTCGTGGTTTGGCATACCATCTTCATGATGATGAATTTATAAAAAAAAAATTAATTCAGTTGAACAAGCAAGATAGACTTTGCAACAAAAATAGACTTGTTTCAAAAGTCCACTAGACTCACCTCAGTTTTCAACAGCTTGGCGAGTAAGCAAAGGGATTTTCAGTGATAATATACACTTAATATTCTAGCACATTACTTAATTGTATTAAATTAAAACAACATTATGAAACCTATATCAGTAAAATTATTAATGAAATCCAATGTATGTATATTTAGATTTGTAGGTTAACCAATAAAATGTTGCTCTTTTACTTTTATTGATTGCAGCTAAATATTTAATGTTATATTGTATGTACACACAGGTATGAATTGGCCTTCATTGTTCCCAATGTGTCAGTATTCAACTCGAAAACAAAATATTATCTAAGCTTAAAGGATTTCGGTCATGTGAATAGAAATCACTTGCCAAATGCATTGAAAATATTGACTAAATTCTCTATTAATGAATGAATTTAGTATTTTTGAGATTAAATATTTTAAGAAATCCACAATAAACAAACACTCATTCTTCTTTAGCAAATTGTACCTATGTTCAGCCATGCATGATTGCTAGTATTGTTATTAAGTATTTGACAACCACAGGAATGATCTATTTGGTTTATGTACTTATTTAGTTCTGATAGTACAAGCTCAGCTTAGTTTAAGGTCAAATATTTGCTGTCCAGATTTTATTCTTATAATTTCATTGCATTGCTTGAATATTATGATAGTATTTGTATTAAGTATTTGGATAGTATTTGGATATGAGATATATGGCATTTGGGGACAATGAGAATACACAAACATATTTTGGTTGTACATATCCTTTATAAAAATATGTAAGATGTGATTTCTTACAAAGATAACAACTAATTCAGTCTGTCTGTTATTATAATTCTAGTAAAGCATTAGTTTAATACTTTCTTATTGTATAATGTTATAGTATTTATTTAAAGAGGAGACAGATGTGCTTATAGCTAAACAATAAACAGCTTAAATTGAAATATTGTTTATTTTAATCAGGATAAAATGGTATAACAACTTTTCCCTTTGATAGATTAACTTCTTCCCAACATGAACATATTAATGTTTTTCTGTCCATGAGGTCTGTGAACATTTTACCATTCAGATGATCTAGTTCATGCTGAACTATTCTTGCTGCCCAGTCTTTGAATACAGTTGATGTACTTAAACCTCGTTCATTAAATGCTGCAGAAGGGAAAATACAATAACTTATATTAAGAATATTAACTGAAAATTATTTAATGGACATCCAGTAAATATAATAATATCGAAACATATTCATGACATACACTTCTTGCAAGGTTGGCAGAGGAGACAAGGTGTGGTAGACAAGAACAGATACATATATAGCTACACCTCAATGATGCCACATTGTTATTATGGTGGTTGCATGTATGTCTGCACCATACGCCCCACATTTCTAAAGATTTAAATGCAGCATGTACAGTGCTGATGGAAGTGCTATCTGATTGCATACAACAAATTCAATAGCGAACATGAGTGAGATCACATTTATTCTACAAAATTTATAAAGAAATCTACCTGTAATCTCTACTTCCTTGTAGCGAGGGACATCTGCAGAATATCCTTGGACACTTTCACAACCTTCCCTGTGTACTAGTTTCTGGTAGTCAACCACTTTCAATGTTGGGTTTATAAACACCTGAAGACATGCAATCGATAATTACTGTAAGTGTACATTTTTTATTAAGAGAACTAGATAATTACTACCGAAAGTTTCCAAGAAAGTTACTGGTTCCACACCAAGTAAATAAGAAACTAAACATTTTTTTGTAATATTGTGATTCACTCACAGTAAATGGTATGACAGACATTCCTGCAGATTTGATTGATTTGCTTGGTGTAGCAGTTAATTGTTTGGAGGTGTATTGAATAGCAAAAATCCTCTTATTTATACCTATTTGTGGTGCAGACATGCCGACACTGCCGTATTTATTAAGAACGTATTGTAGTTTTTTTATAACTTGCTGTATTTCATCTGAGTTTATCAAGTGCACGGGTACTTCATCGGAGACTTTACGTAATCTCGGATCTCCTATTTGGACGACGTGTTCGTATGGTGGAGAGGTCTTTCCGCGGCTTGGTGCAAGTCTTGCATACCAGTTAAGTATTTTTCTTACTACTTTCATTATATTCTGGACTAAATAAAAAACTTTATATGGAAAGAACTGCAGTTAGAAGAGAGAAACGAAAATAAAACAAAATTTATGAAGGACGCACGTATTTCTACAAGACGGACGGCACTTCACTTGACTTGACAACAGTCTGTCCTTGTCTGCTTTTTATGAAAATTATAGGACAGACTGATGTCAAGTTTACAAATAGCCATGTGAAGTGCAGGCAATAGAGATATAATATTATAGAATGCCGGCATTACGTGGTTAATTGTATTGCTGGCTGTTTATAAACTTGACAACAGTTTCCTTTTCATTCTCTATAGAGTATGATAAGGACAAGTAGCTGTCACATTAAAAAAAATGCAAATACGAAAAGATTATTCTTTATTTATGCCATTATAAAAGAAAAAGATGAAGAATTACGAATAGCCATTTAATTATATCTCTTTGTGCCGGCACTTCACTTCACTGTTCGTATGTTGATATTCCTTATCATGAAGCTGTATTTGTAAACTTGACAAATTCAGCTTCATGATAAGGAATATCATGAATAAGGAATATGGGGAATGAAAAGAATAGGCTGATGTCAAGTTTACTAGCTATATGTCAAAATATCAAATAGGAGCTTACGGAACGGAATTCTAAGTCTGTGGGACGGTAGAATGAGAATGGGGTGACGGAAAGATATGAAGAGGATGAGGGAAAGTCAGATTCTAAAGTGGCCACAAAATTGTTTGATATTTGATCTAGATTTTCTCTATTTTTTTACTATGAAGATTCCATGCCGTCACGTCACATATGGATGGCGATTCTTTCCGAAAAAGATCAAATTTTAAATCGTTTCGAATCGTGTTCTAATGAATCGATCACAAGAAATCGAGGCCAATAAGTTCGATTTCTGGAAAATCTATATTTTTTCAAGTTTTTGTTTAACTATAATATAATATAAATTTATTTTATTAAAAATAAGATACATATTATACTTTTACGATCTCTTATCAGCAAAATCAGGTAAATTGATGATAAAGTATATTTTTAATCAAAGATAACAAAAAAACGTAACCTTTTTTTCAAAGAGGGGCGAAGGAATTTAAACATACAGCCATCTCGCGACTTTTTCAGTAATTAATTCTTTAACCGGTAGCACTCTTATAATTCGGGTACATTCAATTATTAGTAAATACTTTTTTGGTTTGTACCAAAACATAAAATAAAATCGACATTTTCAAGGGGGAAATGTCGATTCACTGAATCGATTCAGTACTACATATCGATTTATTAAATCAATTTTTTGGCTCCACAAATCGATTCTTTGATTAATCGAAACTCAAATCGCCATCCCTACGTCGTCAAAGAATACAATATTTTAGACATGCTGTGCTGCTGTGTTTGACTGTTTGTACATTTTGTTGGTTGGTTTTGTTTGTTGATTAGAATAATTAAATAGGTAATTTTATGCCGAATGGTATTCTTGTTTACGTTACGGTAAGTTAATTTGAATTCTAAGGATTCATTTGCAATCAATAATTATTTAAGGTTACAATAAAATTAAACTTTATATATTATTTTGTTCTAGGCACATATTTTTAAACAGTTCTTTAGGTATGGAACAAGATTTTGATAATGCCTGTTTATTATGTTATTTATCTTGTTACCTGCAATACACATAAAACATGTAATTTTCATTGTCACTGTTAGAATGTTGTACTTGCAAAGCAAGTAAACAAATTCATTCACGTAATCATTTCACGTAACTATCTTATCAGTAGTATTTCGTAGTATTAGCTTAGATAGGTACTTACATCATCCAAGTTTTATCAGGACAATTATCATTGAATCGACCACCCGGACCCTAAAGATTTGCTTTTGAATATAAGCAGTTAATCTAGGTATTGGTTTTAATACACAATGAGCATAACCTAGAAATAAAGCTTAAAGTTAACATAACCTATTTTTTTATTCATCAATATGTCTGTCACTTGAGTAGATTCAGTACAAACATTGTAATAAAATGATAATAATAAGTCAAAAAATGTATTTGGATTTAATAAGTAGTTAGTATTTAAGAACATTTACTTGCTTTACTACAAACAAATTGATATTTTAATATTTATGGGAATAATTAAAAGTTATGTTTACTGTAACATTGTCTTTTAACATTGATTTAAGTTTTCTAAACGACTGCAAGTATTAGTGTTATCCAACTGGTTTTAATATAGGTACATTCAGAATTGTTGTAATTACGTTTCAGATGTTTAAACTCAGCATAAACTTTACAAGGAGCACTTCAGTGTGTCTGAAGCGCACAATGTCTTCTCAGGAGTCTGATGTTTTATTTGAGACCATAAATAATGCTGGCATTATAACACTAAACAGACCTAAAGCTCTCAACTCTTTAAACACATCTATGGTCTCAAAACTGCTCACACAACTTCAAGAATGGCAGAATCAGAAATCTCTAGTCATCATTAAAGGAGCAGGGGAGAAAGCGTTTTGCGCTGGAGGCGACGTTAAAGCAGCAATCGATAAAGTGGAAGGGCCAAGATTCTTCAGGACAGAGTATAAGGTGAACTACCTAATTGGAAACTACAAAATCCCATATATAGCTTTTATCAATGGCATCACAATGGGTGGTGGAATGGGATTGTCTGTTCACGGCAGATATAGAGTTGCTACAGAAAAGACTGTTATTGCAATGCCGGAAACAAAGATAGGCCTCTTTCCAGATGTGGGTGGTTCTTATTTCTTACCCAGACTACAAGTCAACTTAGGACTTTATTTAGGTTTAACAGGTAAGCACTATTTACTTCATCTTTAAGAAAATCTGCTTTTATAATAATATGACCAATAATAGACTATTTCACAGTATGAAAAATAAAGTACCAATTGTTGGCATCTGTATCTAATATGAATATTAGCAGCAATTTTACTATTCGGAGAGAACAAATAATTAATATTTTTTCTAAAAAATCATTAACTGGAATTTTTATTGTTCCATTGGTCACATGACCAAAACGCCTTAGATTGGCGAAAACTAAATGACGTCATATGCTATTAAAGTTCTGGTCAAAGTGACATTACATTTTATCATTTGACGTTTTAATGACAGTTGTATGACTGCACATAGCAGTGAGACACTGTAATGTCCAGATAAACATACTGAAATACTCAACAGAATGATGAATATCAACTTTTTATGGACTCCATAAACATTAGTTAATAATGTGAGATCCTTTTCGAAAACTTGTCAAATACCCAATTGCTAGAGTTTGAAATGTTTTTTTAACTGTTTTCTTGACCCGTTGCTGCATTAACCCTTTAAAACCAGTTTTATTTTATGAGTGATGTGCGTGAAAACCTAAGAAACAAATATGTTTTCTTAACTTCCTTGTTTCATTTAATTAACATCTAGTGTGCCACTAAATTTTTTTATATCTTTTAGGTGATAGATTAAAGGGGAAAGATGTTGTGAAAGCTGGCATAGCCACTCACTTTGTATCAAGTAAGAGGCTATATGAACTAGAGAAACTTCTATCCAGATGCACCAGCGAAGCTGAAGTCAGTGCTCTGTTCAACAAGTTCAATGAACCCGCAGAGGAGTTCTCCCTGGCTGAGCACATTAAACATATCAATTACTGTTTTGCTGCTTCCACAATAGAAGAAATTATTGAAAGGCTAGAAAAAGTTCAAAATTATTGGTCAAAGAAAACTTTGGAGGTTAGTCATTGGCTAAATATTGTCAAATTTGTTACCATTCTACATTTATGTCCTGTTCTGTTTAAGTAATCCTGTTTAAATTTGCCATATCTAAGTATTTTAGATTTGGAGTGGCGATGTCAGGCCATCTATGATTCCTTTTCCTCCTGAAAATTACATATTTCCATGGTCTCCTTAAGGGCCGTTCAAGTATTACGTAAGCATTATATGGTCTGGGGGTCTTTGCTTTGCTTATTTTTGATGACATTGGGGGATAGGAGGTTGAGATAGTAATAACGTCAGCATCAAGTTATTGGGGTGTCATGGATTGAAGGCTGTTAATTGGAATTAATATGTATACAAAAAATTCGAAAAAAGTTTTTGTTCTTAAAACTTAATAAGATTATAATATTTGTAACTTACTCTATGTGGAATACTGTGTCAATAAAGTTTGTTTAAATGAATATTATGTGCATTAAAGTCCTCTATCCCAAGCCTATTTACAACTGTTGCTGATGAAGCTCATGAAAGCTCATGAATCAATAAAAAAAAACAGAATACATTAAAGGAAAAATGCCATAAAGGTACCAATGTTTACGTAAGCGAGGGAGGGGGTGGTTAGAGCTTTGCTTACTTTTGCTGACAAGGGGGAGGAGGGGCTAAATAATTGTAATAAATCTTAAACGACCCTTTAAATCAAACATTAAATTCTTTTCGTGTGCACTTTTATTTATTTAACATAATAGCTTCGATATAGACTTTTGCACTACTCAACTCTCAAATCTGGAATCACAAGCATTTGTTTGCTGTATTATGACTACAGCTGACAGCCAGCTAGGAGATAGATTGGCAAGAAGGATCGTGACATATATAGAGGTTTTGCAGTACTTAGAAAGGTTTTATATCCGCAGTGTCTTCATTCGATGTGCCCTGGCTCTTTGAAGATCACGTTGCGTGCGCTGCAACGAGGTGCTCAACTGGACTTGGGCCAGTGCCTGCAGATGGAGTACAGGCTTGCGTGCCGAGCCACTGAGAACCATGATTTCCCCGAAGGTGAGTGTCATCGTTCATCTTCTTTAACCCTAAAGTATAGATTCATTTATAATATAATCTACAATAAGGATGCAACAGACACTCATCGCAAATCTGCTTATAGTAAATAAGCAGATTTGCGATGAGTGTCTCAAGCATTAAGTGTCCCCCAGCGAAGTCGCCAACATTAGCACTGTTTCTCTCTGATTTGTGAAGCTGCAAGATGTCCTTTCGTTGGAATTGGTGATTTGAGTTACATCTAATATAACATGGCAGTTTTTTAGATCTACACCTCTGCTGTATCAATTCAAGGGAATTGGCAATCTTCAGGGAACATGGAAATGAAAGTTGAGAAAAATTTAATTCTCTTCATGTGACCTTCATTATCAGCCTGTTAATATTCTCACTGATGTTGGCGCAGTACTTCGCGGGTCTGATTATTCTTTAACTGAAAAACGATATCGTAATATAGGCCTAACGCACTAAGCACCATCATTTTAAAAATAAGAAGGTTGAATTTATATTTGTCTTTTTTTAAGCATTTAACTGCTAGATGTTTAAATGTGGAAAAAAGATCACGTGGGCCAGGCAACAGACGGGACTCGAACCTGCACCCTTCACTACACACATCAAGCAGTTACAAGCTTAAAAATTCAAAATTATAACTAATATTTTACTAGAAATAATTCCATTCGGCCAGGCAGCTAGCGGGACTAAAACCCTCACCCTCCGTTATCCCAACTGATAATGCTACTGCGGCCTCAAAATTTTCTTTATCTTTATACCAACATATATATTATTTATGTCCGAACTCACTAACCACTTCATTGTAAATAAAAAGAAGTACTTACCTACATTGAATGTATTCGTTGCTTTAGGTGTCCGAGCCCTCCTCATAGACAAGGACAATAAGCCACAGTGGAAGCCCAGCACCTTGGCTGAAGCCAATGAGGACTACGTAGAAGGATACTTTAAGAGGCTGCCCGACAACCAGGAACTGAAGTTCAACGACTCCAAACTCTAGCAGATAAGGCATTCCACTTCACATACCTAGATTTAAGTAGACGACACATGTGCTTCAATTATATGTAAATCAAAAGTGTCATATTTTAGTACCCGCAAACAACAAGCTACGATGTGGAAAGGCATGGACCACGGCCACCCGTTTCAATTCTATGGATTTACAGATTGATATAATCATAATCATTAATTTCGAATTTTTAGAATAGAAATACATAGAGTATTAACTAAACTTTCAATGAATACAAAAATGTCAAAATTCAATTACTATGTTGGTTACAAATTATATTAAAATACAATATTTATACAAAAATAAAGTTAAATGTCACATACAAATTACAATATTAAAACAATAAAATAATGAATGAAAAGCAATCGTCATTAAATATTATAAAAAAGATATATTAATCAGTCTAACTAATGCAAGGCTTTATCATTCAAAAACTCATTGATACTATAAAAAGTTCTGCCAATGAGCCATAACTTTAATTTATGTTTATACTTATTAAGAGACTTGGCGTCAGGGACCAACTTTGGTAATAAGTAATATCATAATAGGGTACCTATTTGACAAGTTTTAGTAAACGATCTCACGTTATTTACTCATGTTTGTAGAATCCCTAAAGATGGATATTCATGATTCTGTTGTGTATTTCAGCAAAAAAAACTATAGCAACAATTCAATTTTAAAGTAGCCGCGAGATCGTTTCTTTGAACATTATGGCGTCTCACTGGCGTGTGACGTCACAAGACAGTCATTAAAACGTCAAACGATACAATGTAATGTCACTTTGACCGAAAGTTTACTAGTGTGTGACGTCATTTTAGTCTTCGCCAATCCCAGGCGTTTTCGGTCACGCGATCAGAAAACAAAAAAATCGTTTCTATTTAATCATCTTTTAGAAAGGTCATTAATTGGTTTCTCTGAATAGTAAAATCGCTGCTAACATTTATATTAAATACAGATACCTACCAATGGTACTTTATTTTTCATACTGACAAATAGTTTATTAAATTAATAGATAGTTTATTTCTCATTTTATCATATTTTTGTCATATATATTTCGATCTATGTTTGTGCTAAGTATATGGGTTACTTATACAAGGGTCTGATTGCTGTTGCAGCCATTTTATGTCGACTTGTCTTGAATCTTATCGACAATCTTCGTGTCTTCAATATGCGTAAAAAAATATGTTTGTAAAGCACCTCTGTTTACTGGCAAAAAAATTGCAGCTCGCAAATCTATTGAGAAGTAAGTGCTTTTTAGGAGAATCTTACAGCGTGTAACTGAGATTCAATGCTTAAAAGATTTCATTATTGCAGTTCATCTTAGATTAAAACGGTACGCTCATACTAGTATCAAATAAAGTATGATCCGATTCAACTACATAAGCAACTTTCACACACGCACATGTCTGTATATACACATTCAATCGAGCGAGCGAGACAGAACTGTACCATTAGCACGAACCAATATCGAATTCGTATCGTTTACGAGTCCGAAATGTCATTGTCAAATGTTTACCGATTTTTAGTTCTCGTTACGTACTTTGTGCCGCTGCTGTTCAAGTTTCCATTCAAAATTTGACTTTGACATTTCGGTTTGCAAACTATTCCCTGTACCCTTAGCAATAAACAATATCGAATTCGTATCGTTATTGATTGAAAGTTGATAATTTTAGACTTTCAATATATTATATTGGTTCGTTTTTACTTTTATTTTACGATAATGACTTTGGTAGGAAATTTGTTAACTATTTTTTAAAGCATTTAAAAAAAAAACCTGATTATGAAATGAAATGTTACTTCAATGCTATGTTAATGCTCATATTCAGACATTTGTTGGGAGCAAAGACTTAAGTTTAAGTTCGTCTGAATGCCTTTTCACTATTGGTTGAAATGTTCACGTTTATATATTTTAATTATAATAAAATAATATAGTATCCTGTTAATTTCATGAGTTTTATGTGTCAATATTTTTTTTGTCGTCTAAATTAAAAAAAATCTGGTAAATTATCCATATAAGCCATGGTTAATACGCTTAAAGTTGAAATCGTTATGCGTTAGCGAGTTAAGGTAATTAAAACGATAAAATGTGGTGAGAACGACGAAGATTTCCCTCAACAGCTTCTTTTTAAGAAATTTTGAATTTCGTTACACAGCTACGATGTTTGCCATACAAGTTAAACGACTTCCTACCCTAGTTATTCCAATAGACATTCCATCAAAAAATGTGCTACTTTTATATTGAGAGCAATGTAGCATAGCATAAGCTCAATGCTGTATAAAAAGTATAATTTGAGCTTCCGAACCTCCACACCCTACGCACAATGACGTCATAGATCGCGCAAACAACGCTTAAAATTAGTTATCATATAGTAGGCTGACCGCTTGCTAGCAACGCGTGGTAAGCGAGGCGTCAACTACCGAGGAGTCCACAGAACACAGGTGATCATAGACTGTTTGTTAGAAAGGTGATCATAGACTGTTTGTTCGGGAACCAATATCGCCGGCTCGTCCCCACTACACTTCCATCTAATAAATAATAGCCAATCAGACGACGCGACATCAAACAATCGAACCAATCAGCGCTTACACCCGTGAGCAACGACGCAATTAAAACTGTTTGTTTAAAGAGCGAGCTAATGCTCATAACTTGACCAACTGACGGATAATTGTGGCGCGCCTGCCCCGCCCACAAGGCTCTTCTAACATCTTCCTGTGTTCTGTGGAGCAGTCTGACCCTGGGAAACTCACTCACAGCACAGAATATATACACTACGCAAAAAGAAACGACACTTAAGCATGTGTGCTCGTAAAATCGCCCGCGGCTATGTGTGGGTGTCTGGAGGTGCGCGGGGGCGTGGAGAGGGCAGTCGCCGACTGCCTCCACCGAAGGCATGGCAGTAGCGATATAGCAAAATAATAGCGGTACACTGCATTGCACGCACGGACTGACTACGCTACGCAATCTTATTATTATTTAGATTATTTAGATAATAATAAGAATTATAAAACGAATCGAAAAAGCAGAAAATATATAAGAGTTAGCAATTTGTAATAGTACCTACATTAAAAGATTAAAAATTGATTATAAAATCAAACCTATCCTTCATTACTTACTCCAGTATCCTTGAATCAGGTTACATTTAAGAACTTACTATGCATAAATATTCATTGGCACAAGTCTAAATTTCAATTCGGTTCAACCCTAGCGCATACACGCTCCTGCTCTCACTGTGCTCACAGCGAGATTCCTGCTAATTTTTTGCTGCTAATGTAAACTTTACTAAAAGAGCAATACTTAAAACCCATATTTGTTTTTATCTTATTGCCAGGTAGGCAAATGCCTCTACCTCCTTGGTGTTAAGGGGTGATAAAGTCCAAACGCTAAGATAGCTGGTACAGCAGTTATAAACTGCCACACCAACCATCCTCACCTTGCCGGCCTGCAATAATGCTTCTTCACGCCTCTCGTAAAGGACCCCAGATTGTAGGAAGGGAACACGTGCGCGGGCAAAGAATTCCACTTACGAATACTACGACAAAGAAATGCATCACCAAATTTCTTTGTTCGTGTAGGAATAGTGGCCACAGTGAGACGGTGGCAACGTAGGCCAGCGCGCGTGGTCCTCTGAAGAAAAGATGATGGAGGGATAAGGTAGAATAACTCCTCAGAACACTCGCCATGGTATAGTCGGTAGAATGCGCTTAATTGACGACCTCCGTGGCCGAGTGGTTTGTACGCCGTGTTTCATGGCTGTCGCCCGAGAGGTCCCGGGCTCGAATCCCGGTGGGGGCAGATGTTTGTGTGATGAATACGAGCATTTGTCCTCCAGTCATGGATGTTTAATATGTATTTATATAAATATACTTATATATGTACAGTATATGTATTCTATCCGTTACCCTAGCATCCCATAACACAAGCCTTTATAGTGCTTACTTTAGGGCTAGGCTAATTGGTGTGTGTCGGAAATATTAAAAAAAAAATTAATGATGCCACATCACGGCGTAATTTTAGAGACTCGTATCATATTCCCTTTGCTGCGTGGGAGTGGACTCGTGTATGTGGGCTAAGACCTTTATGTGATCAGAAGAGTCAAATAAGATATACTATACCTATACAAATTCAGTTGAAGAATCCTGAAATAATTTATACGACTTGATCTTTGACTCTGTACATTATTTTGTTAAGGATAAAGTGCATTTTCCACCATTTGTTGACATTATCATCAAAATGTTGCCGTATCTATCCAAAATAATAAAAATGAAATGGTGCTTCGTTTTTTTACAGCTTATGACTTAATAGATTTGTATTTAAACGAGGTTATTTCATGTTTCTAATAAATTAATACTACTTATAAAAAAATATGTTGATAGAGTCTGTGCGGAAAGAGAATGAGATTTAGATTGGAGGGCGCTGTAGTGCTTTTCTGCCGGATTTGTAAGGTTTTACCCCTTTTAGACATGATTAAATACAAAAAACGGCAAGAAATCACAACAACAAACAAATCCGTATCAATACAAAACTTTGACGTTTTACAGATTGCTGGGTTTGATTGCCAAATAAAAATCTTAATGTTAGTTCCGTTTTTCGCCACGCCCATTCTCTTTCCACACAGACTCTAATAGCAAGTTCTTTGTAATAAACATGAGATAACGTTGTGTTCACGATACAAGCTCATGCAAAACTATTTTCCATATTGTTATACATAAAATTTAATGTTGTACTACAAAATTGTTTGAAACATCTGTTAAAAAATCGAGATGATATTTTCATATTGAACTCTAATGATAAACATAGTCTTATATAATTTTCAGTCATATTGTGTCTTAAAACAAAAAAAAAATCTTATCTTTATTTTTCATAATGGGTTTACATATATTGAATCACTGTAATTAGAAATATATTAAAAAATAAATTTAATTATATTTCTTGTAACCTTTTTATGGCGTGTAACTAAAAGCATTTATATATTTTTGTAGGCCTTATTATTCTAAAAATAATCATATTGAATTACTGACAGTCGTACTCAGAGACATCAATTAACTTTTATGTTAGATTATATTATAGATTATGCGATCACTAACTTTGCTATGAACTCAGAACAAGAAGTAAAGCGTAGAAAGAGTTTAAATGAAAATATTTCAATTTTTAAGCAGCACCGAAGTGGCGTATTAGCAATTTAGCTTTTCCACTGTCGATATATATGTGTATACAATATATTCATATATGTACATATACATATTTTATTTACTAGCTACAAGAGAAAGGAAAGAGTTTAAATGAAAATATTTCAGTTTTTAAGCAGCACTGGAGTGGC